GGAGGGAAGGAAGAAGCGGAAGCGAGAGGGAACCGGAAGGATCGGATCGGGGACAGCCGGAAAGGAAGGACATGTCATCAAATTCGGGGGAACGGGCTAATTACAATAATAACCGAGCGTACATACGTGATATTGATGACGTTGCTAAGAAAAGGCGGCGGGATTCAATGACTAAGCGAGGGCGGAGGGAACGGCGGGAGGGCGGCGGCGGGAGTGGGGCGGGCAACGGCGAACAAAGGGCTTTGTCGCTGGAACGGGGCGTGGGAGGGATTCGGAGAGATCCGACTGATGAAGGGACTTAGTCAAACTCCTGGACTCCGTGCCTGGCATTGCCGAGTCTTTCCAGAAACAGTCTATATTCCATTCAAGGCAAAAGAACCGAAGGTACCTGAGGTGAGTGAGAATAATGTATTCATTAGCCTAACTAGCCGGAACTCCGATCATTTTCTACATCCTAATTAGGCTCGGCCTTTGTGAGGTCCAGGTGGCTGGGGTGCGTTGCATGTAACTTTACGGGGTATGATACTTAAGCTTAGTCAATCATCTTCTGATCCTCGACATTGCCGCCCTTCCGTTGGTGCTCGGCATCTTCCGTGCCCTCGGGCGAGATCGTCGCGGCCTGCTGCCTCTCCTGGCCCGCGTCGAGCCGGGTGGACGACCCCGTGCGCTCCTGCGGGCGCTCATTGGTTTCCTGCGTGTCGCGATCTGCACTAGACTCGTCTCCTGTTTCTTTCTCTTGCGCAATGCCGGGTGGGTCTGCCTCCTGAAGATCACCCACTGTTTAGAAACACTTGGACAGAGGCGCTAGACCGAGATTACACTTACGAAGTCCTGCTCCCGCTGGCGGCGCTTCAGCTCTCCGGTGCGCAGATCATGGCCATGCTGAGCGACGTCGGGCTTGCGGAGAACCTTGCCCTTGATCTCCTCTTGGAGACCAGTCATCTTGTCGCCAAGGCCCTGTTGTACAGTGCATTAGCTGCCTTGCGCATCAAGTCGAGGGACAAGGGGTATACTCACGGCTCCCTTCTGAAATTCAGGTCCTGGACCATCGAGCTTACCAGCATGACGCTGGGGTGGGAGGTCGCCTTCTTGGGCACCAGCGGAATCCTGGCCGCCGCGGCTAGCGGTAGAGTCCTGACGGGTAGTTGACGTTTGGGGCTGGGTGCCAGAGCCGACGGCAGATGGGTGGACGTTCTCGGGGAGATCGCGGTTCTGAGTGGTAGGTGTAGACATGGTTCTAGGTTTAGAAAGTGCAAGGTGCGATGTGGTGGTTCTGGAGGTGTGGATTGGTTGAAGATCCTGTGGGTTTGTGATTGCTCGTACCCGTACGCCCAGGTCATTTTATACAGTGAGGCTGGTTTGGATCGAGATGCATGATGACGCAGGAGCTCCTTGGGGCCTGTATTTGTCCCCGCAGATTGTGGCTAGTGACATCATCGTAGGACGCCAAGGAGGCGGTGCAGTACGACATTTGCTATTTTTATCCACACACAAGCTATCTTTTGTGCAGCACCGGCGTCGAGCACATTTACTCCGTCACGTCTCGGTGTGTCTCCACGCAATCAATTAGCGAACCATGTCATGAAAAGTTAGACTCTTTTGTCCATGATGATTCGGTTTGTACCGGCTCAGACGAGAGACACAGTCTGGAGGCACGATACTAGACGCAAGTAATAACATGAAATGGCCCCCATAGTACTGTAGTCCACGAACAAGAAAAGCTGTGACTGGATCAGCCCAAATCACCTCATTGGCCTAGGTGTCGATTGCGACCTGAGCTGACTTCCACGTCAGCTCGGACATGACTCGGGGAGGGGACGACCCTGTTCGCTTGCGATGAGTTGAGGACCGTACGTGCGGGTACCAAGTTGAAAGCTTGGCCGATGCAGAAACTTCAAACTATGCAGAATCCGCGCGTCTCTGACTATTAATCATCTCACCGACGCAGACTGTCACTGTCAGTGTGCGCTGATGGTCCTGGGAACAAGGAAAGGAAAAATTCGCACCATCTCCACGCCCGCGTTTCGGCCTCCCTGCTCAACACCTTCTTTCCCTTTACCTCCAGCCCGGGATGGTTGAAACGTGGATGAGAGGGGCGCACACAACGATGTATCACTTTCCGTGTTATCTACCGCTTGAAGACTGCGCTTAGCATCACACATCACAGGGTTCCCCACGGGTGATGGAAGTGAGCCGATGAGCAGTCGCGAGGTGCATTTCTGCATCATCAGATATCACTCATACCTTATTGATGTTCAAACCCAAGGGACGCATATAGACATGCGGTTTCTTCACGAGCGCAATCTGAATGGTCCGTGTTCTCCAGGCGCGCACTGCTGCCAGGGATGCGCGCCTCCGAGAAACGTTAGACCACGCTCTTGTTCGCGATCTCGCGCGGGCTGGGCGGCGTGAACTTCTAGTTCCACATACAAGCCTTCTTCGGCGCCAGCCCATTACGTTTGAAAACCATACCGGGGTGATTTGGTTTCTTGGTTTAGGTAGCCTCGACTGTGGAATGTTTGCGACTTACAACACGATGGCCTGAGTCATACATGCTCTTCGCCTCTCATCCGAACAATCCGTCTTTGAGGGAACTGCCTCTCCACAATGAGAGCAAGCGGCGGCAAGTTGATGAACTCACCAATCACAGAGGAGACTGTGATAGAGAGTCACGCATAACACACTTGGCCTACGCCAGAGCCTACGCCAGAGCCTATAAAATCGGATGTGACATGTAATACTTCTCCCCAAACCCACTCTCGAGCGCAAGTGTGCTAAAATGGGTTCTCTCTCCAACAGCTCCTTCCTTCTGCCTGTGCTCGATGCCGCCCTCGCATTAAAGCTGCAGCGCCGCGTTGAGACCACCCTCCATGGTATCATCAAGGCCAACCTCTTCACCACCCAGTTCGGCCGCACCTCCGACACGCTAGCAAGCCTCCGTGACGCGCTCACTGGTGTCAACCTCGACGACCGTGAAGCCTGTTCTAAAGTGTTCGCGGCTGCACATGTCCCTATAACCGAATACGACGTGTATGCCCCGTACATCTCCAAGTTCACGCAGTCTCCGCCAGCCCACATCTCCGACGTCACCGACCTCCTCGCACCTGGCATCCCTAAGAACCTCGGAAAGTCGGGCTCGACGTCGGGCAAGGCGCCCAAGCTGATACCCATGTATGGGTTCAGGATGCGACTGGAGATCCCCAGTAGCAAAGCGTGCAACCCGACATTCACTGGTTACATGAAGTTCGCCGAAGTTCGCAACGACGATGAAAGTATCATGCGCATTCCAATCGCAGTTGCGAGCGGGTACTGGACTCGGGCGGCGTGTGGCTTCGATGATTTTGAGCGGGACAAGGAGAGGCTTGCGGAGATGGGTTCGTTTGTTCTGCTTGGTTGAGGGATATCCTTGTTGTGTACTGATACCATATTCATTCCTAGTTCCTGGCACTGTCGCTCCGTTCGGAGCTGGACTTATCGTCAACTATCGCTCACTTCTACTCACGCACGCAGCATTTGCTCTCGCCGAGCGCTCCGTCGATGTGTTGTTTCTTACGTGGTCTACAACGGTAATTGACTTCATGCAGTGGGTCGACGAGGAATGGGAGGCGCTCCTCGAAGGCATCGAGAAGGGAAAGCTGCCTCATTTTCCCGAAACGGAAGAGGTGCATGCAGCAATCGCTGTACGCCCCCCCTTAGACTATCTCTCCCAATCACCTTTCTTATTGTGGAGTAGACCAAGTTTCATGCAGATCCCGAGCGAGCGGAAGAGCTACGCAAGATCGGTCCTCCTTCAGGTGCCGCCATTGGGTGGGCAAAAAAGACCTGGCCCAGCCTAAACTCGTTGTGGGTTATCAGTACAGGTGCCTTTGAACGGCCCCTTCCCAAGGTACGTCGTGTCTGCTGAGCTGTCTTCGTCAATAACAAAACATACAGGTTAGGGCATTTGTGGGTTCAGATGTAAGAATTGCCACCCCAGGGTATTTCTGCACGGAAAGCCCCATCGCTGGCACGTTCGGCGACGAAGCTCCTTCGTTATACAAGGTGTTAAACGATAACTATATCGAACTGCTCGAGGTCCTCGGGGACGGCGAGGATGGCGCAGTCAAGCAGCTTGTGAGTGCTCACAGTCTAACTCGTTATAATAAGTTACTGATTATACATCTGATCTGTATAGTGGGAAGTAGAGTACGGCAAGTTGTATGAGCCTGTCTTCACGACGTATGATGGTCTGTGGAGGTACCGGATCCAGGATGCCGTACAAGTCGTCGGCTTCGACCCTGCCGATGGTGCACCCGTTTTGAAATATAAAGAGCGTCGCAAGTAAGTTCGTATATTTCAAAGTCGGATACGGAGTCTTGACTACTGATTCTAGCCTGTCGATAATGATACCTAACTGTACATTAATCACGTCGTCGGATATCACTGAGTCTATTGCTGATGTCGAAGGGCTCAGGCATGCCGAGTTCACGACGTTCCTCGACGATCGCGTGGTTCCGAGCACAGTGGGTTTCTTCATAGAAACCACTCAAACAATCGGTACATGTTCTTGCTCTTGTCTCAAAGCGCTCATATTCGAACTTTGACAGGCACTCTTTCATCCTTGGATCGAGACGTGATTTGGGACGCATTAGTTGAAACGAACGGGAACTTTGCCACCGGCGCTCAGAGGGGCTTTGCCATCCGACCAACTATTCGAATTCTTGCTCCTGGAACTTTTGCTGAGTTCAGGCACTGGAGAGGGTCTCTCAACGATTCTGGAAGCTCACAAATCAAGGTCCCCCTCATCACGCTCGATCTACGGTCGCAGGAATTCTTCCTCGGTAAGGTCATTGATGAGGTGCATTAGAGTCCATCACTTGTACGAGTAGATCTCTGTCCCCTTCTTTATGTGGAACTATGTAAGAATAACAACGGTGCTCGAAAATAGAGTGACTCATTAAACTTGAGGGGCAGTGGACGTGTTCCGAAGCAATTCGCAAACTAAGATAGAGCACTGCCATCCCGCCCATTTTATGAAGTAAACCGCCACAAGAATTGTGGGCTTGATCCACGGGAGACCCAAGCCAGATGGTAGCTATTGTTTCTCACAGAAAGAACAAGTTTGAGAGATTGGGGCAAGGCGACGTGGCCGAGGATAGCAATCTCATTGGCATCAAATCTTTCGATCGGACAGAATTCATGTCCACCAAAAGCTTGAGACGCTGTGATTGGGCTAGCCCAGGCCACTTCATTTGCCTAGGTATCGAGTGCGACCTGAGCTTACCTCAACGTCAACTCGGACATGACTTGGGGAGGTGGACGACCTTGCTCGCTTGTGGTGGCATTATGTCGAGTCGAGGACAACGTGCGCGAGATCATTCGGAAGTACTGTTCGGGTATTTTGACAGCTCGGGCTCAGGCCAATGCAAATTTACGCGTCTCTGAATAATCAGTTCGCCGACGCAGACCGACACAGACCAACGCAGACCAACGCGTGCATTACTCACTTACCAGCCATGCTTGTGGGCCTCGCCGAGCTGATGCCAACTGCTAGAGGATAAAGCAGAGCCAGCGCGCTCGCTTCATGAACATCAGCCTCGCCCCTCAACGCTCCAACCATCATCATGTCCACTCACAAAGGTTCTTGCCTATGCCAGGCCGTTCAGTACGAAATCACCCTACCCGGCAAAGGAGAGCAGCAGCTGTATAGCGTCTGTCACTGCAAGAACTGCCAGAAGGGAGGCGGATCGCCTTTTACGGCGAACTTCCTTCTGCCTGCCAAGGTAAGCCGTCTACTTCGTTGAATTCTAAGAGCCTACTTTAGTCTGTGTACTGAGAGCTGACTTCTCGCGTGATCGCCCGTAGAACATGAAGCTAACGAAAGGCGTAGAAGGCACTGATATCGAGTCCTACCCGATGACCCAGACAACGATAGGTACCCCGATGGTTAGGTATTTCTGCTTCACTTGCGGCTCGACGCTGTACGGCAAGTCATCGGCAAACGATGCGGTTGTGATCATACAGTCGGGCTCGCTCGACGACCCCATTGACGCGGACGTGCAACCGACGCAGGAGATCTTCTCCATGGACAGCAGGGAGTGGCTCAAGCCATTGGAAGGCACACGGCAAGTGAAGAAGTGGTTCGAGTGAGGGATGTGATCGATACATGGATGCTTCAGTAACTTGAACGTGGCGATGGGTAGGATCTAGCACGCACTGGTGAGCTGGGTTGACATGTTGCCCGAGAGAGTGTTTCGGATCCAGAATGTTGTAGCTTACGCATGCCAACGATACCCTCTAAGAGGGAATGCGTACACCCATCATGATATAGGTTCTACAGGCCTGCCGGCTGCCATGGGATACCGTCGTTTCACCGCGAGCTAGAGGAGCATGACCAAGTAAGTGCTGAGGAACGTGGGTACGTATAAGAGCCTTAGGGTGCGATAGCCAAGGCCTTTCTATTCCGATGAGAATGATACTACAGAAGTCGAAAGCTAGAATAGTGTCTGGTATGAGTTCGGAGTGGATGGATGATTGTAACCTCCGACGCTGCTTACATTTGAAGTGAGAAAATCCAAGGCGTGTGGCACTTTCGGAATGCCCCGGATTCTGACATGCCCCCTATCTCTGGCTGACTCTTTCTGACATCAACGCGACCGGCGACCACCATCAACGGCGTTTCCCACCGGAATATACAACACCAAAGATGGAAGAAGGGGTAATCGCAGCCGAAGACGAGCTGAATGTTACGATCCGACGTGTGTTTGAGGCCCCTGAGCCTCAGCTCACCAGCAATTTGACCAATTTCTTTGAGCAAGCAAGAGTGCTCCCGGTAGATCATAACCATGTCCTTTACACCTTGGTGAGTGTTTCACGCTCTTACGCTTTGCGATGTATCTCATAAAATTTTGCGCGCAAAACAAAGACGGTTCTGATGAAAATAGTTCCCGCCACTCAGATCGCGACGGAGAACCCCGCAGCGGATCCACTGGGTTGCTGCTCAGAATGGCCATCTTCGGTAGAAGCAAGTGTTCGGACGGGTATGATAGAAACTATGGTCGCAATAATCTCTGCGCCTTGGGACGAGGAGGTGCACACGGACCTACTAAAGCTTGTCAAGGGTTACATGGCAAAGGCGCATGCTTGGCAGATACTCATCAATGTGTCTGGGTCGGGGAACATCCAAGAGCGACGTACTGCGCTCGACAAGCAACTTGGAGCGGGGATCATCCAGCTATGTTTGACGGTAAGTGGCTTTATGGGGCTTCTCAGCTTCTATGACTGTGAATATGAATTGCTCTCAGACTCTGTACCATCGCGTGCTACTATTGAGCCGATCAGTGTCACAACTCCTTTGCCAGCTATCTAGCGAGTCATTCCTCCCCGAGATGCTATCACCTCGTGATGCCGGTATCGTCATTTCATCGCTATGCACCTTCGCATTGCAAGACTCTGATGGATACGCCGATCAACTAATCGACCCCACAAAAAAGTGGCAGTGGAGTCCCAGCGGACTGAACGTAGATGATCCATGGGCCAAAAACGATGAATCTCGGCGTCTAATGGCCAAGCGACTTTTTGGGGACGCGCAGGTACTCGCCCTCGACTCCGTTCGTGGTCTTCTCTGTTTAGACCGAAGCTGGTCGCCGAGACGCTTTCTCGAAATTATCGATCAAACCCCGACTCTTCTTGACCTGCTTATGGATTGCACGATTCTCGAGCTGCCTAGCGCTCTTCCGAGCAACGGAACGGTACTGGCAGGTCCATGCCATAACACAATTGCATGCGAGGCACTGTGTGCTCTGTTCAGGTGGCCATTGGACACGATCCCCGGGGTAATGACATCACCAGACAGATCATTTGGCGGCGGCGACACCAGGACATTGATCCAATTGTTGCGATCGTTTACTTCGCAGGCCAAATGGGCAGATAGACTCATAGACACGTGGATTTCCTCCGGATCCTGGTGCGAAGATTCTGAGGAATTCAAATGGTGAGCAGTCAACTTTTAAAATTCGAGCGCGGCACTGATGAACCAGGGATTTGCAGCAGTTTCGCTGCTGCTGAATCACTTTATAGTGATACGCAATCGCCGTTCAGTAAAGAGATAATCGAGGACTTTTTCGAGGGATCCGGTTCGTAGTATTTGTACCAGCCGAGCATTTAGCCCATAACATTCTCCTGAAATAGGCCGCTCTCGAATTTCACTCCTCCGGCTAATCACAACTCTAACCCATTTTGCCGACGCTGCCGGTGTCAAGAACGTCGACATCTACTCCTTATTGGGAGTTGCGTATCAGGCTAGCCTCAAGATAAGCCGAGAACTCAACCGTACTCAGAGTATCTGTGACTGGCCAGCTTGGCTAACATCAGTGACGGACAGCAGCTCCTACTGCGATCCTTTCCACGTTGCGCCGGAGCGCGTCCTAGGACCAACGGCATTTGCACGCCTACTGGTTGTACTGGCTCAGCGAAATGCACTGAACAGCATTCAACTCCTCCAAAAATCACCCGACGGTCTTTCCCCTACAACCTCCCTGGCGCAGATCCAGCAGATGACGCATCCAGACATCATCCGCCGTTTTCTCCACATCTCCGTCTACCGTATCAAGGGCTATATGGAGGAGGCCATGTTCGGCCAACAGGGTCCTCCGCACTCCAGCGTCATTTTCTATGGCGCTGCAGAACTTGCGGCTGCCATAGTTGCATTTGTCAATCTGACAGGCGACGTGCACACCCAAGTTACGTACAGGGCACGCTACACGCTCGTAGCAGCTCTGGGGAACCTCTCAAAAGTAGCGCTGCAGATGAAGCAGTATAAACGCGCGTACTCATGGGCTTTGGCAGCTATTGATCTGGACAAGAAAAGCGATACTGTGGACAAAGTTGATGCTGACCTTGTCAAGGCGTACCACCGGTTGGCCCGCGATGCTAAAAAGGCGCTCGATTTGCAGTAGAATGGAAGGGAAGGTGGTTTTTGTTCATTTAGCACTAATAGTGGAACGGGTTGTGCCAACCTGCATCCTGGGTTCTACGCGAAACTTTACGTTAAAGTGACAGCGATGCTCGTATACATAAGGTCGGACGGGAGCGAGGCACACTGAGATGGTATCGAGTCCATAGTCGGAAGCGCAAATATGACCGCAGGTTCAAGCCAAGAGCGTCCAAGGCTTTTACAGTCCAAACAACGATAAAATTGAGCTTTAAAATCTAGGAAATACAGGCGGTTTCTTTCCGGAAGCCTAAATCTGAGCGTTTCATTATTCTCAACTCATAATGACTCAAAAGCTCTGGTAGCTGTATGAGCGAGGGGATTACGGGAACCTCGGAGACAGTGGATGGAGGTTCACCTAGGGATGAAGTGGACGAGAAGCATGGCCGGTCTACAGCATGGTCGGTCTACAGCATGGTCGGTCTACAGCATGGTAAACACGATGCATGAAATGATCTATGCATAGGTAGAGGCGTCCTAGCAACTGAGACGTCCATACACTTCAGCATCGTCCATATTGTCTTGGAAAACGGGCATAGCTTAGGCGACGGTAGTTCGGAGCAGAGCATCAATTATTTGCATCCGACCGCCAGTCGAGACCGGCGATTCAATTACCACGTGCATAACAATAAAACACACATTGGAGATGAGGAGCCGTCCAATTCCAACCAAAGTGCGCTCCTTGTCGTTCCTATTTGGCTTCCGGGAGCTCTGTGCTGTGTGTATTGCAATATCAGCACTGATGTTCTCATGGTCGCCCCATGAACGACTGTCATATTGCTCTCGGTACATCACCAAACGAGTTGTACACCGCTGCCAGGCGTAACTCGATTCCGACAGAACACTCAATTCACTCTAATCAGTTCCAAGGGACAAACAACGCATTCACATTGCATCGCAGTCAAAATAAAAAAGAATCAACGAATAAATATGCGCCTCAGGAGGTATGTACCAACTACAAGCCCGCTGAAATCAACGGGGTATCAACATCTCCGACAAAACATGATAACGAAGTCGCAGACTTCGTCGTTTTGCGTTGTTTGATTGGTGCGCGCTCAGGCGGAGTCGGTGCCCGTGGCGGTGCCCGTGGCGGTGCCCGTGGCGGTGGCCGAGCCCGTGGCGGAGCCGGTCGACGTAGGGACGTCGGTGCCGGTGGCAGAGCCAGAGACGGACGTGGGGACGCTCGTGCCAGTGGCGGAGCCAGACACAGACGTCGGGACGTCAGTGCCGGTGGACGAGCCCGTGGCGGGCGCGCTGGATGAGGGGACGGACACCGAGGTGGGGACGCCGGTGGGGACTGACACGGACGTGGGCCAGCCAGTGGGCACAGAGACGGACGTGGGCCAACCGGTGGGCACAGACACGGACGTGGGCCAGCCAGTGGGTACGCTCACGGTCGTGCCGTTGCCGCCGCCGGGCGTCCAGGTGTGCGAGTGGTGGTGGTGCCACGAGGAGCCATTGCCGCTGCCAGTCGTGGGCCACGTGATGGACACGGAGCCGGTACCGGTGGGCACCACCGAGCTGTTGCCGCCAGGAGGGGGCGCGGCGGCGCCCTCGGAGCCGGGGAGCTTGGCTACGAGAGCACCAGCGTCGGGCGTGGGGCCAGCGCCAGAGGTGCTGTTGCCGCCAGGGGCGGTGCCGTTACCGCCGCCGGGGCCCCAGGGGTGGTGGGGGTGATGGGGGTGGTGAGGATGGTGCGGGTGCGTGCCGTTGCCCGTGGGCGTGGGGAGGAGGGAAGAGCTCGAGCCGGTGGGGACAACGGACGAGACACCAGTGCCGGTGGGGACGACCGACGACACGACGGAGGACGAGCCAGTCGGGACAACGGAGGAAATGACGGAGGACGAGCCGGTGGGGACGACCGACGACACAACGGACGAAGAGCCAGTCGGGACGACCGACGAAACGACCGACGAAACGCCAGTGCCGGTGGGAATGACGGACGAAGCGCTGTCGGTGCCAGTGGGGACGACGGACGAGACGACGGACGAGACGCCAGTGCCAGTGGGGACAACCGACGAGGCGACCGACGTGGGGACGTCGGTGCCGGTGGGGACGACCGACGAGGAGTCGATGGCGCCCGCAGAGCCAGCCGGAGACGGGCCACCAAGGAGGTTGCCGAGGCCGAGGCCCTGGAGGAGACCTGCATACGAAAACATAGATCGCATGAGCCTTCGACTCTAGTCATCGGTGCACGAGAAAAAGGAACGTACCACCGAGACCGGCGTCGCGCTTCTGGACGGGCGCGGGGGCAGCCGTGGTAGCGGCAGCGAAGACCAATGCGACGAGGAGCTTCGTGTTCATGACGATATTAACTTATGTGAACGAGAGACAAGTGTTGGGCAGAGAGCGAGGTGGATAGTAGCGGGTGGGTGGAAGTCCTGTTCCTATAGGCGAGGCGCGATAAAAACACAGACGAGTGTTGAGAAGAGAGCCCACCCCGCGTCTGGGTGCTGCTCTTAAGTACCCGTCCGGGGCCAGCATAACGCTACTCCCCCAAAAGGCAGTAGTTGAGGATGAGCAAAGAGAGATCCATTGATCCATGGGTCTGGAATGCGACGAGACGTCGCCACGCGTTCATGATCCCAGATGACCGCTCGCTTCGCCTATGCAAAAGTGGAGGCAGAGCGAAGGCTGCACATGGGCGGACCCGCCTTCTCCGAGCATTTGTTGTCATTCAGACGAGCCGTGACCCTGATCAAAGTGGAGCAAGCAGGTCGCGGAGGCTGACGCGAGCATCAATAACACCGGGTGACAGCAGCGACGACTTAGCCTAGTGTTTAGCGTGCTCTGGCGTGGCCGTTTCCTGGTCAACCTGCGACAAAAATACACTTGGGCTCCACGGTTCCGCAGTCGTTGAAGCTCTTCGCTGCCACTGCCAGCTGGCGAGTAAGAAGTTGGTCGGAGGAAAAGACAAACGTTCCCTCGGTCGAGAATCCGAAGTCGGCTATAGCTCGCTACTTTTGGGAAAAGATTGGAGAAATGATGAGATCTTCCATTCAATCACTCCTCATACTGTTGCAGTACCGCAGCTTGCAAGTCTTTGAAAGGCGACGGATTCCCTAGCTTCATCGTGAAATGCAGAAATCCTGAGGGTCCGAGGTTGTGGTGAATGTAGAACCGCGGCGCTAAAGTGACGTGCCAGCTGGCACAATACAGACGCCAACAAATCTGAACTTCCCACGATCCATTCCTTATTACCCCGCACTGCCAACGACAGCAATAAATGACGTGCCCCGCAAACTGCGCAGACCCTTCGAGAGTCTCAGGTGAGATCTGACGCATGATGGCGACTATTAGAAGCTTGTCGACTCATATTCCAGCACAATTATCATCATGTGCATGCAACTGTTGTGGTGCGGACAGCAATCTACAAGTAACAATCACACAAACCAATGCTGGGGTCGTTACAAAGTTTATTATTAGCCTCTAATGTTGCTGCTCTTCTACTCGTACAATGCATTTGCAAAGTGGCGCAACGTATCACGAAGCTGAAACGCTCATTACACCACATTCCAGCCCGGAAAACACTAGTAGGTCATCTACGCAAAATCAACATCAGAAACTAGCTCAGTCGCGGGCAGCCACAACAGCGAGACCCACGGGACTACTACTTACATGAGACACTGCGTCCTCTAGATCTTCGCAATTTATTCACTTCTATTAAGCTCCTCACGGCTCTGCAAAGCGAGACGTCAGCTAGCTGTCAACAATATCCAACGACGCAAAGCCCCGAGCGATCGGAAGAACGCAGATAATTTTCCGGTCGACAAGTCACCGGGTGATCCACTGGATGATCCACTGGTAAATCACCGAGACGTCCTGGAGCATTGATGATACATATGTATACATCATCAGATGTAGGGACCATCATACCATGATCAAGAACTTGTGTAAAGAATGGGAAAGAGTCCGTGGTATGAAGTCCACGATAAACCAAGCTCGAACACTCACCTTCGGCTGCTCGAGACAGTTCAAAGTGTCCTGGCTGAGCACATGCGGCTGGCGCGCGTTGTGCACCTGCATCTCCGGGTTGCTGTCCAGGCCAGCCCCGGACTGCGGCGTGTCGACGAGGTCGCTCGGGTTGTTCGTCTTCTGTGGTGAGATGAGATGCGTCGGCGACCATCACCTCTTGTTGATCATTCGAATCGCTGAGCTTCGATTGGGTCTGTTACATAAGTCACTCGTAGGGCACGGTTTTTGCGCGTCGGTGGAGCTTTTTGTTCTACGATCCGCGTCAGTGATGGTTGTAGCTCTTGGGCCTTCTCTGGATGACGTGTGCGGGGTGGTGTCTTACTGGATCATATTATCTTGGTCTTAGGGCTGTATTCTACGCTATTTACAACATTCAGCCTATTTCGTTACCTTTCTTTCAGCAGGTGGGTTTTCTATTTGTGGCAATCGCATTGCATGCTTACATAGTATAAGCCTTCGCTTCGCTCCAGCGAATATTATAGTCGGAGTAAGCAAGCCACCGCAATCAAATGAGGTGTTTTCAGCTCTCGAGTTCGATAACAAAGTTGAATGAGCTGTCGCCTGTACCCAACAAAGGGTGCACATGCTAAGGTTATCATGTATCTATTGTTCTTTGTCGGGGGACCCAAGGCAAGGATAAGATGAGGTCGCCGCTCCCCACCTGAATTTGTACCCGTGGAGACGCATCACTTAACTTCTCATTCGGGAAGGACATACCCAATCAGACTATGCGGAGACGGTCTACTGACTCGGGTGGCATAGAAACTTCGGATAAAAAGGCTTTAAAGAGATAACCCGGAGCTTTCGGATGCTGACGTGACAGCCTTGTTACAACAGGGATTGGACATAACATTCAATTTGAAGGCGCCAGGCACTTGTTGGAATCGAGCTATATACACCTTGTTGTGAGTTTCATTCCAGTCCGTGCACTGTGTTATGTGACCAAGCGGTGAGTGCTGCGTCATGAGGTCCTAAGTAGATAACTGGTGTATGAGGTACCAAGAAAGTACAAAGAAGTCTTGTAGAGGAGGAGGACGAGGGCGAGGAGGACGAGAAGTGGCGGAAGAGAATCTGGTGGTGGCGGATAACAGGGGCTAATGGCTGTGCAGGCGCAACCCCAACTCAGATTGTGGGAAGTTGACTTTACCGTGTGAATTAGGGTACCCCCGGTCGAGTTAGAGGCCATGTTTTCGTCGGCGGAGTCGTTGCATACAAAGAAGTGACGGTGTGAGCGTATAGTAAGATTTGGAGGAGTACGTCTAGATCATTCAAGTTGGGAGAGGGTCGGACCCTTTCCTTCACTCGGACGGTCCTCCAACAGACGACACATCTTACACAACTTGAATGATATTTAGCTTCGGGCCCGGGCGTGTATGCCGCAATAAGAAAGTACTTTTTCGGATAGCCCATTGCCAGTGGCTTGCTGTGGCTGCTATGCTCGCCATGTTCGAGATATCCGAGGCAAAGAGCGAGAAGGGAGAGGAAGTGGAGCCTGATCTGCATTGTGTCAGCGGAGTAAGTGTTGCTCTATTTATAAAAGTGGCCAGAGGACTAAAACGAGGTTAGCTGGCCAACTAATTTTCGCTGTGTGGCAGTAACTTCTCGATTGGAGAACTCGGAAATTTTACTCCATAGTGACTTCAACGTCTCTGGATAGAATCAATTTTTTTGGTTGATACAAACGAACTATGCTGTGAGCTGACAGCTTGCACATCGTGGATAATAAACGAGTAAAATAGATCTAATCGTATCTTCAAACTTATGACACGAACGGTGTGGTTGTGTTTGGTTGCGGCTCCTGTCGGCCCGCACGTTGCCCGCTTTTGAATGTCCCCTGTTTTCAGAATGTAGGTCGGTAGTGGTTCTATACTTCAACGCGAGTCCCTTTGTGGCGCTGCTGCTGCGTACGCGTTGAACCTTTTATTTTGAATGAGGTTCGCCCCTTTAGCGTCCCTTCACAGAATATGACAAGAGTTTCTATACAATCTTTTCTCGATACTCCTGTACGCATTGTCACGCAACCTCCGATGTTGTGCCCATGTTCACCCTATTTTAGTTTATAAATGCTCGACTGAATTGTGCTAAAGTCTCTTTTCCGCAGTTATTCGCTATTCTATGGGTTAAGACCCAGTGTACATTCAGTTGGGCATCGATGTCTCTCACACACCACTCCTTACTAGCTACTATTTTTAACGGTTTAAACCCCTTACACCCGTCTTTAGGTATAAAATAGGGCCACCCGTCTCCTCAACCTGTTAGCTTTCCGTTGTTTCCCTATTTGCTTTCTCCGAGGTCCGCGTAGTCCGTCCCCGCCATCGTTCCTTTTGGGAGACTCTTGCACACTCTTGCTAGCGTCCGAGCCCTTCAAATACCCCGGAGACGCCGTCGCGCCCATCTCATTAATAGCTCGAGTCCCACGCATGCACGTCCACCCCATCTGCCACCGAGGTTGCTGTGCGACCATGATGACACCCCCGGAAAAGCTGGCATACCCTCCGTCTATGAGGGTGACGCCAAGGTTGTGTTGCTTGAGAAGATATGCCGCGCACTCGAAACTATCTTATCATGGACCTCGAAAAACTGAGCCAGGCTGGCGCTGCGACGCAGTTGGAGGCTGCCTAGGCGGGGGTTCTGGCCCACCCAGTGTATTCAACTTCGTCGTGCTATCACATGCGACCATTGTCATTGTCTCACGTTCTGCTCGGGCATCATTTTTGCGCGGAAAGACGGTTCTTGGTTCCCTCCTGCTTGCGCGTATTTACCCACGTTTGAAGATGGGATGGGCAATGTTGAAAACGTACGTATGTGCTGTGCCCTGGTTTCAAGATACTTCTCGTTCGGGCAAGGGCATCCCACCACATGCGATATAACAGACAAGGGGATTATTGCATTCATTTTCATGTCATGGGAGGGTATGATCTTGCGAATCGACTAGCTTCATTATCTTATCACTTTTCCACTCAACACTTTCGCCCTCATTGCCATCACACTCAAACTCGGTTCATGCCTTCTGCTAACGTGTTTGGTGTGTTTGTCACCCGCGACGGAGCTTCATGCTCCACCGGAACTATCGTTTGCACCAAAAGCTTCGAAGACCAATTCGAGTCCGTAGCTATTGGCTGTTCGTTGGATATTTCAGCAGAGTTTTTTTGCCACCTGCAAGAGAACATAACTGTCAACCACAGTCTCAGTCGGTCCACTCATATTGAACTTGAACCGGCTATTACGAGAGCGATTCTCGCGGCCAGGTATGACTACGCTATCTTTCGTGCAATCTCATTTAACTTCCCCTCTCAGATCACTAAACTTGATGTAATTTTTCGAAGTCAAATGTACAGTATTATTGTCCATGTGTTAAGTTAAATAGCCTGCATGAAAAAATACTTCGACGACGTGTGACTACACCTGTACAGCGTGGGGACGGAGCGTTTACGCGACGTCGTGTCTTGTAGTATGGAATATGATAACAGATTCTGAATGTGTTTGAGAGAGCGATAAGTTACTGTGTCACGACTTTCGCGTGTAAGAAGCAGAGTGCAATCGCACAGCATGATATGTAACGAGCGAAAATGTGCAACGAATTAACGACGGGAAAAGATATACACTAGGCGAGGTCAAAGGACAGTTAAATAGGGATCCAGAGTGGATATGGAGATGCAAGCGCGGGTAACAGTGCTTCGAGAGGACTAAGACTGCTGACGTCGTTAAAATGAACCACACCGAACAATCTAATAAGACACTTACTTTGAGCTGGAGGAAGTGAAGCTGTCTGCTTGAGGGGACCGAGTCTCAGGTGGACTCCCTGACTCCCTCCCACCTGAACGTCTTGGCGACTTCAAGCTCACCGTCGACAAGCGTTTCTTGACCCTCCTCACAGACCTAGAAAAAATGGAGGTCTTGCTCGATGATTCGGACGACATCGTCTGCAAGCTAGTCGAGTTACGAAGTGACATTTGGTCTGTTGTGAGTCGGTAGGGACGGGAAGATGTGCGTTATATAGCCTTGGGAGTGCTAGCGAAGCAGACTTCGATGGTTAGCGACGACGAGAGAAAGTAGGCACATTGCTTACTCAAGGTAATGACAAGCACGACTGGACCCGGGCAGGAGGATGAGGGGACGGTGGGCGAAGAAAGCCTGCTCGGGGATCTAAATATATCAAAGAGAAGGCGTAGGTATTAGAGCTGCTAGTTGCAGGTGGGGATAACTTTCAGGGTGAGTTTGATCTCCCTGCGCGGGGCATCTCAACTAATGTATCATCGAGGATGCTGAAACACATCACTTTGTACAGGAAGCCGACTCGGAAAGATGCGCTGTTGATCGGCGAGCGGCGAATACGAAATGGAGTGTGGCGCGGCCCCAGGTGCTGCGACGCAGATAGCCGTGCATAAAAAAAGGTCTCCGCATCTCCGAAATATTACCCCGCACTGCACTTTATTTGATGCATGATGCATGACGCGTGGGGTGAGCATCCCTATGGGACGAGGCTCAGAGCAGCAGTGTCGGCTTATCAGTCGTGCTATAGCTGGGGCGGGGCAGGTCAGTCTTAACCGACTATCCCACAAGTACGTAGTATACAGTCGCAGGTGCATTGATGTCCAACAGCAAAAAGGCTGCAGCGAAAGCAAAGTACAGATGATGACAAATACGCGGTTAAGGTGCTCAATGCGAGTGTGAGATCAAGCCATAATGTACAGTATCTGAAGAAAACGAAAACTATATGCAAAGAGTACGATATGGTATCAGAATAAATCAGGTACTTAATGAGCAAGGCCGGGAAAAGAACAACCACATCTCTCAGCGGCGGACGACACCATAGGGCAGCTAGAACGGGTACATGAAGAGTGCATACGGATATGCATACATGGGCATCATCGATTGGTAGGGATTGACCCGGAGCCTGCTAAAGTCGTGACTATCAATGCAAATCCACTGGACAGCCCATGCTGACACTTACTTCGACCAAGAGCTACCGGAGCTCTCTGAACGAGAGGACTCAATCTCCTCTGAGTCCTCTGATTCTTGCTCGTGCTCGTTTTCCTTCTCCGAACGTCTCGACCGCTTCAGGCTCATCGTCGATAAACGCTTCTTGACCCTCCTCGCGGACCTGGCAAAAATCGAGGCCTTGCCTGACGATTTGGACGAGATAGTCGGCAAGCTGGCCGAGTTGCGGAGCGACATTGGTAGTTCGTAGGAGACGTGCGGTTTACGGAGATGGGTCTGAGGCTTCCGGTGGCGGAATGTATAGGTCAGCGTTGATAGCGCTGGGGAAGTTGATGCAAGGGTTAGCGATGACGAGATCAAGGATGTACGATGGATGAAACGCACAAGGTTTGTCGCGAAGACGTTAGGGGACAAACGGAAACGAGCTTGTGTGTGCGGGAAAGCGTTCGAGAAGAAGGGTATGAAGAACCTGGACATACAAACGGGCGAGTGCAGCCTTTACTTATACCTCGCTCGAGCAGCCATCCACGAATCACGAACCATGGAGATAACTGCCAGGGAGAGTTTCATCTCCCTGCACGGAGCGCCTTAGATGATATGTGACTGAATTGGCCTTGTACAATGTGCGAGTGAATCAGCCACTCAAATGCCCCAGATCGCCTCAATGGGGGCGCAACTGAGTTTGATGGCCAGCTTCTTGCTAGCGAGTATGAAGAGAAGTGTGGTGCTCGTGACAGGCCGGACCGAAAGAGCAATGACCAATGAAGTAAAAACAGAAAAAAAGAACGTCGCCATAGCCCCGGAACAATGCTCCACTCACTTTGTCTCGTTGATGGATGAAGTAGGGAACCCTGAAGAGGGTGACGCTCAGAGACGGCTGTGTCAGCCGAACATGAAGAAGATCGTGATAGCGGAGCCTATTCCACAAGCAAGCGCATCGAAATCCAATAGCAGCAAAAAGCAACAAAGAAAGCAATGTACATACGAAAACAACACACGCGCCCGACACCTCCAGCGCGAGCGCTTATTAAGCTATAATAGGTGATGCAAAACTGACATGTCAGGTTTTTATTCTTCTTCTCTAATACGACCCGGGCACTTTCGTGCTCTTGTCCTCCCACCCAATCTCCTGCCGCAGAATGGCGAGGAGCAGCATCTCGGCGGTGTACACCGGGTACCCCTCCTGCGCGATCGGACGCCATATCGAGATGTCCTCCGGACACGAGACGACGTAGCGGTTTTCCTTGCCCTTGAGCGAGCGCACGGTGGGCGACGCGGTTTGGACCTGTCATCAACGGGCCCATTAATATTCGTGCTTAGGGACAGGCTATAGGGGGAGGAAAAGTGAACGCACCGCACCACCGCCAGATGCGACAACGTTTTTGAGCAGCTTGGTGTCGATGGGGACTTTGGGCGTGACGTAGAACACCATGCCCCTGAAGAGGCGCGTACCGCCGCCGTCCTTGGCGCGCTCGAGCGCGTCCGCGAGCTTGAAGTTCCATTTCTTCTCGGATGTTTTGTCCGAGATGGAGTACTTGTCCTCCGCTGTGGCCGTACCCAGTCAATCAATACTGCCAGACCTAGAGAGGAGAGAAGGAACGCACGTAACAGGGTCCCAGCCTTTGCCGAATCCTTGGCCCATTCCTCGGTGACGATGAATGGCGCGACAGCCATAGCCGATAGGAACTTTTCGGTGCGCACAACATTCTTGACAACGAGATGCGTGCACTGCGCCGCCGTCTGCGTGGTCCGCACGCCGAGCTTTGATAGGCGCTGAGAAGTGAAAGGTAAGATCAGCATTAACGATTAAAAGAAAGATAGAGAGCCACTAACCTTCTGAACATCATCAGATAGCGTCACTCCCGTCGTCAATATCGTAACTTGCTTCCTCGACGGGCTCGCACTTGCACTCTGTGCGTTTGCATCGCCTTTGGCACGCGAAGTTTTCTCTTCCTCCTCTTTCTCCTCGTCCGCATCCTTCTTGGACCGCTTAGCCGCCCTCGCCTTCGACGCCGTCGGCGGCGGCATCTCATGCACATCACTGTCCTCCCCATCCCCGTCCCCATTCTCCCCTCTCCCCCGCTTCCCCTTGCCTTTCCCCGCGCCCCCACCAACAGCACTCGTCCTCTCCGACTCGACATACTCGCTCCGCTCGCTCTCCTGGTAACCATACGCCTCCGACCCGCGCCTCCGCGCGTTCTTCCGCTCCTTCTCGAAGCTCACCACATCCGGCATAATCACATCGTGCAGCTTCGTCGTCGCCTTCGCAGCCGCGCTCCGCCGCGCGCGGCCGTTCCCCTGAGTGAACGCGACCGTGTACGACGTCTCGGCGTCCGCGAAGGTGGTGTCGACGATGACTTCAGCTTCGGCTTCCTCCTCCTCCTCTGCCTCCTCCGCATCGCGCTTGCGCTTGCTCTTCGCAGGACTCTTGGGCGCAGGGGACGGCTGCCCGCGCCTCGCCCGCGGCGACTCCTTCGCGCTCGACTCAGCCGCGCCAGCACGCAGCGAGCCCGCCCGGTCGCGCTTGCCCGCTCCAGCATCGGCAGCAGCTTTCGCCTTCTTGCGCGGCGAAGGCGTGGTGATGACCACCGCGTCCATGAACGACGACCCGCTCTTCCGCAGCGCGCTCTTGACCTTAGCAGGCGGCCTCGGTGGCGACGGCGAGCGCGTCTCCTCCTCTTCCTCCTCCTCTTCCTCGGACACCAGCTTACCCCTCACCTTCGTCTTCGCCGGCGACCTAGAGCCGCCCTGCGCCTTCGACTTCGGCTTGGGCGCGGGCGGCGGCGCCACCTCCCCGACCGAAATCTCGTACCCGTCCTCAGACTCCGGCGTAGCCTTCGCCCTCGCCTTCATCCGGGACGCCACCGTCGTCCTGCCCTGCGCCTTCGCCTTCGGCGGGCTCTTGTACACCTCCGAATCGGATGTCTCCGTCGGCGCTGCCTTCTTCCGCGACGAGCCCTTCGCAGGGCTCGCGGTCTTCGCCTTGGAGGTGCTTGCGCGCCTTGGCATTGGCGCTGGCTCCTCGCCTTCTTCCTCAGAGTCGGAGCGCACAGCCCTGCGACCCGCCGTTGTCGGTTTCTTCGTCTGCGTCTGCGTCTTCCGCTGCTGCTGCTGCTGCTGCTGCTCGCGCGCCTTCTTCGTCAAGTTCTCCGGAATCTCATCGTCATCATCATCGTCTTCCTCCTCCGTCTCAGAGCGCACCTCCCTCCGCACCGTCTTCCTCGGCGAAGACCGCGTAACTCTGCCCTTATGCACAGGCTCGATCATCTGGATATCGCCATCGCCATCCTCATCCTCCTCGTCTCCATCCTCGCGCTCCGCCACGCCAGCCCGCAGCTTCACCGGCGACTGCGTCTTCGGCTGCATGCCCCGCTTCCTCTTCGACGGCGATGGGGGAGTCGGCGCCCTCTCCAGCGGCGCGTCGTCATCTTCCTCTTCATCCTCGTCCGCATCAACATCCATCCGCAAATCATCCTCCACCTCGCGCATGCTCTCCGACATCCCAATCGCAGACACCACCGGCTTCGCGGGCGACCGCGTCTTCATGCGCGCCGCGACGCCCGGCGCTGCCTTTGCGGGTGTCGCAACAATAACCACGGGCTTCGGCTTGCTGGGCGACGTTGACTTCCGTGGAGTAACGGTGGTAGTGCGAGCAGCCGCCCGCACAGGCGACGACGACGACTTGACCGTCTCCGGCACCTTCTGCGGCGACCTCGCCACGCGGGCCGGCCGCCCATCAACACCCTCCATCGCATCCACCTCCACCTCCACCTCCTCCCCATCCCCATCGAGCGCCCCTGCCCTCGCCCGTGCCCTCGCCTCCGCCCTCTCCCTCGCGCGCCTCAGCACCTCCCTCGCCTCCCGATCGCGCTTCTCCTCAGCCTCGACATCGTCAACGGGCAACACGGAACGACACCCGATGATGCCGTTCTTGCCCTCCGCCTCGGCGAGCAGCTGTCCAAAGTCGACGCCGTGCGGGAAGACGACGTAGCGCTCGCTACCGACGGTTAGGTTTCTGTATATACGCACGAGTGCAGGGAGCGTCAGTTTTGAGTCGGATGAGGATAGGACGGGGACAGGGATGGGGACAGATGAAGAGGAGAGCAAGGGAGGAGTGAAAGCAAAAGGGAAAATGACAAATGGAAAGGCAAATGGAAGAAGAGAAAGGAAGAGAGAAAGAGGAACCCACCGCCACTGCACAAAGCAGTCCTCGAGCCACGTATGGTTCACGATCGGAATAGACCACGTCAGCGCGCGCTGCGCCTTTGGCGAGGGTTGACTACGTAGCACCGCGCAAAAACACAAAAACTTGCGTGAGCAACTTGGAGAAACAGCGCGCGAAAGAGGCTGCTTACTATCCCGCGATCAACACCTTATTCGACGCGCTCATCTGCGGCGTGAACTCCGCGCCCGTGAGCTCGATTAGGCGCTTGAGGTAGTCGCGCACAGGCCCGGTGTAGTTCGTGATAGTTATTTGCTGTAGCATTGCCATTCAGGTCGCTGACATCATACGAAGCGCGGGTGTGCTGCGGCTTACCATGCCCTCGAACCCGCTGATAGGCAGTCGCGGGGTGGGGTACCACAGCAGGCTGTCCATCGCCGACGACATTGTGCCAGATGCGGATACGTTGAAGAACCAGGATAATGTACCGATAAGGATACCTTTTCTTAATGCCTACGTGCGGCGAAAAGCAACGCAGTCAGCAGAAGAAAGCGTCGTCAACGACGAAGCAGAACGCGACACTCACCTTAAAATACGCCTTCCCGCTGCGATACTTGGTCACAAGCACATCGCAGTCCTCTGCCGCGCGCCCCTCCGCCTCGTCGATCTCGTCCTCGTCGTCGAGCCCGCTCCTCGCCTCGACGCGCACAGGGAGGCCCTCGCCGCTGCGTATCCGCTCCTCGATCGACTCGCGCGCGCGCTCGTTCAGCCCGAGCGATGCCGAAAGCATGACCTTCTTCCCCGCCCACACCGGCGGATGCGCCTCCCTTCCGTCCGCATTCCCGTCCCCTTCGCCCTCCACACCCTCCTCCGCACCGTCCACACCACTCCTCCTCACCCTCTTCGCCCTCCTCCCATTCTCATCCACCCCCGCCCCGTCCGCACCCACCACAAAGCCCGGCTGCATAACCCTCGGCTCGGGCCACTCATACGCGCCCTCGGGCATACACGCGCCGATCCTGACCGAGTCCTCGAACCAGTGCGGCGCGACGACGTGCGTGCGCGTCATGTGCCGGAAGTGCATCGCGGTCGCGTACTTGTCCGTGCCGGTGTGCACCGCGAAGAGGTGCGTGACGTCCTTTGTGAGGCCGATGCGCCATTGGCCGCCGAGCGCGCAGATGCCCGCGGAGAGGACTTCGACGTCGGGAGCGGGGATCTGGTGGGGTGGGGATGAGCGCGTGTTAGTTTCGTGATGTGGGAGGGCGGTGGGGGAGAGGCGTACGTCTGTTGCGCAGCCTACGATGCCTGAGAAGATCATGGCGGGGTCAGGGGAGTAATATCGAGGGCTGCATTCCACATCAGCGACGTCCACGACAAAAGGGAAACGAGCAACGCACAGCATAGTCTTATTGAGCACCATCGTCTTTTCCACCCACAGCGGCGTGACGAGCGCGACGCCCTCCCTGCTCGTGCGCTCGTGGCCCTCATAGCGGGTGGTATTGGTGATGACGTGCGTGAGGTGCGGGCTCGCGGGGTCAGTGCGCACGCCGCCGTTGTTGTCGAGCAGCGAGGCAATTTCGGTGCGCTGCCGGTATGGTATCGACGTGGCGAGGTGGTAGTTGACGCCGTCGAAGAACGCCATCGTTGCCCGTTCCAAGTCGCGGACAGGGAAACGACAGTGGACGTTGACGGGAGTCACAGGTAACGATGATGTGCACGTGACTGTGACTTACCGCGTCTTCCCACGGTATTTGCATCCGATGTCCTGCTCTTCTCCTCTGTCTCTTGACCTCAAGGGAGTCTTCAGCTTCAGGTCTAGCTAAGGCCTAAGGCGTGTCCCTTGCTGCTCGCGCTCAGTCTCAGGATGTACTTACCATCAAGGATCTACTGCTCTCCTCAGATGCTTGTACCTCCTTTCTGATCACTAGTGCTCCCCATCTGATGTTTACCATCGAGTCCCGTCTTCTACGGGTAGGAGATGGAACGTGCATCGATCTCCGCATATTCCTAGCAACGGCGCAGATATCCGAGGTGCTACTGTAACGAATTCCTTCCCTCCGAGTTGATGAACTTGATGAAGCCATCGTACACACGGACTGGTAATAGGATCCCCATCGCCAGTCTTTTTGCAATGTGCCTTTGTTCTACTTGTGTCGAGCGTCTAACCGAAGTCGTTCTGGAATTCATGGTCCCCTCTTTTGTCACTCTGGTCCCTGGGCTTCTGCGTAAGACGCGTCCTCTGCCATTTGCCAGGTACCGCCGCCAAAGGAATCACCATGATTTCGACTGCGGTCAATAATTATTAAACGCCCGGCGCGCTTCAATTGTCAAAATCCATGCTCTTCACGACGTCCTACAGCCGCATCAAACTCTACTCCTATACCGTACATGCAACCCGTATCCGGACCATCCAGCGCTTCGGCGAGCTATCTATAAAACCTGCCCCCAACGCCAGAACCTCTCCAGCTCTTCGATCGTTTCTCCGCCCACCACCGCAAATCCACCCAGGCTAATTTGCCCCCCACCGTCTTTTCAACATCCTCAACCCTAGTCAATCCTTTACACACCACAAAATGCGCTCCTTCTCCCTCATCACCCTCGCCGCCCTCTTCATCGGCTTCGCAGCCGCTGCCCCCGTCCCCGCGCCCCAGCTCGGTGGGCTCACCGACGCTGGCTCCGGCCTCGAGCAAGAACTCGACCAAACTGTCAGTGGCCTCACCCAGGGCAGCGGCCTTAGTGGCCTCACCGATCTCGGAGGGCTCACTGGGGGGGCCGGCCAAACCACCGGCGGGCTCACCCAGAAGCTCGACGTCCGTCAGGAGCTCAGCATCCTCGGCGACTAGATGTCCATGCTTAGCTCAGCTGCTTTGCCAGTGGCAAGTCTCGTCATAACGGTCGATCTAGTCGGGCACTGATGCGGACGCGTTTATAGGTCCAGTGACCGTCACTTATACCCTTTCGCTGCTGCACTTTCTCGTTTACTAGTCTGGTCTATTTGTTACGGCGGCTTTCAATGTCAAGCGCTTGCTTGTAGATATCTGGCCTACATACCTGTGGTAGCAGCTTTGTCTGCGGTCCATGTTTATTTCTGAGACTTTATCTCATCCTGTTGGTCACCTCTGTAACTCCGTTTGACGTCGTCTTTGAATGCATTTTGCTTCGGTATCGTGGTTGCTATGACCCTCTGCTTGGCCCTCTGCTTGAGGTTCGGACGAATTGCTCCGCATTGCGTTCGCTCTCGTACTGTGAACCTGGACTCGGAGAGGTCGCGAACGGGTGAGGTTTTTAACGTCTTAACGGTCTGCGCCTTCGACGGACCAGCAAGTGGGATCACATTTTTATGTTCTATGCTTCCTCCGATGACCAACAGCTGACGCACATTGTTCTTTTCATTTGCGTCAGCGGCGTGTCTGTTTGCAAATTGTCTGGAGGCTAATTTAATCCACTGACTCAATCTCTTCGCACAGTTTGCCTCAATTCCGTGCGACAGGAGTGCGGTTAATCTACTTAGCTTATCAGTGACTCATTTCCAACGAGAACCTTAAGCAGTGTGGGGCGGAGGGATAAATAGCTCACAGCAAAACATGGACTCACGGACATCTCTCCCATGAACACCACTCAGCCTCGCGTTTGGCTCGGTGAGCTCACAATCATACTATGAAACGGCTGTTGACGCATGCATTTCCTTCTAGTCACGGGTGCGTCCACTGGCTTTGGACGTCATATGACAGAGCTCCTCCTTAAGAAAGGAGACATCGTTATCGCCACCTTGCGTAGACCAGAGGTCTTATCTGACCTCACTTCTGCGTACCCGTCAAGCCGTCTTCTCGTGCTCAAGCTTGACGTGACCAAAGCTCGGGACGTGCACGATGCTTTCGAAAGAGGTATTGAGGCATTCGGTCGTGTTGACGTCGTCTTCAACAATGCGGGCCAGCTCTGCGTCGGCGAGCTGGAGTCGGTGGACGACGAGACGGCGAGGCGTGTTATGGAGGTTAACTTCTGGGGTGCAACGCACGTCACGAAAGAGGCGATCAGGGTATTTCGGGAGGTGAACAGCCCGCGTGGTGGGAGGTTGCTCCAGGTGTCGTCGCGTGCAGGGCTGATTGGCACTCCCGCTAATGCCCATTACACTGCATCGTACGTGGTCACCTTATGGGATGATGCACCGACTCTGACACTTTACTACTCTCTTTTGTGTAGGAAACATGGTTCGTCTGCCTATCTCCGTTGATGTCATCTACCTGGCTGGGATCTAAGTCTTGCGCAGCGCTAGAGGGTTTAACCGAGTCCGTCGCCCAAGAGCTGAGTCCAGACTGGAACATCAAAGTGCGTCTCCTCATTCCAACGTTGCATCGATTGTTTCCCCTAGCACTCAGCGTACTACTAGATAACCATGATCGAACCCGGCCCATTTCGCACCGCGATCTTCGGAACCAACATCATCCACGTCCAGCAGCACCCCGCATATGCTGACCCGTCCATGCCCGGATCCCAATTTATAAAGTTGGCTTGCGAGGATTTCCCAGACGGAGACCCGATCAAGGCCGTAGAGATCATCGAAAAGGTAACGCACCTCGAAGACCCGCCGCTCAGGCTTCCGTTGCATTGGCACGTCATTGCTGCGCTGCGGGATAAGGCGAAGGCGCTTGGGAAGACGGCGGATGATTGGGAGAAGTGGTCCGATGGGATATACTTGGAGGGTACGGCGTCGTGAGTTTTGTTTACGAAGACTGTAGTATGCATCGTACTGTAACAAAATCTGAATGTAACACAAGACACACCGAGCTACGCTCCGGCACTTTCTATCGAAGTTAGCAATATCAATGAGCTCGAGCTCACACCGCTACAGCATATCAAAAGTTTCCCAAGGGCTTAGCTGAGGAAAAAAACGCACCATAGGTAATTGCACGTATCACCAGCAAAGTGTCGTTCAACCACGTTCGGGATTTATTCGGGATAAGCATGGCAGGCCAAGATCAAAAAGGAAACCCTCATATCAAAACGACAAACAAAGGTCAACAAAAGCCTACCATAATTTTGAAGATACGAGTTATTGGATGAAGCCTACATGTGAACGTGCTAACAGCTCACCCTTTTGGAGCGTTTTCGACAATTCACTAAGAACCTTGTACACCTAGGTCTTCTTCTGTTCGCCCATTTTTTCTCCTGTTTTATGATTGCTTCGTGCAAGGCTTCGTGGCTCTGTTTTATCTTTTTAGAGATCTACAGCTCGCTAACTATGTGTTCGAGACGCGTCTCGACCTGTCTCAACCTGCCCTCAAGCGCACCTTCACTGGCCCCGTGTTTTCCTGTCATACAACTAACTCTCCCCGACCGTCACTATGATCCTTCCGTCACCTGCCTAACAACATTGCCCTCGGCCATCAACGCGTCGCCGAATGTGTCGCGAGCAGTGCGGCTAGCTACACTACGCCAGGCGTCTGACTGTCAGGGATGTTCAATTCGGCCGCTCACTCAGATCATCAGATGACCGAGACACGCCAAGTCTCCACCGCAACCGGTGACGTCCTGGGATCGACCACGCTCACCCACGCGGACAGTTGGACTCGGAGCAGCGTCCGCCGTCCAAAGCTCCCCCGGACCTTGTCTCCCCGGTGCACATCACGTCTCGACCTGTCTCGACTGAGCCCGGGTACATTCCCCGCAGGATGATCATCCCCCCCGGCCCTGGCTTGGAACTTGGAAGGGCTTGAGGCTTGAGCGTATAAAGCTGTGGGGCGCCTCGAGCCAAATTTCATCTATTGCTTAACACTTGAACCTGCGACGCAGCAGCGCAACTTCGAAGAAGAAAGAAGAGCATATAGGCGAACTGTCCCTGCGATGCTTCTCACAAGCGTCGTTTCGGTCCTCCTCGCCGCCTCGTCGACGGCTTGGGGTAATACCGCCACGCCCTCGTTCGACACGGCAAGCGCCAACGGCAACGGCACGTCGACGTTCTCGGGGAACGTCACAAACTGTCCTGGTGATTTCTCCTGCTCAAGCTTCCACTACAACAGAGGAGAGGACTGACAACGGAGCACAGGATACACGTTGCAGAACCTCTCGCACAACGAGCACGGGATCACGGCTTCGCTCAGCTTGGCTGGAGACGCGTGCAATGCCTTTGGGAAGGATATCGCGAATCTGACGATCGAGGTCGTGTATGAGACAGAATCCAGGTACGCGCCTTCACCCGCATCTCGCACTTGCCCTCCCCATACCACCTCCCCAACTACTCTACTCTACCAGTACGCTAACATAAACCCGCACTAACCCATAGACTCCACGTCCACATCTACGACACCGCCAAAAACCAATTCACCATCCCCGACACCGTCGTCGCGCGCCCCGCGCCGCCGACCCAGTCGCACACCACCACCTCGGACCTCGAGTTCAGCTACGACGCGTCGCCGTTCGCGTTCTGGATCACGCGGCGCTCACAGCCGGACGCGATGCCGTTGTTCGACACACGCACGCGCTCGCTGCCTGCGACGCCGATCGCGTCGACGCCTGCGGGCGGGTCTAGCGTAAACTTAGACGGGTTCGAGCTCGTGTTCGAGGACCAGTATCTCCAGGTGCGTGCCTCGGGCCTTCCACAAACATGTGGGGAGTGTGATCATGAATGAAGCTAACTAAAGGTGATGATTTGTTCGTGCAGATCGCATCCGCCCTGCCGAAGGGCACGAACGTCTACGGTCTCGGCGAGGTCATCGCGAGCAGCGGGTTTAGGCGCGACATCGGCGCCGACCCCGGCGAGAACGGGACGCTGCATGCGTTCTGGGCGAGCGATATGGGCGATCCCGTCGATCAGAGCATGTGCGTCTTTAGCTGTGGACTTGAAGTTGATTGTTGATTCTGACGCGGGCGTGTTTGTGGTTACATTATTACCTGACTCTCTTAGGTACGGCTCGCACCCGATCTACATGGAACACAGATATGACGAAAGCACGGGGACGTCCTCGACGAACGGCGTCCTGCTCCTGAGGTGCGTCTTGCCCTGTCACCCTTGTCCCCCACTCTCCAAGAATCTAACCATCATGCCCAGCTCTAACGCGATGGACGTCGTCCTCACGACCCCGCCCGATTCAAACGTATCCCTGATCGAGTACCGCGTTATCGGCGGCACGCTCGACTTCTACTTCTTTGCGGGGCCGACTGCGGGCAGCGTCATCGAGCAGTACGGCGCGCTTATCGGGTACCCGTTGTGGCAGCCCGCATGGGGGTTCGGGTTCCATCTCTGCAGGTCCGTTCTCTGCGATCTCTTGTTTGCCCTCCCTGCTATTCCCTGACACGTTTTTGGAAAGGTGGGGGTATCATAACATCTCGGAGACGCGAGAGGTCGTCAAGGCGATGCGGGCGGCGGATATTCCTTTGGAGAGTACGTCATTTTTTGTTTTCATGGACGCAAGGACGATATGGCTGATTCGAATTGGCACGTACCGCAGCCCAGTGGAACGACATCGACTTGTTCCAAGTGTTCCGCGATTTTACGTCCGATCCTGTGAGCTTCCCAGGTGACGAAATGAGGGAGTTCATCGCAGAACTGGTGCGTCTTTTGATGTGTCCACACTTAGTGTCGGTTGCTAACGCCGTGTTCTGTGCGCGTGTCTAGGCTTCGAATCATCAACATTGTCAGTCCCTCCTTTTTTGCTCAGAGTGTGTGCATCCAGGATATTCACAGTATTTACGACGCAGATATCCCGATCGTGGACGCAGCCGTGGCTGTTACAGCGAACTCAACGGACGTGGTGAGCAATCTGTCTTGCGCCGCTCATTCTTTTGGATGACTGACGTTACTAGTATGACACATATACCAGCGGAGTCGAACAGTAAGGACCTCCATCACCCTACCGTTATTAGCGCTACTGTGCTCACCTCCATCCTAGAGACGTATGGATCAAGAACCCCGACGGGTCCATGTACATCGGCCAGGTCTGGCCCGGATACACCGTAAGCCCTCGTTTTATCTTTTGATGTTGTTCTATCCTAGGACGTGGCTCAGCGTGAATTTTGCTCTCTAGGGCTTCCCGGACTGGTTTGCACCCAACACGGAGGCGTGGTGGACACAGGCGTTCCAGAATTGGAGCGACAGCGGCATCACGTTCGACGGGATATGGCTGGACATGAACGAGCTCAGCACGTTTTGCTTTTATTCCTGGTACGCATACTTTTCCTCTTCCATTTCCGGTATGGGTTCTCCGAGCTCATTGTCTGCGGCCAAACACAGCGGCACGGGAGCGAATCTCTCGGACATACAGCCGTACGTAGGCGCAACCTCTGTCGAGGGATGGCCGGAATGGTGTGTTGCTCCCCTCTTCCGTCGATCATATGCATGCACCGGCGTTGCGCAATCTTATGATAACGTTTGCGCAGCTACAACGATACGCTCTCCGGGAAGAGCGGGAACATGACCGTCAACGGCACCAGCACCAACTCGTGCGCCAGCGGCTCCGATTCCAGCAGCATTGGCCCTCAGAAGAGGATGTCCATCGTCAATCGTAACGGGCGCGGCGTTGGCGCGGGCGACGAGCCTGGTGTTGACCTAAATAGTCCGCCGTATGCAGTTCATAATTGTATGTTGCCACTCTTTTTCTTGTTGCATTCCCTTTCCCCTTTTCTTTCCCTCTTTACCTCCTTATGGCCTTCTTTCGTGACACAACTCATGCTGCAATCGACCAATCGCTAACGCACCACAATAGCCTACGGCGGACTCAACTTACACACGATCGCGACAAACGCGACGCACGCTGGAGGCTACGCCGAGCTGGACGTGCACAGCATGTGGGGCCTCATGGAGGAGAAAGCGACGCACCACGCCGTGCAGACTGTCCTGCCGGGTAAGCGGCCGTTCTTGATCTCCCGCTCGACGTTCCCGTCCTCGGGCAAGTGGACTGGCCATTGGGTGAGTTTTTCGTCCCGTGTTTATCAAATCCATAAGGGATCTGTGCTGCGTGAAAAATTCGGTGCTTACGATTTGCTTTATAGCTGGGCGACAACAACAGCACATGGCAAAACATGTACTACAGCATCCAGGGTATTCTGCAGTTCCAGCTGTACCAGATACCGATGGTGGGACCCGATACATGTGGCTTTAGTACGAGTACTTTTGTGCTACTCTCATACCCCATCTGACCGCATAACGTTTGGGCTTTTAGACAGGAACGCCGATGAGGAGCTGTGCAACCGGTGGATGATGATGTCCGCGTTCGTGCCGTTCTACAGGAACCACAACACCTACGGTGCCCTGTCCCAGGAGCCGTACAGGTGGGACAGCGTCGCCAACGCGTCGCGTATTGCTATTGCTGCGCGGTATTCTATGCTTCCTTACTGGGTGAGTTTGACCATTCCCCGGTGCGTCTCTGCACTGCTTAATGCTGTTGTTAGTACACCCTCTTTGCGAACTCGTCTACGGCTGGAACCCCACCCGTCCGCGCCCTGTGGTACGAGTTCCCGAACGAGCCGGAGCTCTTCGCCGTGGATAAGCAGTGGCTCATTGGGAGTGACATCCTCGTCACTCCCGTACTTGAGCCCGGAGCGACTACTGTTGACGGTACGTATATCTTACCGCAATCTGTCCTGACCAAGAAGCTCATAAATATGAATCAGCCATCTTTCCCGGCCGCGGCAACGTCACCTGGCGTGACTGGTGGACGCACGCCGCCGTTAACGCCACGTCTGGCGGGACCACAACGCTCCCGGCGCCAATCAGCACCATCAACGCGCACATCCGGGACGGCTCCGCGCTCTTGCTGCACCAGGAGCCCGCGTACACGATCTACGAAACGCGCCTGGGCCCCTATGCGCTGCTCGTCTCGCTCTCGGCGGCCGGTGGCGCGTTCGGCACGGCGTACGTCGACGACGGGGAGAGCTACCCGCCGGGAGACAGCCGTACGCTCACGTTCGTCGCGAACCCCGGACAGTTCCGGATCCAGAGCGAGGGCGCGTACGACGTCGCTCAGAAGCTGGAGACGATCACGGTGCTCGGTGTTGCACAGAAGCCGAGTGGTGTGAGCGTGCAGGGCCGGGCAGTGGGCAACTTCACATACCTGCCAGCGACGGAGGAGCTCGTTCTAAGCAACTTGGGCTTGGATTTGAATGAGGGGGCGACGGTGAACTGGCATTAGTGTCATAATTTGATTATTTTTAGTACCCCCTCGACGTAATGTAACGAATTTTTAGCACACTTAAATTCCTGATTTTGCGTATTCAGACATCGAGACGGTGCGCAATACCCCGGTGCTAGAGAATACATGGCACCAGCTTCGGAGGTGTGGCGTTGCATCACCTATCGTGTTCATCCACTTGTCTTTGACGAATCACTGGATTTTTGGTTCCAGTGCCAGCCACCTTCGCGATCAGGCTAAGCAGCAGAACGGAAACGGCAGCATGTTCGGAACCAGCGTACCAAATACTATTTATAGTCGCGACTTCCAAGTCCGCCACCTCGGCAGCTTTGGGTATTCTGACTAGCTTTTCCGGAAGTTCAGATTAGCGCTTGAGCCCTTGCTGATGGTTTTTGCTAGGGATGAGAAGACTCCGCGGGCTGGCGCGAAAATAGCAACTACATTCTTTGTGGCGCCTTGCATCTCGCGAGTTGATCACGTTTTTCTTCTTCTCTCGTGTACCAGCTATACGCGGTGACCTAGGCCATTTCCAGCCCAAGAACCAAGGAAAAGATCCTGTGAACCCGTTCTGATCTGCGTAATTCGCCAGCCCAAATTACGACCACCGGAGACAAGGATTTGATCGCCGCGAGAGGCTGTTTCCGGATGTGTAATCCTCATTGCTTCCTTGGAAACGCTCTGTGTGCTAGCGCCCAGGAATTCAACGTCAGCCAGTGCAACTTTCGAATTGTACGTTCGTCGCATCACCCATGTTCGTCCTTTCAGCATACTAGTATGTCCAGCGGTTCTGTAAAATAGGGTTCATTACTAATCCTGCTACCAATCCGATTCTACGATACCGAGTGGAACTCGTGAGGTGTGAGCATTACCTCTCTGTCCAGCGCCACAAAGACCTGCAGGATTCCAACGGAACTAAGCCTTCCCAAGCCAGTATTTCTCACACTTGGAGTTGCATTGGCTGGTACGAAGCACCCAAAAGCACGCAACCTAATCGCTTCGGTCTAATAGGAATCAAGATTTCAAGAACTAGTGTGACCGCGGAGGTACCGCCTAGGATGCATAAAAGCTGGTCGTCTTCGACCTACAGTCTGCATCGACTTCAATCATCCTCAAGCATCTCAGCTTACCTCTCCGATCAATTCCACAAATCACCTCTCCCCAATCGCCCAACACCCGCCGATCACCATGCGCTTCTTCACCATCGCGTCTGCCGCTCTCACTGTCTCCCTCGCCGCTTTCACTGTCGCTGCCCCCGTGGCAGAGACCGAAGCCCAAGTGGCTGCTGCCCAGCAGTCTAACGAGTCAATCTTGTCCCTCTGGACCGCCGCGTTCACCAAGATCACCCCACAGGCTCAGTCTTTCAGTAAGTGTCCACAATTCTGCAGAGGAAACTGTGACTGACGCATCTGCATATTCGCAGCGTCCCTCAACTCCAGCACCGCGACGACGGAAACTATCCTGCCCAAGCTCCAGAGCATCCAGAAGTCTCTTCAGGCCCTCCACACTGGCGTTACAGGCCTTCAGAACTCCGGAGCTCCCCTGAGCCAGCTCCTCTCGTCCGCCGACGGTTCTTCTCAGCTGAGCGTTCCCGAGCTCGCCTCGCATTTGGCCGGAGACATATCTGTATGTCCCTCTCCTATTAACGTCCATCTGACTTCGTTTAGTCGTGCTAACGCTTGACCTCGCCTAGACTCTCGTCAACGGGCTCGGCGTTGCCCATGGCTCGGGCGATGTACCGCTGAGCACTGCTCTTGGTTCTCTCTTGTTATCCGTTGGGTGAGCCTTCACGTTGTATAACGTGTTTAATTATCCCGACTCAAATAATCACGACCCTTTCAGTCTCCTGCTCTCTTCTGTCCTCTCGATTGTCCTTGGGCTCGTCGGCGGCCTCCTGGTCTCCCTCACGCCCCTCCTCCAAGGTCTCGGTGGCACCCTCGGGCTGCTGGGCCTCAACGTTCTCGGCACCCTTCTCCAACTCTAATCAACCGTCAAGGGGAATCAAAGGCTCACGAAGATGCCTTTTCCAGACATAGACTTTCTTGTTTTTCTTTAATCTTTCTACAGATCTGGTCGTTCGGTCGTTGCCATTGGATTGAGTCATGGGCTCGCTTTCTTGCTTTTAATGCGCTTTGGTATACTTAGAATACGAATTTGCTATACCTTCAATGTGTCCTCATGTTGTAGTACGTTTAGCAGATGACGAATAGAGTTCTTTATGAACATCCAGCCCATATCATGCAATAGTTCTTCTGAAATGTGCCAGTCTTGCACGAGTCTTATAGAGTTATTTGACTGTCACCTTTGAAACACTTGACGCCCGGGCGTAAGTCATATCCCTTAGGATCGAGGCCGTGTGGCATGGGAAGTTACCGAGCAAGAGTCGTTCACTAGTGCTAGTATTAAAATATTAAAGGAGCTGATCAGCGGAGAGCTGAGTGAACGTTAAGCTGAACAGATCGATCAACCTCACACATGGTATAAATGCGCGTACCAGCCTCAATAGTTGTCGGCGCTTACTTTTCGCAGTATACTCTGTAGGAACGCCCGAGGGTTCGTAATTAAAATATTAACCCCCTACAGCTTGACGTTTGGCTGACACATCGGTCTCCTTCTTTTGAGCAGGTGTGTGATTATCCTTTACGAGAGTCAACTCCCACTTGGTACAGCCTGGAGCGGTCTGCCCTGAACGCATATGTATTTAGCACCCAGGTTGGGACAGCCAAACTGATGTTGTTGACTTGGCTTAGGAATCTCTCCGTATCATTAAGCACATCCTCGGCTTTCAATTGTACATGTTTGTCTTGCTCCACTTTTGTTCTCATCATGTCTCAACCCTACCTCTCACTGAATCACCGTCTATTCAATCCACGGCTCTTCAGCTAACTTTGTCATTCATACCCAGTTCCGAACATGCACCCGATGTCTTCTTGCTGCTCCACTGTCCATGTTAGTGATGACACCATTGGCGTCTATTATGATCTCCCGACATTCTCAACTTCGTTGCAATTGTTGTCACTCCACTGCCCCACCCAATCCTTGCGTCATGGCTGCACCACCATTTATTTCTACTCAATGGTCACCTTCAACAGGTTGTTCACCTCCGTTTTTTCCTGATACTATGCCTGTGCCCCCGATGAAACAACGCGCCCGTCGTGAAACATGCTTGTACTTTGAGTATCTTGAACGCGTCTCTCAACCATTACCTCCCAAAATTCGTTTGTGGGCTGTGCTAGGTCTATTTGATAGCATAGTCGAAGCTCAGAAGCTAGATCCTAAAATTGAGTAAACACGGCTCGAAAGACTGTCGTGTGTTCTCCCCTTCAATGCTTATCCGCTCAGGGCACCGGGGTAAATGTTACCCTATCACTTTGATCTCTCTGTGACGCCATGACTGGTACCCAAAGAGCACTGTACACTAATTGTGCACACTAATGTTTAGATAAATGTAACATATAAACGTTGGAATGTTGTACATGGAAGATAGGGGGTTTAGCGCGGTGGAAGCCGGCATCTCGCTGGCATCTCTCCCAGGCAACGGACAAGTCTGTCGCTTTGTCTCATGCTACGGAAGACATTGAGATATATGAATATCATGTTTTTGAAGGTCATCGTAGGAGTATGTGGTCAAGGGATTGAGTGCAAGTCGAGGATGTTTCACGACAGGCGCGTTGTTTCATCGGGGGCACAGGCATAGTAGTGGCTCATTACGCCGCCCCACTCTTTCTAGATATGTCGGGTTTACTATATTGAGCATGCGCTCCATGTTTGATATTTAAACTCCCCTGCACTGCTGTTCTGGAGCCTTACTGCTTCCCTGATATCCTCACATAGTATAGTGTAGTACTATGTGAGCCATTTAAATTTGAGAGGGGTCGGGCGGGTGCCATCCTAGCTATAGCACAATCTCGCGTCCCCGACATGCTTTACCCACGTGCACCCAGCTAGGATGCCCTTGAGGACACCCCGACCTGTACTGGTTGAGTGTGTTTGTTTGTGCTGAGGGAACATAGGACAAATTGGCTCACTCTGTTGCCACGCTAGCCGAGTATTAGTTGTTTTTTTAGTTACGCAGTCTCTTCTTCAATAGCCCACGGTACCCGGCCTCAATTATAAACATGGCCTTCAAAATTTGATTCCCCTTCCCTCTTCGCTACTGTATATATATGCGGTATACATCAACATCTGACATCCCCCCTATCGGAGCGAAGCGATGACATTCCTTGTATTTCATATTCGTATTATTTGTTCAGTCAAACTGGCTGCTCAAACTATACATGACATCAAGATACAAAAGATTTGTCATTTAATCATGTCGAACCTTTTTCGCCCAGGTTTGAAAGGCTGAGATTGACGACGCGTTCTGGACCTTGTGGTACCGAGGTGCCGGCGTAGCACGAATGATTACATCCATGTCCAGTACAACTTGAACAATAGAGTTCACTCATGTTATGGTGCACGAGGCGCTCGCGTGTGTTGTCCCAAACTCTGGGGTTGCCAGTGTAGCAATTTACCGGCAGGGGAAACACAGGGAGAAAGGGAAGAAGGCCCTTTAACAAACAAACACAAATCAACTCGAACTAAACCCTTGGCGAGATTTACGAGTAACTACGCCCCATTCATACACCGACAAAAGCCCAACAGGAATTTAACTCTCGTGTATATTCTGTTACGTAGGGAGCCTTTCTCAACCCTCAGGTCGATGGTCTTGTTGTATACATGAGCAGTGTTGCACGTCTCCTCAAGCTTGTCTCAAGGCAGCAATTTGATCCAAGGGAGGTTGGCGATCAAAGTATGCAAGCTCTTGACAGAAGCGCCCACTAGTAAGGCACTCTGCCCACTTATCTCCGGTACTCGTTTGATGAACACCCCTTCTCGAGATGTCAAAGACGCGCGAACGTTGAAACTGACACGTACGACACGAGGCTCATGCTGTTCTCAATTCAAACCTCGGACTCTGAAGAAGAACCGTGTATGACTTTGCGTTGTATGTATTCGGGTTTTGACGTCGGCAAACACAACTCTCGCGGCGGTGGATCTAGCCCGATAACACGCGTCTTGCTTTGCAACATCTAGAATTGATGCGAAAACAGGGTGCCTTGCTCTGAGAGGGCCGCTAACAGCCATTTGGGGTCATAGCTTACTTCGTATAAATGCTGGGCGGTTGATGCCTGTTCGACCAGATCCGTCTTGACTCGGCTCCCTTAGGACACCCTCCGAATTTGCTCGCCTTCTTCATGCCTACCTTACCATTATTGCCAGGTTCTGCTCTCAACTTCGACCTCTTGCTATACATCATCTCTCTTGCAGCCAAACCCGACTTCAACGCCTTTTCTCGTGGCGAGAACCCGTATGCAGGGCTGTCGAGCCTCTGCGGTATTCACTCAATCCTCCGTAAAAATGCTTTGTGTTTACTCGTTCATACGGTGGTTCTTCCTACACACAGGGAGCTCGTGTTGTTCCAGCAAACACTGCAAGCCCAGAACGATCGCGCCACCACAGGACTATTTCCCAAGCTTGCCTTCGACTACGTAGGAAACGTCCGCAGGATCTTCGTAGGCTACCTGCCGATCGCACCCGTTCTCCTCCGCCTCCACCGATGCCGACGAGAGGAACGCCCACGACCGAGCTATGTCAAAGGCGGATTCGCAACTCGACGACTCTGTACTTATTCCTGTGCTCCGCGCGGCGCGCGACATTGCGGTGGACGAGATGGCTTTATCCCTAATGAAGAGGCTCTTTCGTCAATCAGGGGCCTCCAACGGATACGAGAATGGCCTGGGGGCTAACTCCGATCAGCCTCGTTGGGAGATGAGCTCCTTCTCCATCGTCGGGCCTCTGGCTGACTTGGACTGGGCTTTGTTCAAAGAGGATGTGGGACCCAGCTTCTTCGCTTCTACACTCCGCGTCCGCAGGTATCGGGCTGCTTGCTGTCATCCACATGGTGCTGTGGATAATTCCATCGTTCACCAACCGATGGAAGATTCCGATCGCACGAGATTGCCTCTGGAGCGGCGGACGCAATGGATGCTCATGCCACGCCCTGAAGGAGATTACCATATTACTAACGAACATATTTCATCGTCAAGCGTCCCGCATACGCTCATAGGGAGGGCATGCGTGGCAGCATGGGCTCGCGATAAGCTTCGATTGGGTGGAGAGATGGTGTCTGTTTGAACGATGGTTGATTTGCGACCAATGCGATACGCGTAGATACCGTGAAGTACAGTGAATACTTTCGATAGACAGGTCTCCTCATAATTGCAATCGAATTGATATCAGTTTGCTAGTAACACATCAGTGGATGTACTCACAACGCGCTTATGGTACGGATGAAGGATCTAACTCATATCCTTGTAGAACAAACATACGGCCTAAAAAGACGTAGATGGCTCCTGACAGATAAGTAGGGTAGACGCGACAGATGTAGCTGAAGCGTAGTCCGGCTACTGTTATCAATGCTCATCTTGACGCAATCCTGTCCACGTTTTCAAACCGCTATGAAGCCCAGAGTGGCAGGCGAGGCGTATGTCCTGTAATAATACGTACCATATTACTAAAGAACATACGCGAGTCCCAAACACCACCAGCCCGAACCACCGCGAGTCCCTCCTAACTATATGCGAGAGATAGGAAGGATTGAGAAATGATTAATGAAGCTTAGATGAAGACAGATAAGAAAGCGGACGAGAAAGAGCCGTGGGAACATCATGCCAACGGTTTCCATCAGACGCGAGTGACCAGCTCTTTTCCCACACCTTTTCTCTCTAACGCCTCGCAATCGCATTTGGACCCGTACGACATGATTGTGTGGAGAGATCTGGAGGCTGCGTGATTCGGCAACTTTCTCGACCCATCGAGGACGTAATGAGGCGAAGCCTTTCGCTAGCACACGTTATCGCTGGAATGATTACTGTACACTCGGGTACTCAGCAGTCTCGGTTAAGGCACGCTTACTCTTTGGATTGTGTACGTCTCCTTCATCTCTCAAGTCCATCAATCTCTTCCATCCGGGCTATGTCTCTCTCACACACAGTTATGTTTCTGTGTTCCCACCAATGAGTCACTTTTTCTCCTATTCCGAGTCTGAGGTCACCTACGCACCTACGACTCATGGACATCAATGAAATTGGCCATTGCAGCGACCTCAAGCACTCCCGACTTTTAGGTTGTTTCTGATGGTTGCACTGATCTCAAGTCTCCCGTATACTCTGTAAGTCATGTCTACTGAACGCTCCCCCAGTTACATGGTACCATGGGTAAGTAGCTCACGAAAATTCTGTGAACGTCCCGACGCATATGCATCGGCTACTTACCCGCCGTACCTGGACTCGCCTTCACCGCCTCCTTGTCCTGTGCAGACAAGCAACGAGCTCGTGACATAGACCTAAGCCATACAACATCCTCTTCTTGTTCCGATTCCCTTCGCTCGCATGCGATATATCTGGGATGATAATCTCGTGACGGAGTAGGTCGACTACGAAACCGGGGCTACAGAATAGCACGAAGATCGATCGATGCTAGAGACGTCCACAAGTAATTATCGCGTACTACCGCTGTACGATATACCGCGATTCGGGGATGTATTCATCAAGCTGATGGCAGTACATCCTTCAAGACAAGGTTGATTTTCGATTTTCAATGAAGGACTGCGAATGGCACGGCTGACGGATGTGCTGTGGTGGTAAGAGACGAGAGGATTATATTGGGAATATACTCAGACTCTCCTCAGACGTCTAACAAGGCACGAGGGGGAAACCAGCCGAGCATGGATATCAGGCACCTGTAGAAAATCGAGGTCGCACGGGGCTCGCGACGACGCACAGCGCGTTTGTCCCGGGCAAGAGGAGGGTGCCCGAAGGGCAATCGCGTGAAGATCACAGCTCACTACGACAGGGTTATATACGTAGATAAAACCTCGGAAACAACAATATAAAATCGTCACGTCATGATGTCAGCGATATCGAACACAGAATTCCAACAGCACCCCAGCCTGATTTCAACGTCGTTGAAGATGCCGCGTGGCGCAACTGATCTCACTTGAGTGCTGTTGTATGAAAGTAAGAAAGTTGTCAACCGGCGCATTACAATGCATATCGTAGTCATATGAATATAGATCTATTGATTCTCTAGGAATAACCATACAGTAAACAATTTTTGCAAAAGGCAGTAAATATCGTGACCATGGTCATAAACAACGTCGAGTGGTACGTAAGATCATGTGCTTTCCCTGCGACTACCAGAGCGCAGGTTCGGCGACGGAATATGGCTATAATAGGATCGAGCGTGCGTATTGGACCAAAGAAACTCGTCGAGAAAGGAAACGTGGATAAGAACCAAAAGCCAAGGAGAGATAGATGGGAGGAGGAAGGTGAGGTATAAGGTTAAGCAGAGAAACGAGATTTACTGAGGCTACGAGACGGACATGCAATGTATGTGAGAAGACAGGATGAGTATCACGGTATGAAAGTCGGTACCCCTGGCTGATGGCGTGGTATCAGCAGTACTTGTGGCAAGAAAACGGTATGGAGGCGAATGAGTGGCTGGAGCAGTGACATGACGTCGGCAATGTGCGACACAAACAGAGATTGGACCAAGTCGAAGGATATGTCTAGGGTATTTCTGTGAATACAAGCTGCGTCGATTAGCATTCGGAACAAGGGTAGAAAACGATCTATATGCAGTCACCTCTAGGCGGGGTTTACAAGTCTATACACGAATGCCCTTGGTGGATTCACCAACCTTGCCCTCAATCTCCTTCGGCGCATAGGCGAAATGGTGCGCCAGCGTCTTTCAGGGCTGAACACGAGGAGGTCCTCAAGGATGCTGCCGAACCGACAGGCGACGCGGCCGGGACAAGTGGCGACCTCGACGGCCTTCTGCTGGAGACGTAGGGGTATGACTCTCGAGATGATCCTCGTTGAGGGCATCCCCTAGAACATCGCCGCCGAGGAAGCCCCCTACCGGAGCGTCGTCACCACGGAGACCCCCCACTAGAGAGTCGTCACGAACCAGTCGGCCGGTCAGCTTGTCGCCTGACTGCGAGAGGGGGACGGCAGCAGCGAGGGAGGCGCAGAGGACGACGAGGACGATGACAGAGCGCATCTTAGCCAGGTGAGGGCTGAAAGGATGGTGTCTGGTTCGACGAGGAGGAGACAAGGCCACGGGGCTTGGGAAGACCTGGTGAGCTGGGCGGAGGCGAGGCCCGCTTTATAGCGTTTGGGAACGCTTATGACGATGAACGTAATCCCGAGTCGGTTGGTGGAAGCGAGGAAAGTCGGTAAGCCCGACAACTGCTGAACTGTCATTTTGACCCTGAGCAGGAAGGGTGGACCAATACCGCGGAGAAAATGCAGAGCACAATGAACCGAGGAGACACCTTTGAGGAATCGAGAAGAGGGAAACAGAGGGAGAGATATCTGTAAATATATCGTGAAGCATGATAGTATCGAAGCCTCTGGCACTCGCGTTGAAAGAGGAGGGACAGTAGCAGGTAAACATTGAGGCGGAGAAGCGTAGCACGCCAAAGCATACGCGGAGTTCAACACGTGGCGTTTGAAACCACGCCTTCTCTCGCCAAGAGACGCTCGATGGCCCTCGGCAAGCGCTCAATGAACCATACAATCAACTTCAAGAAGAAATAACGTAACGTTCACAATGAGGCCGCATCATATACGCTTGTGGGCAGCCTTCACCAACATGCACGCAGGTAAACTACGTCTGTCATTCTACATGAAGTCACCAACGTGTTTTACCCGTCTGCCAGTAATCATCTGGGCAGGCATCGAAAGCCGTTTCTTGAACATCAGGTAGCGTCTTGAAATTTCTTGTCATTCTGCGGAAGCGGCGCTCCTGCTCATTGGGAGGTTTGACCTTTCTGTCAAACAGTCTTTGTCGGTTCTTAAACCACTATTCACACAATCTCGATAGTAGGAAAGCTGTACGAAGTTGCGACAAGCATATGCGTGAGTGGAAAGATATAAATGCAGACATCCGCTACTGCGGTGTTACGGGTACGTATTAACGCTATGTGAAGTGTACGCAACAACAACGGTACAAGGCGCTTGGGTACGGCAAGGACGGGGGCGGATGTATGTGCAGCACGTACGGGTACTACATCCTCTTCGGAGTCAGGGTATGTCTGCAGAGAGCACTCGATGATCAGAACTTCTACCAGAGTTAGAAGAAACATATACACCCACGTTAGGATAAGGTCGACAGTCCTACAGGCTGACGTCCTTGCTCTGAGCAGGGAGCCCACCAAGCACGCCCGTGACCTCCTGCGGCACACCGCCGAGCACGTCGAGCTGGCGGAGGTTGAGTTTGCCAAGGAGACCCCCGAGGGTATCGGACACGGGGTCCTGGCGCGCGCCGAGGCCGTTCAAGCTGGCAGCGCCCTGGAGCGCGTGAACGATCTCCCCGGCTTCATTGAGCTCCGATGGGCTGACGTTGACCTCCTGGCCTGCGCTGCCGGGCAGCCCGCCGAGGGCGCTGTCGCGGCGCAGGGGGAGGTTGCCGTCGAGACCCGCGAGGATCTGACCGGCACTCTGCTCCAACCCGGAGAGCCCGTCGGTGACACCGCCGAGCTGGGGCGCGCGGCGGAGGTTCATGTTGCCGTCAAGACCGGCGAGGGTCTCGCCGAGTTCCTGCTGCACGCTGGAGAGCGAGTCCGTGGCACCGCCGAGCTGCGGGAGAGGGACGGCAGCGACGAAGGAGGCGCAGAGGACGGCGAAGGTGATGAAAGAGCGCATTGTAAGTTGGATTTGGGCTGAAAGAGCGGACTTGTTGGGTGGACAGTGAGGGACGTGAGCTTACGAAATTTAGAGAATAAAAGAAAGAGCTAAGCACGGCCCTCTTTATACACGGTTCTCTGTCCGTTATTGCCATTGGGGATGCATTCAAAGCGGGAAAAGAAGGAGACTTCAACCCCTGAGGCCTGATATCTGGCGTCTGGACCCCGAGCTAGACCGTAAGCCTGATGTTGGGCGTCTTCGAAGTGATGGACGACATTGAGGGAGATTAAGGGGCTGAAGATGAATTCCGACGCCTCGAGAGCAAAAGCTACACAGCAAGAACGCACGAAGAGCAATTCTAAGGCCTGTTCCAGAATCCGAGCACGCACGAGGTGGTGGGGACACAAGATAAAGCGACGAAGAGGAGAGGACAGTGTCGACGGGGACAGCACGTGGATCATTTAATTGAAGGCCTGGGCGCATGCGCCGGCTGATCCCGAGTGGCCGCGGTCCTCGGAAACAATGTCCGAACTCTTCTCTTGCTCTTCTCTCCCAAACTGAATGATCTGCACATACTCCTCCAGATCTTACTACACGCTCACATCACCACTTTTCTGAATGCAACGACTCCGCCGACGAAACCATTGTCTCTGATTATTTTACCACACTTCTGAAGCTGGATCTGCGCACGCTTTCTCAGTTGCGGCGTTGGCAAGCTCTACTGTCGACTCGCCTTACGGAAGCTCTGTTGTGTCCGTCAAAGGCAATATGGGATATACACAGCTATAGAGGTCTATGTCAAAGTTCGTCATGACCTGCGACATCCATTATCTTTCACACTTCATACTTCTACAAAGTGACTTCGTTCTCATTGAAAAGTACTCTAGTGCGCCGACATCTCCGCCGACGAACGCTCTGGCCCTCATGCATTAGTGGTTCTACACCCTTACGGCGCTGGACATGCCTCCAACTCATGACGCAGCACTCACCGGCACCGCTCAGTGATAAGTAACGCAGTGCATGAATCGGAATGAAGTGGCGTACACCCAGGGACGTCGATTGCTCCCCATCTCAGAGCTAATAATTCAGCCACCTCTGCATATTCACGGAAGTTCATTTGCCTGGTGGCAAAGCGCCGTTGAATGTCATGCTACCTCTTCGGGATCCTTGACTTGCTACTCAGTACTCAGCCGCAGGCTCTTGGGCGCTGAGCTGTTCGCATCTTGCTCTTTCTCCGCATGGTCCTGATTCTGCTCGCTGGATGCCTCAGTTTCTCTGGCTTGACATGTGCTCCGCAGACCTCTCTCACTCGTTGATATTGTGTGTACATTTGTGTCAATGTCGTTTCGCGCGGCGTTTACGACTCTACTTACGAGCGATTATATATATACATGGTGTTGAACAGAGTAGAGCTCTCCCCGCCACAGATCATGTACTTATACTCACTCAACTTGAGAAGCATGTAACGAGCGTGTGCGCAATACCAGCGAGCGTGTACAAAATATGCGTGATCACGGTCCTATGTACGTCGAATGCGCAAAGTCCACGAGCACACCCTCAAACTCCCAACTTCAAGCTTCAAATCCGGGCACCCTATGCTAAAACTAGCAGCACCGGACTCCATGCTAGCTCATGGCCCCAAGGCCCCACATGAACAGCAGGCTAGACCTCGCCCTTGACGAGCTCGTCCGCGCGTACGACCCCCTCCACACCGTCCAGCTCATGCTCCGCAAACGAGATACTCGACTCGCTCCTCTTCTCGTTCATCGACATCCGCGGCAACCGCGGGCTCTCCAGCTGACTCCCCCTCTTCGACCCGTCCTCCCCGCTCTCGTCCTCGTCCTCCTCCTCCCCGCTGCTGTGGCGGCGGCCCCTGGGGTCGCCCCCGTGACCCTGCCCACACGCCTCGCCGTCGCCGTACACAGAGCCGCGCGCGAACTGCACCTCGGTATCGCGCCGCGTGCCGGTGGTGATCTCCGAGTGCGTGCTCTCCTTCCACGCGACGCCGCGCGAGATGCGGAGCATCACCAGCAGCGGGCCGATGAGCTGCATCTGGGACGTGATGGAGACCATGACGGTCTCCGCGGGGTGGTTCGCGAGGTAGAAGCCGAGGAAGAGGACGGAGGAGGTCGTGTAGAGCGTGCAGGACTCGACGAGCATCGCCGCGACGTTCGTGTATTGCTTGGAGGAGGGCGTGGAGCTGCCGGGGACTGTGCAGCCAGGGGCGGCGGGTGAGTGTGATTGTGGCGTTTATGAGGGTGGGTGGTTTTGGGGTGGCTTACCTTCGTGCTGCTGCATCCGCCGGCGGAACATGAGGAGGCGGCCCGCCATGAGGGTCGTGGTGAAGACGTTGAGACATATGGTTAACACCATGTTCGGTACGACGATCTTCTGGGATATCGTGGAGTAGAACGCGTGTTGCGGCATGGATATGAATACGTCCGCAAGGAGGCCCACGACTGGTAATATGTTCGTCATCAGATGAAAAGCACATCAACAAAAGCTGAGCTTACTCTTACCGACGTTGGTTGCCCAAGCGAGACAGGGTATCGGGACGAGCCACCAGTAATGCTTCGAGTCGCGCCAGATGACCCTAAACCTCCATACCTAGTTCGCATTCAGGCGACTTTAGCAGTCCGCAATAACCATCGAATGAGGGAAAACGCACCATCATTCCGTCCGCGAACACGTACCCAACGAAGTAGGTAACCATCGTCATGATCACGCCCGGCTGGTCGAACTTGTAGTACGCATACGGCCCGGGCGAGAACAGGCGGTGGTCGATGTAGGTCGTCTGCGTCGAGAGCGCGAGGCCCGCGACGTAGAGCGTGCCGCTCGCCCACAGCACGGCGACGTAGGCGAGGAGAAAGGCGAGGCGGCGGGGGGTGCGGCGCTTGCGGAAGCGGACGAGGGTCTGCACGCACATGCCGGCTGCGACGGTCATCATGCCGTAGAAGGTGCCTACGACGGTGGTGTTGCCTATGAGTCTGAGGCTGTCCATATAGAGCTGGTGCGATGTTTCTGGAGGCACGCCAGAGCTGGTGGAGGCCATAGCGGAGGAGACGGCGCGGAGAGGGGAGTCTGTGAGGGCGGGGAAGAAAGGAGGGTACAGCTCCCGAAACCAGAAGGGGTATGTATATGAATGTTGAATTCACTGTTCCCTTTGCCTTTGTACATAAGCGGGTTCATCGACAGGCATGTAAACACTGAACAGGGACTCGACATATCGTGATCATCAACCTGACAGCCTGGGCGAACTCTATCCATCCTTGGGCCACAGGGGCTATCATTCCCCAAACAGGAAGGAGCGGAAGCAAATTTCCCGGTGGGTGCTTGTTTGTCAGCCCGGGACATCGCGCTGGCTGCCACCGCGGACGAGCTCGACATTTATCGTTGCTCGTCCTCGCTCGTCGTTCGACATGACTCAAAAACGATGTCTTTTATCACAACATCCGCATCCCCATACTAACACCCTAAAGAAAGTTTGAAGATCAGCTGAGAGGCATACAAGCCATGGTAACAAGACGCCGCGGTGATTTATACTTTTTAGGTTAGATCATCGCTACCATGCAAGAAAGAGGCGTAGGAACTTTTAGACTACGCACAGCCAATCAAATTGAAGCATCCCACCTCTCTCGGCCTCCTGGCAGTTGCGACTGACTTATCTCCACCTTGATACGCTCTTACGCCGTGAAATCCGAGACGTTTTCTGTAGAACAATGCTTAGCTAAACTGGTTACCAATTACCGCAAAGTGGGGCTGTAGAGAGTCAGCGCGCCACTGGCAACAGAATCGGCATTACAGGCGATAAGACAAAATCCGACTCGAAGTAAGCGGTTCAAATGCAAATGTCAAAAAAACTATGTTATGCTATATGACTAAATCATTTCCTAACCGCGTTATGTACATGTATGCCAATTGCAATGGGGTGGTGATGGTGGTATATATGCATATCTAATCCATTACTAGGGTATATGTACGTACGTATGCTGCCTTGAAAGAAAGAAGGAAAAAGGGGGGTATGTATGAGATATCAGAATTTTGCGATGGAGATCGAGGGTAATCAGAGATCCACAAGAAACCAAAGGGAAAAAAGTGAGGATGGGTATGAGACCAAGGAGAAATAGGGTATGTCTAGGATAATACCGAGAGCAAAGACGACAGCTGTGTAAGTGCGACAAGAAAGAATGGGATGACAAGGAGCGGGCGAGAGTGTCATGGTATAAAGAGGGAGACCATAGGCATAGACATACGCGCAGCTTAATTTTGGGGAAGGGCAGGAAGGGAGATCTTGGACGTCTGCACGCTGCCGGTGCCGTGGCTCTGCGAAGGGCGGAGCTGCGTCTGGCGTTTCACTTGCGCCTCCATCTTGACGCGCTGCTTCCGCACCTCGTCGTCCTTGAGCTTCATCGCCAGCGCCAGTGCGAGGAACCCGTCGGCTGTAGAGGGCAGACACGATGATGGCGGGTGTCTGAGCGTCTGGATAACTGCCTCTTCCGATGTCGCCTGAAGGAGAAGGTGGCGCGTGCATTGGATGAGGGCAAGTCCGACGCGGAACAGGAACGGGACGCCTTCGAATAGGAAGACGTCCCAGACTCTGTGGAGGAACTCGACCGAAAGTGTCCCGACGAAGAGTCCTGAGAACCTGTTATATAACATCAGTCATAGACACTTGGCGAATCGAGACGAAGGTACTTACCAAGAGCGGCACAAGTTGGCCGGCGGGATGCTGAGGTTGATCAACAGTTTCTTCCCAACGGCTCCATCGCCACTCTCCAGAGCCTTGCTGAACAAAGCAGCGTCCACCTCCATCTGAATCGTATTCGTCGAGAAATACGGGCGTAGATGAGCGTCCATAGTCGAAACAAAGATCCAAAACGCGTCTTCCTCAGGCGCCAAAAGCAACAGATGCCCCGCAATAAAGCTCAACCCTAACCCCACCACCATCAGCGACGCGTCCACCACAAAAAAAGATGAAGAAACAAAACGCACCAGGACTGTACTGAATATCCGGCACCATCGTCAAATACGCCTGCAACAGCGACACCAACGGCCCCTTCGCACCATGCAGCTGCGCCTGCTCGGGGAAACACCCCTCCGCGTCCTCCACGATCTCCCCAAACACAGGCACATGCGCGCGCTTCCCCAGCGCCGCGTACACGCCCGGCAGCGCGCGCGCCTTGCAGTCCGTCAGGTGGCACCACACGCGGTAGCGCACCGACGACGGCACGCCCTCCACCAGCAGCTTGCGCACCTTCTTGCTCTTGCGCGCCTGCGCGGGCGACACGCCCGCCAGCGCCGCCATCCACTTGCTCTCGCGCTGGCGGTGCGCCTCGATCGAGCCGAGGGGCTCGTTGGGCTTCGTCCCCCCTGCTCCTGTTGCTGCGGGTGAGGTTCCAGGAGCGGATACAACGACGTAATCGGGCGGCATCGGCGAGTGCGGCGTGCCCGAGTGACTCGACCCTCCTTCTCCACCGGGCCCAAACAGCGACGGCGAGTCCATCGGCAGCCCCTCGCGCATCGCCGCGCCCCCGCGCGGCGGCGTCCAGAGCGACGTCGACTCGCTGCTGGTGCGCACGGGCGTGCCCGGCTGCGCGGGGAAAGAGGGCCGGACGAGCTCAAAGTCCATGTCCTGTACCTGCACGGTCTCGTTCTCGACGGTGCTCATCTGCGACGAGACGGTGCTGAGCTGCGAGGACACGACGCTCATCTTGGATGACGCGAGGCTGATCGCGTCCGCGGGAGATATCGGCTTTGGTGTCTTGTCCTTGTCGGCGTTCTTCGTGCGCAGCGCGGGCAGACTGAGTTTGCCGCGGAGCGATCCGCGCAGGCTGCTGGTCTCTTGTGACTGCCGTGACGGTGCTTGCGAGTGCGAGAGGGGCGAGGGCCGTGAACTGGAAGACGCATCGCGCAGAAGGGTAGGGGAAGTCGTGACGGGCGAACGGAGGCTTGTCGTGTCGGTTGAGCTGCGTCCGTTTGTGTCCTGCGATCCCTGGCGCTTTGGAGACGGCCACGGGTTCGGCGAGTGGAAGTTGCTCGTCGAGTCCCTGCTATCCTTTCGCTCCGCCCGCTCCCCGAGCGCATTTACCGGCGCACGAGACACGAGCGGCGAACTCGAAGTCGGCGTTGTCTGCTGAGAAAGCGGGCTGCCGATGAACTGCCCCGCAAGAGGACTGCTCGCTGCACTCCCGTTGCGCAGGTTGCTGTGCTGCAGCGACAAGGGCGACGGGACATGCCGAGCCATGAGCGACGACGGAAGACCGCCGGCCTTGTTGCTACTGGTAGACGACGGCCTCGAGTCGGACAGAGGGGAAGGCAGATTGGCCTTATAATCCAAGGACGCAGCAGAGTACGTGCGTGACAGTGCAGGAACCGGCCCGTCACTATAATCGCATAGCACAAGTCAGCTCAGACTCCAACACTGCAGAATATTCCCTACCTTTTACCAGGCCCAGGTAGCCCCGCCGTAAACGCAGAGAACGACCTCGACCGTGGCCTCGCGCCGCCCGCCTTGGGCACGAACCCCTCCCTCTCGATCGCAGCCGAGCCCCGCCGCCCATCCGACTCATCCTTGTCGTTGCTAACATCCCTGCCAGGAAGATCCTCCTGCGACTGCCACGGCGACGGCATCGGGGTCGAATCCATCCCCGCCAAGTGGCCCGTACTCTTCAACAGCTCGTGCGCAGTCGTTGTCGCTGATCGCTGAGGGACAGCACGGGGAGCGCTGCCGCTGCTCGGAGGCCCGGTGACAGTGGACGACCGTTTGGGAGCGAGAGAGCTGATGCGCTTCGGCCTGGCGACCGCTTCTGTCTCTGCTGTTGGTGCGGTGGCGGTGGCGGTAAGCTGCTCGGGAGATGCTTCATTCTCGCGCGTCGCCGTGGGTGACGGTGGCACTTCTGCCCGTGGCTGCTGTTGCTGCTGAGGCGGATACTGCAAAAGCGACCGGCGCACCGAGTCGTGGCTAGGTCTGATCTTGAGCGGAGAAGACGTATGAGCCGCCGCCGACTGCCCCTGCAGCTGACCGAGCGACTCGTGGTTCGGCCTCCCCATCGCCATCGCCATACTCATCCCCACCCCGCGCGGCAACGAATCATGGCTCGGCCGCGGATTCAACGGCGACGGCGACCGCATGTTCGCGCCCATACCCGCACCAGCTCCCGCGCCTGCCCCACCCATCCCAACTCCGCGCGGCAACACCGAATCAAGACTCGGGCGCGGCCTAAGCATCGGATCCATACTCCCAACACGCGGCGGCGGCGACATCGCATTAGGGTGCATCGGCGGCGACAACGGATTCGTCACCGTCATCGTCGGCGGGGGAAGCGGCGCCATGCCCATGCCCACCCCGCGCGGACTGCCCGCGCCTTGCATCTGTGGACCCGACCCGGCCGGCATCTGCGGCGGCTGCATCTGTCCCTGTCCCTGCCCGTGTCCTTGCCCACCAGCAAGCGGACTCGACCCTGGCCCCACGCGCGCCCCCATCGGCCCCTGCGGCGCTGGATGAATCGGCTCGACAGCAAACACAATCGGCACGGGGCCCATCGCGCTCTCGAGATCGTCGCACCGCGCGTATATCGTCATCGGCGGCGGCCTCCTTGCGCCCATCGCCATTCCCATCCCGTGCGGCGGGGCACCGCGCCCGCGTCCACGCATCGACATGGATTGTTGCATCGACGCCTGGAGATTCGCGCGCAGCTGGACCTGCACGTCGCGCAACACTTGCGCAGAGAACACCGACGCTCCGGGGGGTGCGTGCACGGGTTGCTGCTGCTGCTGCTGTTGGGGCGGCGGCGGGAATCCGGGCTGGTGATATCCTCCTATACCTGCGTTTGTAGGCGCACGTTGTAGCTGGGGACCACCACCAGACCCAAGCGCCCCGCCAAACGGCTGCTCGGAACCCGCAGGCCGCGCATACATCGGCCCCGCCTGCGCACTCGGCGCTGGCGCCTTGGGCGCGTTCGGGTGCGGCATGAACATGCTCTGCCGCGCGAACGGGTGCTGGCTCGCCCTCCGCTCCCTACCACCGTTGGGGCTGAGACTGGCGTTGGTGTTGATGGGACGGAGCGTCGCAGACCTCTCCAACTCCGTCTGGTGGTGAATCTCGCTGCTCGACTCGACATGCTCCGCGCCGGAGTCTTGCACGATGACCGGCCGCGAGCTCTTGTCCTTGACGTCGACCTCCGACCCAGCCTGCCCGGGCACGGGCGTCGAGCGCGCGTCCCCGTTCCTGCTACCGGTGCCGGTGCCGGTGCCAGTACCGCTGGCCGTACCGAGCCCCAACACATTCGTCGCAGCCGGCTCGACCTTGCCCTCCTCCTCCTCCCCATCACCCCCGCGCCCCCGCCCACCCCTCGACCGCCCCGAACTCCCACTCGCCATCGACACAACCCTCGACTCATCCTCATGATCATGATCATACGCCGAATCCCGATAACTCGACAACTCCGCCATCGAGCTCGTCGGCGACCCGAACCGCGTATGCAGCAGCGGCGAAATCGGCAGCGCCAGCGTCTGCCCCGCACCCCCCGCAGAGCCGCCCACACCCACCGACGTGCTCGCGCTGCTCCTGTTCCTCCCACCACCACCGCCGCCACCGCCTATAGACGGCGAGAACGACGACGACGCAGACGACATGGGCGGGGACGCGAACAGCCCCTCGTTCGGCTGCTGCAGCTGGAACGGCGCGTGCCCAGGCGGCGTCCCCGGCGCGACAAGGCCAATGACACCGCCAACGCCAATCCCAAGCTGCCCAAACGGAAACCCCGACCCCGCGTTCGCGATCGCAGGCGGCGACGGCAGCCCAGCAGGCACAGCCGGAAACTGGTCCGTGAGCGGGCTCAGCGCGCCGTCGCGCGTCGTGTCCCCGCCAAACGTATAGTCCCCCTCGCCTTCCCCCTCGCCTTCGCCTTCGCCCTCGCCCTCGGTGGTGCCTTCCTCCGTCCCTGCCTCGCCCTCCGCTGCGTGCTCGTGCTCGCGACTGTGCTCGTCGCTATACACGCTCTCCGTCTCCGCGTCCGCGCTCGGCCTTGACAGCTGCGGCAGCGGCACAGCGCCAGCATCCGCACTCGGCCTCGAGCCGCTCTCCACACTCGGCCTTGCACCAGGAAGCGGCGGCACCGCAGGCGACGATGGCAGCGGCGGCGGCGGCGGCACACCCCCGAGCGGCGACTGCCTCGACTGCCTGCGCTTTCCAAACGCGCCGGGGCCAAAGGACATGCGCGAGATGCGGTTGTTGGAGCCGGGGGGTAAAGCGAGCGAGTATCGCGAGTAGCGGTAGTCGTCCCAGATGTCGGAGGCGCGGTCCCAGTATCCTTCTTCTTCGTCTTCGTCCTCGTCTTCTTCCCCATCTTCACCTTCGTCGTCTTCTTCCTCGGGTTCTTCGACATGGACTCCTACTTCGTCGTCGCCGTCGTCCTCGCGCTGGCCTTCGTACGTTCCGTGGTCTTCTGGCCCTGCTGGAGGCGGAGGCGGAGGCGGAGCTCCCACCCCCGCCACTCTGTGCGCCCCCGCCTCCATCTCCCCGCCCGCGCCGGACCCCTCCCCCTTCACCTCCTCCCTATCCCCACCCTCCCTCGACCCCTTCCGCGGAATCTCAATCCCCGAATCCGCACGAACAGTCGACCCACTATCCTCATGATGCGGCTGCGGCCTGCCCCCTCCTACACCCACGCCTACGCCTATATGGTGCTCAGCGACACGGTGCTGCTGCTGCTGTTGCTGTCGCACGAGCGGAACGTCGTCGTCGTCGTCCTCCTCCTCCTCCTCGCCACCGCTATGCCCACGCTCGCTATCACTATCCTCCGCAAGCGCACCCATCAACGACAACCCGATTCCCATCCCCACCTCGTCGTCGTCCGACGCGCCGTCCCCGTCCCCGTCGCTGTCACTCTCATGAGCAAGATGCGCAGGAAGCCGAAAGCTCGACGGCGAGTCCGAGAGAATACGGATATCCGACATCGCATGGCCCCGCGCGTCCGTCGCCTCTCCTTCTTCCTCCTCCTCCTTTCTTCGCTCGTCGCCCTCCTGCCCCGCACCTCTATCCCCCGCCTCCGTCTCCGCATCCGACGAGAACTCCGAGGACGCAGTCGACGCCTTGTCTTCCTCCTCCCCATCCCCATCCCCATCCCCCTCATCGTCCTGAGTATGCATCCCCGCCGAACGCAGATTCGCAGCGCTCACGTCCGCGAGCGCAGCGTCGAGCGCGGAGAGGCGCGTCGTGTCGTTGCCCATCTCCATATCCACATCCCTATCCATATTCGAGTCGTCGCCCATGTCGCGACTCTCCCCGTGAAACGCACCACCAAATCCCGGGCCCTCGTCCTCGTCGTCATCGTACTCAGAGCCAGAGGTATACACCGAGCTGATGGATGCGGACGGGCCGTGTGTGGTTTCCCAGTGTGGTTGTAATTGTGTTTGTGGTGGATGTGAGGAGTATGAAGGATGTAGATGCGAGTGCAAGTGTGAAGGTGTGGTATCGGGGAGAGGCTTGGTATCTAGACACCAGCCCATATTAGCCACGCTTGGAAATAGTAGAGACAATACAGAGAGAAGACGCACTCTGGCCTGGCGACTTCGTAAGCCGCAACGGCGCAGTCGCGGGCGTAGACGGCGCAGGAGCGAGCTTCGCGCTCGCCGACGAGGGAGCCGTGAACGCGTCGCTGGGGTGAGAATGGGAAGAAGACGCGGAGGAAGACGATGCGACGGCACCCGTGGACGAGAACGCCGAGAGCGACTGCGACGTGTCGATCGCGGACAACGACGAGCCCGACCCCGCAGACGCGAAAAGACTCGAGCTCGACGCGGCGACGCGCAGACTCGAGCTCGTGCTGCGCGATGGGGGCAGGAGCGGCGCGTGTGCCTGTGCTTGGGCCTGCGACGAGGCGGAAAAGTGGTCGGGTGAATAGTGCACCGCGCGCATGCCCGCGCGCGACGAGCCGGGGCGCGAAGGCGGGTCGCGATCGCTCAGGGAAGACTCGAGGGTGCCGGACGCGCGGGCGCTGTCTGTGCTGGGCGAGCGCGAAGTGGCGGTGGCGGCGAAGCCGGAGCCGCGTTTGGCGATGACGGGTTTCTTGAGCTTGCCGTGGAAGGTGACGTGGGCGGACTGGAAGCGGCCGACGACGCCTTCGCAGTAGCCCTGTGGTCGTTGAGAGTCGTCGAGATGCATGAGCATGTTGCGCGTTTGGCAGAACCGGGGGATGGTCTAGTAAGCGGGGAGATTAATTAGGAGTGAGTGGACATGAACAGACCAAGAAGACGCCCTGTTCGGGGAGCTGCATGAGGACGGTGATAGTGTCGCCCTACAAGACACGACGTATGTCAGGGCTGTCAAACGAGAATGGTGGTGAAACGAACCTTGAGGAACATGAGATCGCCGACGTTGAGCGCGACACAGTCCTCGTCCGCGGTGCATGCGCCGATGCCGCCTTTAGTGGCAAAACGCGTCCACCTCGCGAGCTCTTGTGCGTCCATGCTGTTCGGGAGGACGGTGGCGGGTGGGGCGAGCTAGCTGAGGGATTGGGTGAGAAAAGAGAGGCGAAAACTTCTGGATCTGTTGGCGATGGAATTGAGCCGCCATGTGCCGGTGGCAGAGAAGGATCAGTGTTGGGGTAAATTTTGCAGTGTTCTCTTTTGCACGGACCTAAACAGATTTGCACTTGTTCTTCCTCTTCGCTCGGTGGAGGAGCACACGCCCTTCTCCTTGTTCCAGACAAGTTCCAGAGGCCAAATGAGGGCGACGCGCCAATTGACGCACAGACGCCGTTCCGCCACGTGAGACAAAATGCCACAAGGTAACAACGGTTCACTGGGGGCAATTACCCATGTTTTCGTAGAAAACATTCAAAATGTTTTGAGGGTCACCTTCCTAATTGGGCAGGTCACTTTCCAAATTTGGCATTTTTAGCAAAACATTTTAAATGTTTTTGACATGTTTCCCCTGGAAACATCGTCTAATGCCCCCAGTGGTTGCCATCTTGGGTCATGAGCTAATTGCTCATTGCCCCAAACTTTATATTACCTCCGCCCGCCTTCTCCCCGTCCGGTTCCCCGCCCTCAATCCCACGCCCTCTCTTCTAACAACGCATTTCAGGAACTTCACCTTCGCTCTCTGGAAACTCGAGTCTGTCTTCTTGACGAAAAACTCCCTCGTGACTACTCACTGTGCTTCTTCTCGTCGGCGGCGAACTTGTTGTTTCGCGTTGAAATCTTTCTGACAACTTTCTGATGGCTACTTGCTCGAAATGAACAGATGCACGTGTTCATCGCGTCGGCGCGCGATTATTTGCGCCAAGATTTGCGCGGGTCCCCTTCGTCTCCGCTTGGTCCGCTCCCTCGTCTCGTCCGCTTCTTCCTCCCTTCTGCGTGCTGGAACAGACTCTTGCTAGTTTCTTACTTACTAGATCCCTTTCTCTGTCGTGCGCCTCGCGCTTTAGGACGTCAAAGATTGCTCTCCTCGAGCCATAGCGCCTCCATCATGCTGCATGTCACGCTCAATGAACTCGCAACGCTTCTAGCTCAGGGTCCCAATGACAGACGTCACCTCGCGCATCCTCTTCGTTTCCCCGCTCCCGAATAACCTGCCTCGCGCCATGCCCTCTGTCGCCCGTTGAAACACATAAAAACCGCCTCAAATCCAGCTCGACGTTTTTCTCCAAGCCCTCACAAGCTTACCTCCCTCGTCGTCTCTCAGACACGTCCGTTCTTTCAATAATCCTCACCACAACCTACCTCATTCCCAACTTTCAAGTCATCATGCGCTCTTTCATCACCCTCGCTGTGCTCTACGCCACCCTCGTCGCCGCTGCACCCCTCCCACCGCAGGTGGACGGCCTTGTCGGCAACGTAGAGCCTGTCCTTGACAGTCTCAACGCTCGCCAGCTCGACGGCATCCTCGGCGATCTCCCGATCCCGATCCCAGCGCCCCCAGCGGCCCCAGCTCCCATTTCTGACCTCGACCTGCGCCAGCTCGGCGGCGTCACCGGCGAGCTCCCCATCCAACTCCCAGCGCTGCCAGAGCGCCAACTCGGCAAGGTCACCGGCGCGGCCTCGGGTCTCGAGCAGGAGATCGACGAGCTCGCTGCCAGCGCCGGCATCAAAGCCCGCCAAGACCTCCCCCTGCCGCTGCTCGAGCTCCCCATTCCCATGCCCGCGCTTCCCATCCCCATGCCCGAGCTTCCCATCCCCCTCCCCAAGCTCCCCGTCCCCAGCCCCGGGCTCGGCAAGCGCCAGCTCGACGACGTCACCGGCGACCTCCCCATCTCGCTCCCGGCGCCGCCAGCGCTTCCCGTCTCCATCCCCGGCCTCGGCGAGCGCCAGCTCGGCAACATCGGCACAGCGCTTGGTAGCCTTAGCGATCTCGACTCGATGCTCCAGGACCTCGGTCTCGACGAGACGGCGGACAAGGCCGCCGCAGGCGCCGACGCGAAGCTCGCCAGGCGGCAGGACGACGAGGGCCTCGAAGGGATCGTGGATAACATCATCGATGTCCTCCGCAAGCGCCAGGGCCCGACCGCCGACGTCCTCGGCGACATCGATAGCCTCGTGAGTGAAGCCGCCGACGTCGTCCCCCTCGCCCCCCTCAAGCGCCAAGACGGCGTGAGCGGGCTCCTTTCCGCCGTCAAGGACACCCTCGGCATTTAATGGCCGCGCCAGCCTGTAGAGTCGTATCCGAACGTGAGTGTTATCATTCTGTTTTCGTTTTGGATTTATTCCCGTTGCTGATCAACGCTATTCCACAGCCGCATGCCGACGATGACGTCCTCGCCACAGTCTCCTCTCGCGCTCGTATATACCCTCTTGTCGCTGCTCCATCTAAACCGTCAATGACGCTGTCCTGATACTGCTCTTGATTTCACGCATACAGTACCACATAAGTACTACCACAATACAGCTATATACCCATACTCCCTTACTCGTCATGTTTTCTGAATGATACGCGCTGTGCTTACCGTATACAATACCACCGTCCATCGACATCTTTCCTGCTATTAACATTGATTAATGATTGCTTGTATTGAGCACCCGTGATCGTCTAAGAGACCCTCCCGTGTGCATTCAAAACTCAAAAACGTGATCTGGCCACTGCGAAAGCAGACATACCTGATTTCAATGTACTTGGGACTTGGTTTGCTGGAATCATGTACATTTGAGCTGATATTGATCTCATGTGCCTGTACATAGTGTACGGAGTCATGTACTTGGATATGAAACGCAAAGTCATATTCAGGTGGAGTGTGCAGAGGTCCCCACACCTGCCGAACCGCCTGAGGTACAAACGTTGGACTTCGTCTTTTCAGTTCGTCTTCCGAGTTCCTTCTCGCTTTCACCCACTCCGGCTCCGAGCCGCTCTCGCGCTCAGCCTCTTGCGTAGCCGTTCTCATCCTCGCGCCTTTGCCCTCAATCGCCCTTCCTTCATTGTGTAGTCTCCTTCTTGCAGCCGTTTTACACGTGTCACTGCGCTCTTTTGACGCTGTGTAACCCCCGTCCATCATCCTCGCCCACCCCTTTCACGTGTCTCGTGGTTATCCACCAAGTCTTACCCATCCTTACTGCCCAGTATGGTTCCTCACTAGCACTATCAAAAGCAAATATGCGCCCGGGTCTACCATACAAGGAGAAGCGCGATCTGTAGTAGTAATGGTCACTCAGGAATGAAGAGATAAGAATGTGCGTGCACAAGACGAAGTCCAAGGCGAGTAGTTGCTCGCTTGTAGGCAGCCAGTCTAACACGTGGCAATAGCTACATGCAGCCAGGACGACACCTCGCCTGGACGCACACCCCTAGCATGAACAGCGCTCCCTCGAATCCATCAATGGCGGTTGCATGTGCGCTTGGGCTTGCGGATGGGATTGGTGAGCTACGGATGTACGAATGCTAGAGGCATGCACTAATATGGTTTCTTTTCTAGATCTGTATAGTCAGTCTTGTCAGTATGTTTCTCCCTACATCCGTTTACATTGATTGATTCTCACATATGAACTCAGAACTTAGCACCACCGTGTGCTCGGCAGGTCTGTATGTCATGAAGACGATCCTCAGATTGAATCCGTTGTTACCAGCTCCTCCAGCTACAAATATGCTGAATACGCTTCCCTGACGATCCCCCTCGTCTCGTCGGGCGGGCGGGCGCTGTCACCGCGGGGACTCACCTCGTGTATGAGTGCAACGTCCGCCGGAGATGTCTGTCCAAGGTGCAGCAAATCGCGCTCCGGTGCAAGCCGCCGACGGTCAACTCGTTTGATTCGTTTGATGAGTCCAATTGGGTTGCGAGCACCGGGTGACGCCTGCCTTTGCTCCCCTACTCGGTACGTCTTTATTTTATCTTCACAATGCTTCTGATACTGATAAATCAAGACGGGAATGGCAGGCCCGGCCGGAGTGACCCTGCGCCGGTACCACTGAAGAAGGTTCAGGCGGGTACCATTGCGACGCGTAGAGATTTCGTGTTCACTGGCGTGCCGCGCGCGCAGCCGCACATGTTTGGTACGAGCTTCCATCTCTTTCATCCCCCTCCTCCCTCATGTTACGGACACGCGCAGGAATACTTGCACTTCCCCATGTTGCCATCCTATCCTTCTGCCTCCTCTGCCTTCTCCGGCCCCTCCGACATCTTTCCTATGCAGTTTTTGGTCGCCTTCGTCTCCGCTCGGACCGTTCCCCCGTCTCGTCCTCCGCTTCTTTCTGATCTCCTGCATTCTGTACTTTTGTTGGCTGTTCTTACTTGCTAGATCCCCATCCCTGCAGTGCACCTCTCACCCTTTAGGATGTCGAAGATCACCCACAGCGCCTCGCTCGCATCACTCCATGCCACACTCAATGAATCTGCGACGCTTCTAGCGCAGGATCGTAATGACAGACGCCAAGCTTAACTCAAGCCTCGCATCCTCCTCGTTTCCCCGCTCCCGAATAACCCGCCTCGCGTCACGTCCTCAAGCGCGCGCCGAAACATATAAAAAGTGGCTCAAATCCAGCTCAAAGTTTTTCTCCAAGCCCTCACAAGCTTGCCTCCCTCGTCGTCTCCCAGACACGTCCGTTCTTTCTATAACCCTCACCACAACCTAACTCATCTCCAAACCCAAGCCATCATGCGCTCTTTCATCACCCTCGCCGTGCTCTACGCCACTCTCGCCGCCGCTGCACCCCTCCCTCAGTCAGACAGCGCTCTACTCGGCACTGTAGAGCCTGTTCTTGAAGGTCTTGGAGCCCGCCAGCTCAGCGGCATCATCGACGAGCTCCCGCTCCCAGCGCCCCCAGCAGCCCCTCCCCTCACCGGCCTCCCCGGCCTCGGCCTGCGCCAGCTCGGCAAGGTCGCCGGCGCCGCCTCCGGCCTCGAGCAGAAGATCGACCAGACCGCCGCCAGCACCGGCATCAAAGCACGCCAAGTCCCCGACCCGCTCGACGGCGTCACCACCGAACTCGACTCGGTCCTCGATAGCCTCGCTCTCCGCCAGCTCGGCGGCGGCACTGACCCGCTCGACAGCGTCACCGCCGAAGTCGACTCGGCCCTCGATAGCCTCGCTCTCCGCCAGCTCGGCGGCGAGGGGCTCGGCGACCCCACGGAGATCGTGGATGGCGTCATCGCAGCCCTCGACGGCGCCGCCCGCAAGCGCCAGGCCCCGACGGACGCCGTCCTCGCCGAGTCCTCGGAACTCGTGGATAGCGTCCTCGGCCAGCGCCAGGCCCCGGTGGACGGCGGCCTCGCCGACGTCTCGGAGATCGTGGATGGCCTCCTCGGCGGCAGCGGCGGTGGCCTCCGCAAGCGCCAGGATCCGTTGGATGGGATCGACATCGATGCCCTCCTCGCCAAGCTCCCTGAGGACGCCAGCCTTTAGAGTCGCATCCTAATGTGAGTGCGTTTATTCTGTTTTCTGTTTTTGCTTTGTTCCCGTTGCTGATCAACGTTGTGCATCTACAGACGCACCCTAGGAATGTCACATTCTCCCCGTACATACCTGCCTGTGCATGCTCTATCCAAACGCTAATGATGCCGTCCTGACACCGCTCACATACCACATACGAACTACGTGCCCGTACCACCACACCGCACTTACAGCCGTGGATCTCTGCGTATATACCCATACTCCCTTAAGCCTCCTCATCTTGTTTTCTGAATGATACGCGCTGTGCTTACCGTATACCATACCAATGTCCATTGACACCTTTTTTGCAGTATTGCTTGAATTAACGAGCACTCGCGATCGCCTAAGAAGTCCTCTCGCGTTCATGAGGCGAAAGTCAAACGTGCTCTGGCCTTCGCGATCTCTCCGCCGTGGCTACCCATGTACACGGGCAGAGCGTGAATCTAATTCCGAGTCGAAAATGTCGTACCCAATGCTGCGTCAATTCGTTTTGGACTGGATCTGTAGTAAATGCGCGCCTGACTCGGAGCCAGGATGAAACTCGTGCAGTTACGAGCCAAATTCAATTACCTCAGAGCCAAAACGCCTGTCACAGCCTGTCGTCCATCTTGGAGGAGTCATATGAGCCCGAGAGTTCGCTGATCATCCCGATTGCCATCCGATTTGCTCCGAAAGCTTTTAGATTATTAGAAAACATTGTTATTTACGCGTATAATGGAATACTGCTACTTATATAACGTATATTCGCGTTTTACGCGGGTCATAAATATAGAACTTCTCTCTCTTGGGCGGCGAACCTTTTGTCTCTCGTTAGGATCTTTCTGACAACTTTAAATCTGATGGCTTCTTGCATCGAAATGAACAGATGCGCGCGCATGCACGTGTTCCTCGCGTCGGCGCGCGATTATTTGCGTCTTTGTCTCCACACCGCTCCCCGTCTTGTTAACCGCTCCTCGTCTTGTTCCTCCGACTCGTCTCTCCTGCGTTCTGGACTCTTGGTAGTTTCTTGTCCACTATCCTTGTCTCTCTGTCGTGCGCCTCTCGCTCTTTAGATTGTCGAAGATTGCTCTCCATAGCGCCTTGCTCCATCATTGCATGTCACGCTCTATGAACCTGCGACGTCGCTTCTAGCGCAGGATCATAATGACAGACGCCAGGCCTCGCATCCTCTTCGCTTGACCGCTCCCGAATAACGCGCCGACCACCATGCCCTCAAGCACACGCTGAAACATACAAAAAGCGCCTCAAATCCAGCTCTCTTGTTTCTCCAAGCCCTCACAAGCTTACCTCCCTCGTCGTCTCCCAGACACGTCCGTTCTTTCAGTAACCCTCACCACAACCTAATTCATCTCCAAACCCAAGCCATCATGCGCTCTTTCATCACCCTCGCTGTGCTCTACGCCACCCTCGCCGCCGCTGCACCCCTCCCACCGCCGTTGAGCGATCTGCCGCTCGTTGGCGCCGTAGCGCCTGCCCTTGGAGGTCTTGCCGCCCGCCAGGATGGCGACCTGCCGATCCCCCTGCCGATCCCCATTCCGGAGCTCCCGCTCCCCCTTCCCATCCCTGACGCAAGCAACCTCAAACTGCGCCAGCTCGACGAGGTCACCGGCGCCGCCTCTGGTCTCAAGCAGAAGATCGACCAGACCGCCGCCAGCACCGGCGTGAGCGCGCGCCAGGTCACCGATCCCTTGGGCGATCTTCGCGCCTTCGGTGACCTCCATCTCCGCCAGCTCGGCGGCGCCACCGACGCGCTCGGTAACGTCGCCAACGATGTTGGCTCGACCCTCGGCGGCGTCGGTTCACTCTTGGGCAGCCTGCTAGCGCCGTTCCCCGCTCCCGCGCCCCCAGCCGCACCCGCACCCGGCCTCGGCAAGCGCCAGGGAGACCCCGGTCTCGGCAGCGTTTCCGGCGATCTCAACTCGCTCCTCTCGCGCCTCGGTCTCCGCCAGCTCGGCGACGTCACCGACGAGCTCTCCAGCGCCGAGCAGACGGTGGACAAGGCTGCCGCAGGTGTGGACGCAAAGCTCGCCAGGCGGCAAGACGACGAGGGCCTTGAAGAGATCGTGGAGGACGTGGATAGCATGGTCGGCGACCTCGGCAAGCGCCAGGCCCCGACGGACGAGGTCCTCGAAGAGATCGTGGAGGACGCGGAAGGCCTCCTCAACGAGCGTCAGAACCCGGGCGCCATCATTAGCGACATTGATAGTCTCATCGCTGACATCACCGCCCTCAGCGGCGACAGCAGCCAACTCAAGCGCCAGGACGGGTCTGTCGCTGACATCATCGATATCGTCAGCGACGCTGTCGCCCAAGCCAACGATATCACTGCTCTCCGGTCGCGCGAGATCCAGCCCAGCGCTGCGGAGGTCGAGAAGCTCGCGCAGGCTCTCTCCAGCGGCACCAAGGGCCTCGACGCGCGCCAGGGTCCCTTGCCCGGTCTCCTTTCCGAACTCGAGGCCGTCCTCGGCGAGATCCCTGAGGGCACCAGCCTTTAGAGTCGCATCCTAACGTGAGTGTGATTATCCTGTTTTCTTTTTCTGGCTTTGTTCCCGTTGCTGATCAACGCTATTTCACAGACGCCCTCCGGTGACGACGTCCCCGTCGCATTCTCCTCTCGCGCTCGTACATACCTTCCTCTCGCTGCTCCATCCAAACACGTTAACGACGCCGTCCTGATACTACTCTTGATCGCACGCATACAGTACCATATAAGTACTACGTACATACCCGTACCACCACAATACAGCTATATACCCATACTCTCTTACTCGTTATGTTTTCCGAATCACCAATGCGCTGTACTTGCCGTATACCATACCAACGTACATCGACGTCTTTTGTGCTATCTTCATTAATTGCTTACATTGAGCACATATGATCGTCCAAGATGTCTTCGCCTTCAACCGAAAGCGCGCAAGCCTTGACTGGCATCTGGGATCAGCTTTCTGCTCTGCAACGCTGCGCTGGTAATTTGCTTAACACTCGGCTTTGGAATGAACACACTGGTGTGGGCGTGCATCGCGTCGGCGGCGGCACCCTCGATCTCAAGAGGTTCGATAACGCTGGCTTCTTTTGGCCCGTGCTGTGGCGTTGGCATTTGGCATGCAGCCTTTCCGTGGCACCTCGGACCGCTCCGCCGTTTCTTCTTGTCTCCCTTGGTCCCCTTCCGTCTATAGGTCACCTCGCTATACTCCCTCAATGCATCGATCATATGGCCTTCGTCCTGTGTACGCATCGAGAACTATCCTGCTCGATCCCAGATATTGCTCTCAATCAGTGACGCGGACTCGGACACTCCGTATCATAACCTGGATAAATGTCGAACCCCGTTTCTACTTGGCTAGCTGGTCAGAATGCCATAGAAGCCACCCCGTTCTGCTGCCGAACAGCGCTCAGCATCGCACAGTTGCAAGCTCCCGATCTCGAGGTACCGCGGGAGCTTGAAGCTGAAGCTCAAACGAATATATATAAAGGGGTCTTCCATCCGCCCTGTATCTCGTCAAACCCCCACAAGCCTCCTACACCTCCATTCTTTCAACCCCCCAGCCTAACCCTAATCCACCGTGACAATGCGCTCCTTCGCCGCCCTCGCCCTCGCCGTGACCCTCGCCGCCACTCTCGCGGCCGCCGTGCCCCTGCCTCAGCCTCGGGTGGTCCCCGTCAGCGGGCAGCTCACTGGCAGCCCCAGCGGGTTCAACCTCGGCGCGCGCCAGATTCAGCCCCCGGTTCAGCCCCTAAAGTCGACCCCCGCCGCACCCGTGGCCAACATCGTTAATGGTATCCTCGGCGGTACCGGGGTTAGTCTCCCAGGACTCCGGCGATCGAGCGATTCCGACGACGCGGAACCCATCTCGGAGCGCAGCCTTCTGGCTGGCATTTTCAGCGGCAGCGCCAACGTCCATCCATCCCGGCGAGCGGATCAGTCCGACGTGGACTCGGATTCGGAAGGCATCTCTGAGCGCGGGCTCCTGGGTGGTCTTTTCGGGGGCAGCGCTGGTCTTGTCGGGGGCAACGCTCATGTCCAAGGACTCAGACTCCGACGATCGAGCGATTCCAACGACGCGGGATCCATCGAGGAGCGCGGGCTTTTGGATGGTATCCTCGGCGGTGTTCACGTCGGAGGAGTTCGACGGGCGCCAGGCCTCCTCGACGAGCTCGCCCGTGGCGGCGTCAGTGGCAGCACTTAGACCTTCAAGTTGAATGCGAATTGGCCCTATCACCAATGTGAGCACATTGTCGAGTTCTCCCTAGACTCGGTTTCTCTCATCGCTGATTGACGCCGTCCGTCTTCGCAGACATAGTATACCCCGCCTCGACAGTCCTTGAAGTAGTCTCTTCTCTTATCGCCGTACATACGTTTCCTTTCCATCCGAGTCCTCGCTGCATCCAAGCTCCGCCAATGGTCCGTCTATATACCTCTCTTCCTGCACGTAATACCTGCGCCACATAATACAGCAGACGATTCTGCATATATGCCCCATGCCATACGTTTACTCGCCATGTCCTATGATCCATGTATGTAAACTTTTCCTGCCATCATTACTTTTGCATCAAGTACTCGCGAGGCTAGATATCGAGCGGCGTGTATCACGGTGTACGCCAAGCGTGCAGTAGTGGCGATCTAGGAAGGCTCGGGTGGCGAAAGCCGTTAATCGCTTGAGTGAGCGCGCATGTTTTCGCTTGCTGAAATGCACTGGCGCAAGCTTCCGTTTATCCTGCAACTCTCGCCCCCAGCTATTTTTGCCCAGTACTCTTGGGGCTCTAAGCAGCGCGGTCTTACAGGTTTTGCCCGCCTCCGGCCCGCTGCGCCGTCCCCGCAATGTTGTTGACTCTGCACCGCCACCGCCGCCACACCCACGCCTTTCTCCGAACCCTGACTCAGACTTTCTTCATTCTCCAACAGAGGCCAGCAGACCGCGAGGCTCGAGGTGGCCTAGGGCTGTCAGATCCATCTCGATATGTCACCTGAAACGGTCCTTGTTCGGATCAACAAGTCCCTGCAGTGATGATATGGCGCTTAGGAAACCTTAGCTTTGTCTTCATGTCGGCCCGGGGAGCTGCCCATAATCCTCCTTGAGCTTGCTTCCCGCTCCGCCTCACGCAAGTTCCCCTTCGTCACCTCCGTGATGGCGGCCAGCATCAGCTCAGGTGCCCTACAGAGACGTCCCACAAGCTCCGAGTCTACACGGACAGCTTCAGGCCCAAAGGGAACATCACCGTTGTTAGCGCCCTCCGAGTCTGCGGCATCATGACCGTCCTCGCGGGCGCGTGTGTGCAGACGTCCGTGTATTTCTGCACGCGCCATACGCGCCGGCGCCTTGCTGTTCTCCTCGCGTGCGTCGCGGCGATCTGGGCGTGCGGCACGCTCTATGTCGCGGGCGTCGCGCTCTCGATGCAGACGACGTACGTCGACCATCGTCTGTTCAATACGGTGTATAGGAGCACGAGCACGACGGTACACGGGGCGGCGAGTACGAGAGCTCGGCGCGTGGGGCCAAAGTAGACGGTCAGCTCGACAGCCAGCCAGCGGATCAGACGGATGCCTAGGACTCGGACGATAAATTGGGTTCGCCGAGTATCTCGTTTGACAGGCGTGGGCTGTACGACATCGATGGGGCGGTGCGGGCGGTTTAAGTCCCCCAGCGGCACGGTCTAACTAAGGCTAGCCATGCGAGGTCATGAGCTGGTCTTTAGCGAGTGTCAGTATAATCACGTACAATACTTGGGACATCGTTGACATAGGGTGAACTCGATACCAGCACACGAAAAGAAGTAGAGGATACAAATCTTACATCCTGTACGGATGCTGCATTCACGTTTTCTAATGCTGAATCCGTGAACCAATACTACTATGCACCAGACATAGTATAGCTGGCAATTGCGACACTGCATGAGCTTTGTACGGACATCCGGGAACACATCGGAATGAAAGATACGCCGACACCTCTACAACAAAGCATCTATGAAGCACAAGTCAAGTACAAGAACGTACGATGAGGATGAGTTCACCAGAGTCAACACGACAAGAAGAAAACATTCAAGCGTAATCCATCCTGAAAGCAACAAGGATAATACACAAGTGGCCTCATCACCGTGACGACCTCAAGCCTGCGGATCGCAACGTAAGCAAACAAGCCACGGTAGGAAGGAGAAGGTGCATGACTGACATTCATTATCAATTATCCTCGGGACCTCCTCCCGCGATGCCAAGGATATCCGGCAAGTTGACGTCGCCGTAGATGTCTAGCTCGATACTTTGGCGCGCGTGGAGCCCTCTTGCATTGACATCTTCGCCCATGCGGCGAAGGGGAGCGGCACCAGCAAACCCAATGAACATGAAGGCGAGAGCGATTATGACACGCATTGCGAACTGTGACTCGTGAGCTTTTGCTGAGCGAACAGATGATGCCCAAGAGGGTTGATGTTTGCGATTTGATGGGGGGCACAACGCAGATGTAAGAGTCCAGCTGCGTCCCCTCCTGCTCTTATACTTTTCTGCGTAAGCGCTATCATACGACTTTAGTCCGTCCGTTCCAGGAAGACAGGGCTCTGAGAACATGCCGGGTCGGCTCAATGCTTGTAGCCCTATCGTTCACCGCGAGAGACACGTGTAGCAGGTAGAATCAAGTCGCCTGACGAGAGCAGGAGGACCATGCGGAACCGAAGCAAAGTGCGAGAACTCTAGTGCTTTAAGCGCCCAAATAGCGAGATAAGGCTGCCTGAAGAGGTAGTTTGACGTTCAAAAGACCGTCTTCGGCACCCTGGCAGACAAATGAGCTTCCGTAATTGCTAATGGGGTTCAGTTTTAGCGCTTAGCTGTGACAGAGGAAGCAGTCGACATTCACATGAGCAGGCCTCGTTGTTGTCTGCATCTCTTCTTCGGGGTCATGAGTTGCGTTATCATCGATGGTTGAACGCTGAACGCTGAACACCGCATCACGAGATGAGAGCATACCCAGCCCCAGATATGGCATAGAGTCAGGAACATGTGACCAGAACTTTCATCAGCGGAGAAAGAGTCGCTCGAAGGTGCCCTTGAATCAGAATGAACTCAGTTTGTAGGGTGTGGGTAAGGAGGAGTGAGATGATGGCCGTCGCAGAACACGACGAACTCAAGCCTGAGACTGCGCTATACATGGCAGCGCTAATTCCCGGGAGTTCTAGCTCCGCGCCTTTCTCGCACGCTATCCAAACGCTATCCGCGCAACTCGACCGCCACATGTAGACCAAGTCTGTTGAACACCTGCTTTACGACCAACTTCGAGAGCCATGTCATGCCGAGAAACAAGGTGACGTACTAACCATTTCATACCCATGGATGAAGGAAGATGAGCTCTCAGACGACACCACGTTCGTGCCGGTTTCCCTATTCAGGCTCTGCTACATTGTCAATGGCATTGGCTCATCCTCTCACACCGTTCTCCCTACGTCTGTATCGTGTACTACTTCACACACATACTACACCGCACACTAGCTGGCCTATCTCAGCGCCCAACCACTTAAATTAAAAACCCTGCTCCCGGTCAACCTGTGCTCATGGCCTCAGGAGAGCATGGCCGAATTTATCGCAACACGGTCTTTTCACGAGTCTCTACGGCTTCATGCCGTTACGGACACTGCAGAATCCGTCATCGCCACATATTTTTGGCTATCGGATCAATACCTGCGTAAACCTCACACGTACAGCGGGACTGTACGCAAGAGACTGAAGGCGATACTATTGCGCTTCAGCCACCCCATTCAAGATGCCTACAATAACGTCATAGAGCCTGTACTGCACTAATATCGCACAGGGCAACCTCTTAGTCTCCCTATCTCTTACTTGAGATATACCTACATTCATTGAAGCAGTAGTTGATTGCCGGGAGCACCGCCTCCCAACAATCAAAGATGAAGATATGCTGTAGCCCATGCGCGGGATTCAGCTCCGTGGCCGATGACAGATGTCTAGCCTTTGTGATGAGCAGAGGACATGCACCAAAAAATCCTGCGCAGTAACGGAGATGAATGAATGGAATAGTTGTTGAATAGCGTTTTACACAGCGTCAAAAGAGCGCAGCGACACGTGTAAAACGGCTGCAAAAAGGAGACTATGGAACAAGACACGCCTCCGTTACTCTTCGGCATTTAGACGGCAATGGAGGGGAATACAATATCATTTTGGTACCACAGTACATTAACAGGATGGTAGCAATGCAAGGACAGTGGAAGCACAATCCCAATAGGGCCGCGAACATACTCTGACGCCGCCAGATCAAAAACATCGGACAGGAGCCGACACGCTGTTTGTAGACGACGTTAAGCACACACATCCAATTGCAAATACCATCGGTTGACTGAGCGTGCCAGGCTATATACTCATGACGAACTTATCATGACGCGCTGGTCAGGCTAGAGAAATAGCGTGAGCTCTGCGGGCGCCTTGACGGACCTGCTTGCCTTAACCTGGCGATAATTCTCGTACTAACAACAACAATGCCCTCGTGCATAGGGTACTACAACTCGCATGATGACGAGGGGCGAGGGAGGGGAAGGCGAGGTGAAGGGAGATGATGAAGGACTGGAAGATTTGGGCGACGATTAGCCCACTCTTATAGATGAAAGGGCCCAGGGACTTGACACTGCCATCAGGAAATCGTCTGAATGCATTTGGACTTTAGCAGATGTAGGGCGCTGGATCTTGAGAATGCATCGACAGAGGGGACACCAACGCACGTTCCGATTGGTCAATGTATTCTGCAATTCAATACAATTCACATTCGAACAATTCTGCTTCAACAAACCGGTCGATCCCGTCGTCTTGTGGGCATGAACCGACACGGCCCACATTTAACAGTGTTTCGTAAACGGGTGTGGAAGTGTGATTTGGGGCACTTCTCCGGTCCTGCATTCAGTCTTTCGGAGCAGCAAGCGAGAGTGCTGTGAAGAGCATAGGAGTCTGCAACCAAGCAACGGCAAACAAAAGCCGACCATCTGCTTGTAGATACGATTAATAGCCACTTTCTCACACCGTTGATGTACATTTCATGGGCGAGTATGTTCTATCCGTTGTGATATACACATTACTTCTCTACGAATCCGGCAAAGAAAGACCATGAAAAACTTTGAGAGATCCGTCGTCACTCTATAACCTGAGCGAAGCTCTAGGGAGCAACGAGAATGCTTTGGTCAATTATTTGTGCCACCAACAAAGCACTATAGTCGCTTTCATACTTGTTGCATAACATCCATCAAACTCTAGCCTTGTACCTCCAGAACCAATGCAGACACAATCCTGTGGATCCAAATCATTATTGTGCTCCATAACTACTTCAATACATGCCCGTGGAAACGCGGCCTGATACGCGATTAGGATACTGGTAAGCACCGACACGATGACTGGATTAGAAGTTCTTGCATAGCCTTTCCTTTGAACATTAATAGTACTTAAGTCCACACATCCCGGCATTAAGTGAACATTATCGAACCTTAGAAGGATGACCGTGGTCTCAAACTCTCCCGATGATATCCCTGCGATTATCCTTTTCGAGCGAGCCACCTACTTACAATGTATGTGCGAAGCACTTAGCCATTAACTTCAATGGTTTACTATCACTCGCTAACGAAAGCCAAAGTATCCACTTTAGTGATTGTTGCTTATGACTGGAGTACGTTCAGAGAAACAGAATTTGAGTCTGCAATTTATGATACCTCTTTCAAGTTCTCTGCTTGGACGAAGAAGTAAGCTATTTCTCGACTAATCTTATAGCTTCTTGCTCATTTACGCCCGCATGGAGGTAGATTTGATATGGGTATGTACAATGTGACGCTCGCTTCGGATTTGGTCAGCACGTTGAATGGCTGACATGAAGAAACACGACCTGTCGTGGATGACCGGTTGCTATGCCATAGTAAGTCATCTTCCACTTGATGCACTGGTGATATTTCTGATGCTTGCCAGTTACGCTATGGAGGATTACTCTTTGGACTGTAATCTGCGCAGCCTTTGAAGTGCGGATCAAAATACTCATGCATCGAGATTCTTAAATTTGCTTTTAGTCTTTTCAGTGGTAAGGTTACGGGTGGCTTCCCTTTTCAAACTTCCAATAACACATGCATCAGTTTATGCAATGCCTGTTTCGCTCTCCGACAGAGTAGGTGTTGACGCGCTTCTGAAGGGCCGTGCTCACTAGCTGAACAATCTTTACTTTACAGACGTAGGCATCCATGCTCCGTCTCAGACCCAATTATTTCTGACATTATTTCTCAAGTTGCGAGTTTGATTTCTATCCATGCCTCTAGATCGGCAGTTACTTATAGTTGAACTTGTTAGGTGCTGCGTTATATGTCATTCTCAATACCGTTCTCCCAAGCATCCAGACGTTTGTTTTGCAAGGTATTTTACCGGGTATTGCTCTTAAATTACCACAAGTCGTCTTATTGAGCTCAGGAGTGATGACCACCCGTGTTTCTGCCTTATACAGGAATTCTCCAAAGGTTAAAATGATGCTCTCCATGTCCTTTCTGACTTCTCAAGGTTTCAACGTGACATTTACATTTTTGACACTATACAAAACCACTGGCTCTTCATGTACGTTGTTTCTCTCTCTGTACGATTTTGTATCCTCAGTGGTATTTCAGTCCAAGAAGGGATTATACTAGGTGTACGGCATTGCCTCACTTATAATCCTGCAGGCGCTCTCGATGCGGTATCAACGTTCATCAATCTGGGTGCATTCTTGGCTTTGGAAGTGCAGCTAATTTCCATGATTATTTATCATTCTATTTGGCAAAAGAGGACTCCCTGTGCGCAAAGCTCGCTCAAGAAGGCCAGGAGCATTGTTACCTTCCTTATCCGGCAGAGCATGATATACTTTCTTGGGTAAGCTCAAATTCATCTATAACATCAGACCAGTACTCTGACACGGATTAGGGCTGCGACTTATGGACTGCTGTTTATAGTATTTGAAGCGCTGCCTGAAAGTGTAGGGGTTCCCACCTGGATAAACATTCAATCACTAATCTGCCTGGTTTAGGATACCGTCTCGACAAACAGTGTATTGCAAGTTCTCACTGGAGTTCTTACCCCAGTTATCTTCTCTGTGCTGGGTACATGGCTAATTCTGAGTTTACGTCAAGAGCATGTAAGGCAGCTGCAAGGAGGCCATGGTACAAGTGGAGAGGTGTACAGTGCCATCACCTTTCATACACTGTTACCCCAGAGTCAACTTGAAGACGCGTGCACGATGGCAGCTACTATCAATTAAATCTTAGAGAGCCAAAAATACCGCCATGAGTAGCGCAACTTTGGTGAGCAGATTTCTCGCATCTGAGTAACGAGTAGATCAATTGATGTTTCCGCTTTCAAGGTGTATAGTGCGACTGAGTGACGGAGTTATAGAGGTTGTTGCGGCAATGTAGTAGTTTGTGTGAATGTGAGAATGTATCAGAAACCAATGTTGACAACCGCAAAGATTTCAATCGTCTAATGCTGCGCTGTTAGGGGTTGGACGTTTGTGGAAGTCTTGCTTCTGGTCTCGCACCATACATTTTCGAGCGGCTTTGAAGGGCCTAACCACCCTCTTGTTCATACCCTTTTCTCTCTGATTATACGTCACGGCGTTTGTACACCCCGATAGGTGTTCATGTTGTTATTGACATATAAAGCAGGCAAACAAACAAAGAGTGTTATGTATCCGCAGCATAAACTGTTTCCTTCTGACTCCCCGAGTGTTATAAGCAATCGGATTTGGGCTTTTTGTATGCTTTGTGAAACATCAGGATTGTGTTCTGACCTAATTGCTCAGTGTATCGCGGCTCCTCGAGCCGTTAGCGCTAGGTTTAACCTGAAACTTTGTGTGAGTAACATCCGTAGAATTGAGAGAAAAAGCAGCAGACAGACCTATATTACACTGATATTCCAAAGCAAAGGTCGGTGTAAAAATAAGCCGAACTAGGAAAAAGTCGTTCATGTTGGTCTCTTTGATGTCGTTTAAGAAATCGTGTAGCGTTGTCGATTCGTGCTCAAAGTTGGCTCAAGAGTCAAAATTGATATACTCGGAAATCGTCGTGTATGTCGGTCTATTCCAAGCGGACTATATGGCTTCACTCAGGTCATTGCCATCTTCTGGGATTGCTATAGCTGAACACTAGCGGAAGCATTTGTTATCTGAACTCGAGGGTGCGTTCACTTCGATTTTTATAGGCACCGTGTTGTAACGGCCACGTGATGCGAAACTGAGCATTGTCGCGTCTTCGGCCAACATTAATCTTGCCAACGGTCGCAGCGACGAAGACACCCAGTCCAGCCGCCGCAAACGTTCTGGCTAACTTCTCTACTCGACGGCGGCAGCGCAGTTACGATATCAACGACATGTACGTGCTCTATCTATATCATGGGCACGACTTACACTTTGTGTAGCTGTCGCGTCTTACCTCCTAAACCCCTGACATCAAGGTCGCGTAACGTTCGCCAGGATAACGTAGTCATACCTTCGCAAAGCGCTCTTCCATGGATGCCAGCCATTCACTGAGTAGCGATTGGAGGGGCGAGGATCATGATATGGAGATGGATGTCGTTCAATGGGTGCCGTCGCAGAGTCGCAACCCTGCCCTGGTGGCCCTGATGGCGGAGAGCAACAGGCGTGCGTGATTGTTTTTCTCAACATGGACTCACATGGACTGTCTTGAATCAATTCAGCTCCCCAGCCTTCTGGTAGCAACCTCCTTTCTCTCTCAAGCTCTTCCGCGTCTTCAAGAGACCATGCCACATATCAACGTCAGCGACCGCGCCTTCGCAAGCCGCGACGTCCGCCTTCTCCGAGTCCGACCGTAGAGGCCCAGAAAGAGTTCTTCCTGGACTTGGTACGCAAGGTCTCATACCAGATGGACGAGAACGCGCGCAAGAAACTCGCTTATCGGCGAGCCCACTCCGCCACCAACGTCGATAACACGGTTACCTCAGGCCCAAGGGGCGAAACCTCCTCTTACGCGTCCTCCTCGAATGCATGCTCGTCAAAACCTTCCAACCCGCCCCGTGCTCCGTTGTTACGCTCCGACTCTGTCTCGTCGACGCACAGTACTACCACCGCTCGCTCTTCTCACAACCTTTCGTCTGCAAGAGCTGGTAAATCCACGTTTGCGAGACACGCGTCCCTTCCTGAGCCCGCGTTCGCCGACAAAACTGCTGCTGGGCCTTCTGCGAAGGCTAGAGCAAAGGCACCCGCCCCTATTCCGGAATCGCCATTGCCCTGGGATAAGGTGTTTGATGAGGCGGATGTTAGTATGATAGTAGAGGACGACGAGCTGGATGAGATGGACATCTCCCCCAACAAGCAGGTACCCTGTCGTGATGCATCGATGGGCACCTCGACACCGGGCCAGGCCAGCTCGAAGATGCCCGTGTCTACGCAGAAGATCCTAGACGATATACCCTCGCCCGAACCGTGTCCTCCGGCCAAGATGCGTGGGAGACCTCAACCCCAGCCTCAGCCCCGCATTCAGGCCCAGACTCGCCATCGACAGCAGCTTCCGATTCCATCTCAGTCGCGACTTGTGGTCCAGCCTCAAAAATACTCTACGCCGTCACCTGCCCACCAGCCTCACAGGCGCCAAGTGTCTGCACCCACGCCTGCACCTGCGCCCCAACCTCGTCGCGCTCCCGTCCTTGGGATGCGGCGGCCTGCGATGCCACCCTCCACTCAAGCGCCGACGGCATCTCAGCAGCGCAAATTCGTTCCTCTGTTCAAGCCGCCACTCGGAGGCACCACGAACGCAAATGCGAGCGCGAAGATGGATACAAACTTAAGACGTCAGCCCTCGGTGGTCATCAACACCAATACCAACACCAAGGTGAAGGCATGCCAGCGCTCGACGAGCAACTCCACCGCCACGACAGCGAGCAGTAGCGCGGCGTGGTCTCCTACTAGATCTCACAGCCCTGAATCGGCATGGTCAACTCCAGCGTCGACGCCTCCTGACCCGCAGCCTGCAAAGAGTACGCTTCGTCTCTTTCTTTTCCAGACGATCAGTTACTGAAATTGGCCTTAATTTCCGTAGATTCAACCACCGGAACGAAGGTGCAGCCTAGCGAATTGGATGAAAACCCCGACGCAGACTCGAGCTACGGCGAGATGTCGTTCGACATCGACGAGCTCGAGGCGACGCTGAGGCAATATGACTGATGGTCGATGATGAGTTATTGACCTCATTCTTGTTCGCTCCCTTCCAACGACTATATTCTCGACCCACGTTTACTTCCTACTTCCTACGCACCTAGACGTAATGTCTACTTTTTCTTCATAATTGCTCGTATGATTCGCAACCGCTTTGTAGGTTAATGTGTTGGCGCTGATTCAGCTGTCGTCTGTACCCGTGTGTTTGACACGTTTGTTATTTGACTCGATATGCCCATTGAATGAAATTGTATGCGTCACCTATATATACTCCCACTGGCTAGTTTCGTGCGTCTATCCGAGGAAGATTTCACATAAAACGATTGAGCACCGAGCTCAATCTGCAACGTTTGTTTGTCGGTGTATGCTTTCATTTGATCAGTTCAAAGAGGCGTATCAGGTATTAAGGAAGGGTATATCATTCAACAAGACGTGCGATCTCGTGACATGACTAAAGTACGAATGTAATAGTAATATAGATAAACCAAATAACCAAGCTTAGAGCTTGATGCCGAGGGCAGCGAAGATGGGGCCGAGGCCGAGGCTGTTAAGAACACCACCGACGTCAACGAGGATAGGGCCGAGCGAGGCGAGGAGGCCAGTAACGAGGCTGAGGACGACGGTCAGGATCTGGCCGACGAGGATGCTAGAAGGGGAACACGTTAGACGTGGCACGGGAGCGTGTAAGTGGGATGGGCTTACCCGACAGAGGTGACGATGGGGACGAGGTCAGCCGTGATGTCGCTCGCGGCGTTGGTGGTGACAGCGCCGAGGGCCTTGAACAGGATCTGAAGCGCGTTAAGCGTCAGCTTGATTCATCTTTAACGAGATGGCATAACTTACAGAAAGGTCACCACCGACGATACCAGCGAGGCCACCGACGGTGAGCTTCTCGACACCGCCGACAGCGGTCAGGAGGGTGTCAACGCTGAGGCCGAGGTGCTGGAAGTTGACGAGCTGGTTGAGGGTCGCGTTGAGAGGCGCGATGATCTTGCCGAGGATGGGCTTGATAACATCGGCGGTGCCGTTCTGCTTGTTGACGTAGACTGACCGGTACAAAAATCCGTCAGTTTGCATTGTTCAGATCTAACAGGAAACGGAAACGTACGGAGGGACTGCGCGAGCGGGGCAACCTCAGTCCACATCTCGGTCCAGACGACCTCGATGCTCTGGCTCGCGTTGCCTGCCGACGCGTTGGCGCTGCGGGCATCGAGGGAGGCGATGACGGTGGCGAGGGGGAGGTCACCGAGGAGACCGCCAGCACCAGCCGAAGCCGAGGCCGAGGTATTCGCAGGAACGGCCGGGAGCGAGCCGTTCACGGGGGGAGCGGGGAAGGAGCCGTTCTTGGGAGGGGCGGGGAAGGATCCGTTCTTGGGAGGAATGGGGAAAGAGCCGTTCACCGGGGGAGCAGGGAACGAGCCATTCTTCGGGGGAACAGGAAGCGAGGCGTTCGCCGGGAGCGAAGCGTTGCTGGGGGGAACAACCGGAAGGGACCCGTCGACGGGCTTGACGGGCATAGCGCCGGAGAGGAGACCGAGTACGGAAGTGCAGATGAGGGAGATCGCGAAAGAACGCATGGTGTCTAAGTGTATGGGTGTTTAGGGCGGGTGTGGGTGGCGGGATCTAGTTGCTTGTGAAGCGAGAAAAGACTGTAGGTTTCCGAAAGGAGAGGATGTATACAAGGTATACAGCGAGTACAGGCGAAGAGCAGAAAGACAGTGAGCGTCTAGAGAAAAGGCGAGGTGAGGGAGGTGCAAGGGTTTTATACGTCTCCCAAAGACTTCGAGGCCTGTGAAATCCTTTGGTTTTCCGGGTGATCGTGTAGGGAAAAGTCCGTAGGCGCGGGTTTCGAAGCTGCGCGCGGAAGGTTTCCTGGGAGACCTTATCCCTGCTGTGAAAAACATAAACCGGAATTACGCAGATGCTGACCTTCGCCGCCCCACATAGCGACTAACGGCACCGAGGTCTGCACATCTTAAGCTCAAAGCGAACTTGTCGGTGACGACCAGAACCAGAGAACAGAGAACGGCAAACTAGATTCAGGAGTTCATCCAGCTGAAGGCCAAACATTATTTGAGATGACAGCCAAATTGGGAACGTTTCAACTTTTGATGCAGACGTCCAGAAGAGAAGAGCTAAGAAAGGAGTTTAGCGCAAGTACTTGTCCACGGATCATTCGGCTTGATATCATATCATCGTGTGCAAATTATACAGCCGATTGGTCGAAGATTTCTGCAGAACCCTAGCTTTGTTATATTGGTATCCAGCAAGTTGGTAGCATCCAAACCGGTAGGCGTTAGTGTGGGTGATGACCATTCGTCGCCGCGCTGTAGAATTCCCCAAGTTTCCGGACGTCGCCCCAGGAGAAGCCAAACATACAGTCCTTTCAGCACCACGAAAAGAGGATGTTGGCCGTAGATGAGTGATCAGAAGGCCCAGGGCCACGCAGAGGATGATGAAGGTCGCTGTAGATCGCTGTCGGTCCGCCGGTGACTCGAGCTCCACGAGCAACAATTATGAAGCGGGATGATGTCGCAACGCGCGATCCGGGCGTGCCTTGGCGCAAACCACGTGCTTCGGCCGACGCGTACACGTCCCTCCTCACCTGCTTTCGTGTGTAGCGGCAACAACAGCAATTAGTAGGTGGGGTACGACCACATAGAGCAGGCCATGGGCCTGCGTCTTATATGCACTTTCATTCAGGGCGCCAGTGCCTGGAGGACCACTCCAGGCTCTCGGAGATTTGTCTGACATCCATTCGAGCGCAGGCCCAGGCTTGAGAACGCCGGTGTTGGCTAAGAAACCGACCATTATAGCCTCACTACCAAAATACTAGTCTTTATTGAAGCTGCTCCCCTGGTTCATGGTTCAGCAAGAACTAACTCTTCGCACTCATCCACACTGTTGCCTTCGGAGCTAACTGTCCCAGGTCTAGTAGTATTAAGGATTGCATCAGATTGCACCACCCTGAGTGAGAACCTAAAAACCGCCCTTCGAGACGAATGGAGCTCTTGGCGTTATTTCCAACAAGCCAATCGGCGCACGGATTTATTCTAACAAACAAGCCGCCCGCCGAAGATGCTCATTTGTTGCTACGTGCGAAGATGGAAGCAGCGCAGTGTTATCGGCCGGAAAACCCCGAACGCACCTTCGGTGGCCATCAGATAGTCTTTCCCCCGAAGGTCGGACCTTTTCGGTGGCTGAACCCAGCGACCTCACTTCCAACGCTTGCGACGATAGAGAGGATAACAGTAAAGAAATGTGATAGCTCTCGAGAGAATCAACGAAATGGCTACAGCAGGACTATAAACAAGTGAGCGACCATGAACTCGGAAAAGACAGAGACCAATGCTAAAGCAGGTAAGCGAACAGAATGTATGTTATAACATTCCAATTCCGAATATACAACTACCAACGACGAAAAAAAGACACCAGCAATACGGGACCAGCGCCGAATCAGCGGTTAAATAGCTCTAAATACGTTATATGCAGAGATAATAAATGGACAGGGAAAGGGCATCGGTGGTATCGTGTCATTTATGGCATAAAAACGCTTTAGAGCTTGGAGCCGTACTGGAGGATGGTGGCGAAGGCGGTGAGGCCGAGGGTCTGGAGGTAGGTGGACAGGGGCAGGAGCAGGGGAGCGAGCTCGACGAAGAGGCCGGTGACGATGGCAGAGACGACGGTCAGGTACTGCGAGAGGAGGGTACTAAACCGACATTCTCATTAGGATCTGCGAGGGGAAAACTGGGAGTGAAAAAAGACGTACGCAGTCTTGATAACGAGGGGACCGAGCGCCTTCTTGGCGTCCTTGTCAGCGAGCTTGAAGACGTTGATAAGAGCCTTGAAGAAGGTCTGTGAGCAGAGAGGAGTGAGCAGCCAAGTTAGAAAAAACGTTTAAATTAGACCTACGGCAGCATCGGCGGCGAGGGTCTTGGCGAAAGCGTTGACATCGAGAACACCGTCAACGTCCTGGAGGAGGACCTTGAGGTCGAGACCGGCGCCAGCGAGGGCGCGGACCTCCTTGATGGCGGTCTCGAGGGGAGCCTGGAGCTTCTCGAGGGAGGCAACGGCTTCGGTGACGTTGTTGGCATCGGTGAACACTATGTCCGCCAAGGTCAGAAAACTAATCATGAAGCACGAAACCAGCGGGCCACTACTCACTAAGGGACTCAGCGACGGGCGTGATCTGCTTCATCAAAGCGGCCCAGATCTGGGGAACGGACTGGGGCGCGGCGGCGCGCGAAGCGTGGATGCCGGTGAGCTCACCGACCTCGACACCGATCTGGTCGATGGCGGTCTGGATATCGCCCTGGATGTTGCCGAGCTGGCGGGAGACCTTGACGGACTCAGCGGAGGCCTTGGCGTCCTTCTCGATCTCAGCGATGGCAGCCTCGATCTGCGCCTCGAGGCCAGAGAGGTCAGAGACCTGGCGGGAAACCTTCAGAGAGCCGGCAGCCTTCTCGAACTCCGCCTCAAGCGAGGAGACGGCGTCCTCGACCTGCTTCTCGACAGCAGTGAGGTTGGGGACGGGGACCGACGATTGGCGCTTGGCAGGAGCGGCGGCCTCGATCTGCTTGAGAATCTGGTCGATCTCAGTCTGGGCCTCGGAAGAGAGGCTGGTGACGTCGATACCGCCGGGGAGCTGGCGGGAGACCTTCATGGAGCCAGTGGCGGACTCGATTTCCTGACCGAGCTGCTTGAGGACAGACTCGGCCTCGGTGACGGCACCCTCAGCGGAGCTGAGACCGGGGAGCTCGTCGCGGGAGATCTTGAGCGAGCCGGTGAGCGAGCCAGCGATAGAGCCGACGTCCTTGAGTCCAGCCTGGATCTGGCCATCGAGGGTACCGACGACGCTGTCAATGGGCTGGATGGGGGCGGCGAAGGCGCCGATGGCGACGGACAGGAGGATGGTGAGGGATGCAAAAGAGCGCATTGTGAAAAGAGTGTGAGGGGCGGGGGAAGCTTGAAAGCTTAGGAGGGAGGCGTGAAGCACGTAGGAAGACAAGGAAGTCGTTGGGGGGTTGCTGATGATTCGCAAAGGTTTTATACCGCACCCGCCTCTGCTGGCAGGCCGGAAATTTTCTGTCTCCGGCAGCACTGCTGAGCATTGTGACAAGGATGACAAGGGTGAACACGAGTTCGAGGATTAGCGATAACTGCCGTGATCAAGCGGAATGGGCGGATCTGACGGGTGGGTAATTTGGTTGTTGATCAACGCGAAGACGCTTTGATTGCATGGCACCCGAAACTTACCTAGTCCACGACGTTGAGGCCAAGCTCAGGTATTGAGGAAGGGTATGCTGCTGTCGCTATTCCCAATATTTTCCCTGCATTTACGTCCTCCTTCTCTAGTAGTCAAAGTGGGCTGAGTGTGTTCGAAGACCAATGAGCGCCAAGCAGACCAACTTCTGAGGTTGAAAGGCTTAAAGCCACCGAAGTGTCACGTCAAACAGCGCTAGCCCGCTGTCAAAGTCATCCGCATGAGGCGAAAAACAATCTATCAAAGGCTCCGAAAGTCTGTTTGTCATGCATGTCAGCGACAAAATGGGTATGGGAGGTTGTGCTAACCTTAAAATCCATCAACTTGCCATCCTCCTTCTAGTCACAAGCCTTCGTCATCGGGAACTGTATGCTTCTGCGGCAACGATAAGAGTACTTGATCGGTACCGAGAGCACATAGAAATTGCTGTTGTATCCGACATGCTGTATGAGGACGCACGGACGCAGGATTGGCGGCTATGGGCAGCGTGTGTGTGCCAGCGTGCGTGGGTTGGTCGTGGGTGCTAATCATGAGAAGCGAATTCTTAGCGCCGGTTACCAGCGGTTACCGCACTCCCGGCGTCTCCCGGCGATGACAACTCCTTGCCTCGTCTGGGAATGGAGTCTGTGGCGGCGGGTCAAGATTCACGAGGATTCACGACCCTCTAATTTGTTTGAGCGCTCCCTCTAGGTGCTTAACATCGAAAGAAGGCTCCGATACGAGACTGAATGCAACGTGCATAATCGCGCTTTGGAGAATAGATTCATCAAGAGTTGGTACGAGAGGGGACGCTTGAAGCTCTCATGCTTATTTCCATGTACTAAAGAGGACTTCAATACGACGCTGTGAGGTTGTTGTCAGGTTATACTTGACCCGCGAGACCTACGCAAGTACTCTTCATGCATCCTCGTTTCCCCATAATGACTTCATTGACTTGGCTCGGGTCAGGCACCTTCCAGGCCTCGATCGAGAGGTAGCAACTCTAACGTTTAAAATCGGCCATTCATCTCCCCCACATCCGGCTCCGTAGGCCTAGCCCTAAAAATATCCCCTCGGGTTCGAGAACAAGGCACCCGCTCGGCGAAGATCCCGCTTATGTTTGACCGAGGGCAAGGTACCACCAAATGAGTGCCTCTTTGTTTGAAGTGGCATCTAATGAAGGATATATAGCTCTCACAGACTCACGCGTCATTCTCACCTCGGATAACAAGGGAAGACTCGAAGATAGCAAGAATATATGTGTATACCTAGCTTATATGCATATGGTTCGCCAATCCATCTCAACACTATATGTATCGCGGCCCTACACTCGTATGTGAGTATGCCGCGAGGATTCTGAGGGTGCCTTCCAGGTAAACCCTCAATTATACGACGGTATGTACAAACAGTCTAGTTTGCTATGTGCAACAGAATACTAAGCATATAGTGTAGTTTTTACAGAGCGCACGCAAGCGGACATGTCCAAGTCCCGAGAGAACAGTCACCCAGTCATCGCCCAGAGCTAGCCATCGGTGTCATCTGAGTCATCTGAATCGCCAAAATTCGGGTCAGAGTAGTCTCCTTCCCGAGCTTCCTCTGTGGCTTCGTATGGCAGCTTGGTAACCTCCTTCCACCCCGATTGGAACATCATGCACTCGGCAAACAGATCAGGAGGGACGACCTGGAACCCCCACGCCAGCGGCGTGTCCTCCAAATGCAAGTCATGATAACAGAAAGTGTCCGCAAGACATGCGGCAACTCCCTTATATTCTGAGCCTATCTTCGAGTCGAGCAGGTCCAGGCGGAACGCCATGCAGCCATCGCCCATGGCGTATCCGGGCGCGAGCTCGAACTCGCCAGTATCAAACCCTACGACCTCCGCGGAAGCATAGATGGCAATGCATAGTTCTGAGAGGCGAAGAGTCCACGCCGTGAGGGAACGCAGGCCCTCGCGGGTGACGCCAGAACTCCACTTCCACCTAGTTTTCTTGTTGATGATCGATGCACAGCCTCTCGAGGCACTGCCACGCTTTTGCCATCGTCTTTGCCTTGGTGACTTGAGTTCATTGGAGGCGAGTATGCCTAAAGAGTGGGAGAGGGTGGCTAGAGTAGAGGAAGAATATCTCGCTAACGCGTTGTCGAAACTGAGACGTGTCCCTGGCTGTGGCACACACTCGGTTAATCCAACTACTCGGATAACACGTGGCTCGCTATATGCAGTTAAATATCAAGTATGTTCTATTCGTTTACAGAGTGCATATGCATGTCGTGAGTGAACGTATCCAAGCACTGAGAGAAAAGATACCCAGACATCACCCAGAGGCAGACTCGTCGGCACCATCTCCGCTCATTACGTCTCCGGAGTTTAATCCAGGATGTCTTTTCCCCAGGCTTCTTCTGTGGCAGCGTAGAGCAAATTGGAGACATGGTTCCACCCCGGCTTATACAGCATGCACTCAGCAAGCAAATCGCGAGGGACAAATCCGAACGTCCACGCTAGTGGTACGTCCTCCAGCTGCAAATCATAACCACGGAAAATGTCTGCAATGTACGCCGCGACCTCATTATGATTGTCGCCTATCTTCGAGTCGAGCAGGTCCAGGCGGAACAACATGCAGTCATCATTTGCGGCATATCCGGGCGCGAGCTCGAACGCACCAAGATCGAGCCCCTCGACCTCTGCGGACGCGTCAATGGCGATGCGCAGCTCGAAGAGGTGCGGCAGGCGTTCGACGAGGGAGCGGAGGCCGCGGAGGGTGATACTGGATTCTTGCTTCCACCCGCTTCTCATGTTGATCGAGAACCGCTCGAGGTTGGGCCATGCCTCAGCCATGCGGAGGATGTCGCCGTCGTCTAGCCGCACGACGCGGAGAACATCGATGAAGAGTTCGCGCAGGTTCGCAAAGGCAAAGAGGGGTTCCATGACGGGCATGGTGACGCCATCTCCGTCGGCGCGGTGGAAGGTGAGTTCTTCGATGCGGAGTGCTTCCATCTTGTCGGTATGCTCACTGTCGACGAGCACTCTTATCAGGTCCTCAAAAGCGGTTGCCTCGATGAAGCCTGCACCGAGATGTAGATTGACGAACGGAATCTTGACGACTCTCAGGAAATCGGCGAAAATCCGAAGACTTTGGCCCTCAGGGGCAAAGGTGGTGAGAGCCTGCAAGGAAGGGAACGAACCTGGCGGAAATGGAAGAGATACGATGGAGGGCGCGAGAGGAATGCGGGCCACCTTGAAGCCCTTCAAGCCGGCGAGGTGGTTAAGCGCGTCGAGATCAAGATATCCACACCACAGATTCTCGACGCGCTTCCAGGACCGAATGATCCGAGAGCGGAGTGCGTTGAATGCTTCAAATTTGGCGGTTGTGATATCCTCTCCTGGAGCCGCGAAGATCTCCTGTTCCCGATACCGGAACACGTTCAGGTTGGGCAACGACTGCTCGAGGGACATCAGGAAATCGCTCTCGGCGATGGGAAAGGGGTAAATCTCCAAGTCGGTGATAGTCGGCTTCAAGATCATACGTAGGAAGGGAAGTGCGTGTTCTGCGTATTCGGGAGGGACACCCCATTGCAGCTGTTTTAGTCGAGGGAAGATGATGTCTGTGGGAGCAGAGCAGAGCTCGCGAAATACGTTCGGTGAGATGTCGTGATACGTGACCTCTGGCTCATACTCTGAGTCAATGCGATGACTTGTCGCCTGAGCGAGCCAGGTGACCCGTCGCGCGCGTTTGAGGAAGGCGTCCCAATCTTCGATGGTGAATGCATGGTTGAGGGACACAGTCTATCAAGCACATTAGCAATGCAAAGGTCCACATGGATTAGATCAAACTGTGTACTTTCTTGACGCCTTTATCCTGCTCATCCTCCACGACCTCAACAGGCTTTCCCGGAAGATGAAGAAGCAGAGGCAACATGCTCGGCGGATCCGTCCACAGCATGTCGAGGGCGGGTTCAGAGAGTGCATGGCAAGTCAAAGCGAGAGATACGAGGTCGCTTTTGGAGGCAACGAAGCTTGCCAAATGGTACGTGATCTCAGAAATGAAGAGGGCAGGGTGTGCCTGTGCGTTTCCTGGCTCCTCGTTGTTTCTATCTTGACAATTGCTTGGACGATTCATTGAAAAGCTTCAGCCTTCAAGGGGTATTAGGCGACGTGTGTGTGTGAATGCAAAAGGAGAAAACGGGAGCCACGCTAGCGCCGACGTGCGCGCACGATGGACGTACCGCCGTGTGTCAAACGGGAGACGCGTCTGGACGCGTCCGCGTCCGCAACGGAATCAGCGTGATTCACCCAATATAGTGTCTTCAGAGGGTTTCGTTTGCTGTTCAGGCATACTCAAAGATGGGTCGTTCGTGGTGTTTGAGCGGCTCAGATGCAGTGAAGTAAGGACTAGGTATGGCTGCTGCAATGCAAAGAGTGTGACAAGAACCCATGAAGTGGACTCGGAGTCGTCGGTGCAGCTAGAGGGTCTCTTATGTGCGAGCAAGATACGGGATGATAGGATGCAAGTTTTCCGGTGTATTCATGATGCAGATATGCAATAAATGTACAGATATATGTTCGTAACCGTATAGATGACTTGGATGGTCCAAGATGCTATCGTATGCTGTATGGTATGATGCAAGTATATCGGTACAAAATCGAGGGATCGTAGGAAAAATGAGCGCCGGGTATATGTGAGCAGATGGTGCTTGTGGGGCCCAAGAAGATGCAAGTGAAGATATAATCTGGGATGGTGCAAATGGAGTCCGAGAAAATGCTAATGAAAACATAGTCTGGAATGATGCGGATGGAGTCCACGGAGATGCAAGCGGAGATAAAAGCATGATACGATATGGATAACATGGAAGAAAAAGTGTTCGAGTCCGATATCTCAACAAAGAAACTGAAGATCATGAAGAAGGGGAGAGAGCGAGGGGCGGGGAGACCAGCGACGGCAAAGGCTGGCGATTACGCGCAGTCGACCAAGCGAGCACGCGTCCGATGCTGCAGAGACAAAGATAGGTCAGCTGTCATCCCCACTGAGTATATGCGCAGACATACCTTAGACTTTGTCGTCGATCGTGGCCGCCGGAGAAAAGAAGACGGTAGATATGATTAAGGTAATGAGGAGTCCATGATTGGTCTCAGTAAATGGAGAAGAAGATGCAAGTGAAGATCAAAGCACGATAAAAAACATGGATAGGATGGGGGAAAAGCGTTCAAGTCCAATATCTCAACAGATAGAACGAGGATCATGAAGAAAGGAAGAAAGCGAGGGGCGGGGAGACCAGCGACGACAAAGGTTGGCAACTAGTACGCGCAGTCGACCGAGCAAGCGCGCGTCCGTCACTGTGGAGACAAAACTAGGTCAGCTGTCATCCCCGCTGATTATATGTGCAGACATACCGTGGCCTATGTCATCGATCGCGACCACCGAAGAAAGGAAGATGGAAGTAATTATGAGTAAAAGTAATGAGGAGTCCATGGTTGGTCTCAATAAATGAAGAAGAAGATGCAAGTGAAGATGAAAGCGTGATGCAAAGTGGACAACACAGAAAAAGAAGATTATGAAGAAGGGGAGAAAGCGGGTGGAAGGGAGACCAGCGCCGACAAAGGCTGGCGACTAGCACGTGCAGTCGACCGAGCGAGCACGCACTATAGAGACAACATCAGATAGGTCAGCTGTCATCCCCACTGAGTGTATGCGAAGACATACCGTAGCCTTTGCCGTCGATCCAGTCCAATAACATACGAGTGAGATGGGAAAGAAGAAAAGCTCGAGTCCGATGTCTCAAACAAAGGGACGAAGATAAGAGGGATATGGTGAAGAAGACGAGAAAGCGAGGGGCGAGGAGACCAGCGACGACAAAGACTGGCAATTGCACGCAGTCGACCAAGCGAGCATGTGTCCGTCGCTGCAGAGACAAATATGGGTCAGAAGTTGTCCACACTGAGCGTATGTGCAGACGTACCTCAGACTTTGTCGTCGATCGCGACTGCCGGAGAAAGGAAGATGGTAGATAGGATTAAGGTAATGAGGAGTCCATGGTTGGTCTCAATGAATGAAGAAGGAGATGCAAGTAAAGATCAAAGCGTGATAAAACATGAATAAGATGAAAGGAAAAATGTCCGAGTCCGATATCTCAATAAAATAAAAATGAAGATCATGAAGAAGGGAAGAATGCGATGGGCGGGGTGGACAACGCCGACAAAGACTGGCGAGTATGCGCATTCGACCAGCGAGCACGCGTCTATCACCGCAGAGACAAAGATAGGTCAGCAGTCGCCCTCGCTGAGTGTATGCGCAGACGTACCTTAGCCTTTGTCGTCGATCGTGGCCGCCAAAGAAACGATGATGGAAATTAATGTGAGTAAAGTAATGAGGAGTCCGTGGTTGGTCTCAGTAAATGGAGAAGAAGAAGATGAGGAGTCCGTTCAACGTCTCAATAAATAAAGGAGGTGAAGGAAGCGAAAGCAAAATGCAAGATGGTAGGAAGTAAAAGCAGAATGCAAGACGGTACGAAGCAAAAACAGAGTCCAAGTGAGCAAGTGGATGCGGCGGGGAGCAGATCGGCGACGACGAGGTCGGCGCGTAGGTGACTCTAAAGAAGTGTCAGTCGCACATCTCCGCGGGGAGCACGTGAGAACGTACAATTACCCTCGTCGCCTACCATAGTCATATGGGGTGGTTGGGGTATAATATCCGAAGAGTTAGTTGTCGCGCTGGATATTGCGCAGCATGGTCGGGGTATAATTGTGTAGGTGAAGTATAGATGAGTGTGATGCCGAAAAGATGGTGGAAAGATGAGAAAGTGAAGCGCAGCAGGGTGAGCGAGCAGTTGGTTAGCCGGAAAAGAAATGCGATGACGAGGTTGGCGCATAGGCGACTCTGAGGAAGCGTCAGTCGTGCATCCCTGCTGGGCAAATGCGAGCACGTACCATTACCCTCGTCATCTGTCACAGCCACATCGGGTGGTGGGAGTAGAAGTCTCCGAAGAATTAGTCGTTGTGCCCAGTATTGCGTAGCATGGCCGGGGTATAATTGTGCAGGTGGGGTATAGTCGTGCAAGTGGGGTATTAGATGTGTGCAATGTCGAGAAGATGGTGCTCAGATGAAGATGCAAAACGCGGCAGGGTTCGCGAGCAGTTGCTCCCGGGAAAAGAAACATGGCGGCGAGGCTGGCGCATTGGGCGACTCTGAAGAAATATTAGTCGCACATCTCCGCGGGGAGCACGTCAACATGTACCATTGTCCTCGTCGTCTGACATAGCCACATCGGGTGGCTGGGGTATAAGTCTCCGGGGAAGCAATCGTCGCGCTGGGTATTGTGCAGCGTCGTCGGGGTATAATTGTGCAGGTGGGGTATAGATATATGCAATGCCGAAAAGATGGTGGCCGGATGAAATCCGTGTTGTGGTGCAGTCATGCAGTCGTGATGAAAAGAGCAGTCGTCGACGGATGGCCGGTATGGTGTCGCAGGTGGATGAAGACGGTGCAGGTATATGCGTGGAACAAAGGAGCGTAAGCAGTGGGGGTATCCAGTGGGTATCGGGATGAGATCCTAGTGTACAATGATGATATATGCACATCAGGAAATTGACACGTGAATTAGCCGAAATGAGATGACTTTACCTCACTTAACGAGCATTTACCGCGCGGTCGTGGCCGTGGCAGGTGCAACCCAAACTAGCAAATGTATACGCGCTCAGTTAAGTCCGGCAAAGTTAACAATCCCCCATGAAGTCAAAAAAATGCAAATGTATTGGCGTATAAAGTAACAGCTAAGTAGTAAGACTAAAACCTACTATGCTAACTCAAACGCGTGATGATCAATGAAACGATTGATGTAGTATCCATCAAAGCTATCGTACGACTGATGGCAGGTCATATCTTCAGGAACGGGATCCTTTCCGAAGACGGGGAGGAGGTGGCAGCCCCTGACCATTGTATCGACGTCAACAACAGCTGTGTGTCGTGTGCCATCTCGTCTGTACATAGGCTGGACAATGTACATCCCCGTTAGGTCATCACGTTCGTTCGAATAGTACTCGTACCAATGCACGACAGCGCACTCGTAGACCGTCCCCTGGAGATTGAACTTGAAGAAGGCGAGGATACGAGCAACGTCCATCGAAAGCGTTCCGGGCAATGACTCGTTCGTAAGGAGGAATGCGCAGTCCTGACGCGGAGCCTCATTCCGCCATGAAGGCGTTGATCGAATACGCTCGCGCTTCAGGCCACCCGTGCCGCAGTTGTCGCTTGGCGCCCGGAACGTCGAGACCGCAGAATTGACGACGGTGATCTTCATAGGGGCGCGGGGACATTCTTCAATGGGAATGTGGATGTTGTATTTGAGCCGGGGATCGTGAGCGCGGAGGGCAGAGAAGAGGAAACGACGTGTCTCCTCAATGATGGTGGGTGCGCCGATTTCTTGGGCCAAATCTGGTAGGGTGCGGGCGCGTTTGCGGGCTGATGTCGTCAGAAAGGAAGGCGAGCAGGGGAAGGAGTGATAGTACGCACCTCGGCTCTTTGCCAGCTTTACCTCAGCCTCGAGTTCCCTCCCATCTATCATCCCGACACTCTTGATACGTCGTGATCCATCTAGCTGCTGCTCGTCGGTAGGGTCGGACTCAAGTGAGCGGGAGCGTGGTTCGCGGTTGCAGAGGTTATTGGGATGGATAGGGACATCAGGCGAGAGCATGAGGGTTTGTAGTAGCTGCTCGGCTGATAGACACACTGTAAGCGCGAGGCGGCAGGCAAGCAAGGGGATTACATACCTTCTTCCAATAGAGCTAGCTCCTTCTCAAGCCCGTCTCCATGAAGCATTCCCCGTGCATCAAAGTCGACACGGCACGCGGCGAGCTTGTCAAGTCGAGAATTGGTGGTGAGCATTTGACCGAGGGCATTGAACCGACTTGATCGGCGCCAGGGATCCTTCACGGCCTCGATGTGCTTGGATTCGGTGATGGACGAGCAGAGGCCATTGGGCGCGCCAAACCTTCGTATCAGATACTTGTAATGAACCAAGGAATGCTGGCGGGGGAGGGAGAGGGTCATGCTGACCCCAGAGTCGACGAAGACTTTCCGGTATCGATGAAAGCGCGCGAGGGCGTTGTCCATGTCGTCAAAGTCCTTCTCGGTGATGACATTGCGTCGGACGTAGTAGCAGAACTCGAGAAATGCGCGGAACGCGCGCACCACGTCGGGAGGAACGTGGTTCTCGATGGCGGGAAGGTAAACCTTCGTAGAATTATTAGAAATTATTGAGCACAAGGAATCGAATGAGCGTACCTTCATTAAAGCCTTTGAGTCATCCCCCGTCCATTGCTTAAATCCCCTCCCTTGCGGAAATCGTCTTAAGCCTGCAAAAGGGGCGGCGACAGCGATTCTAGTATAGCATAAGTACGGGAAGAATCCGCGAGAAGGAGAACTCACCGTCGATCAATATCATCTAAAATCTGAGCAGCCCGCGCTTTCCCGTGAGTCTTCTCGAGATATTGCTCGACCCAGTCGACGAGATGGTCCTTGAAGGTTCCCTTGATGAGTTGATGGAGGATGTCAGGCGCGATGAGGTCGTGTATGTCAGCTCGGGGGAAATCATTCGTGAATGGCTGTGATTGTAGTTAGGGAAGATGTTCAGAAGGCAGGCACTGATGGACGACGTACCACGACATCCGCAATTGTACCGTACTCATCCCATAATACCCCCGGAGGAAGCTCTTGCACGAGCGTTTCGTTGTGATGTCGAGTCCGTTGCATGCTTTGGGTGTCGAGGTCGTCTGGGAAAGCCAAGCAGCTAACAAAGCATAAGATACGTGAGGTCGACCATGCGGGGAGTACGTACCGCGGACACCATCCTTGAACAATCCCTGCAAGAAGGACTTGTTCGGGATAGTCGGCAATATACGGCCCAATGCCGTATATCACGCGACGATGATACCCATCCCCGAAAGGGACCACCTCGTACTTCGTCATGTAGGGCTTGAGCGACTGAAGGATGCTTGACAGGGAGGCATGGTACAGCTGACGGCGGAATTTTCGAAAGTTTGGGTCGCCGGAGAAGGTCTTATTGGCTAAGTGGAAGTCAGATACGCTGCCTGCACCAACGAGTGGGGGAAAGCTTACTTTTGGGGATGGACAGGAACCCAATGAGAACAACAGCATTCCGGCGAGCTCGGCGCGTGTTGTTATGAACGTTGCCGATGGAGAGGTAGAGGGGATAGTACTCAGTAAGACCGGTTGCGACGGAGACCGTGGTCTTGTCGCTCCCGAGGATCACTAGCACGAACGTTGATCCATGGGTCGCCGGGTCTTGAGAGATGATGTCCTAGTTTGCTACGCATCAGGACATGCATAGAAGAAGAACGAGCTAATGAACTCACCGCCTGCTCCCAAGCCCAGTCTCCTGAGAATAGATTCTCGTACTGACGCACTCCGTTCTCGTCGTAGTCGCGGTAGGGGGTGTAATCAAGCTCGCTCTTGAAGTCAGGGCGCGCCAGGATGTTCTTGACAACGAGATGTGGGTCACGAAACCACACATCGTATTCGGCGCCCATCCATGGTGGGATACTGCGCGCGGGCTTCGGGCCGTTGTACTTGACAGAGAAGGATCTCCACGGGATTTCTCCCAGTTTTGATGCATCAATGGTGTCGTAGAGATCCGTGTGGTCGCGGAATGGTGGGTTGTCGTTATGCTTCACAAGGGACATTGCCCATAGCCGGCAGAGGAAGTTGATGTGGTCGGCCGACATCTGGACGTTTCGAAACAAGAAGTCGGCGGTCTCGAACTTGAGCCGCGAGCCAAACGGGTGCCAGTCGTCGGTATCGCAGTTGGATGGAGGACTAGGTGGGGTGCCGGGTGGGAGGAATTCGCCAGTCGAGCTGCACTTTTGACCTATCAAAATGCATGAGTGAATACACAGTAGGACAATTCAGAGAACATACCGGTAAGAAACTTATGAAAGTATCTCGTTAACCGTCCGACTTTGACTGCGTCTCCAACCATGGGGTCGTCATCATTGTCTTCGATTCTGTGGGGAGGGTCTTGGGCCTCGTCTTCACTCCTGTAGCCGTTGCAAGGTGACGAAGGGGGACATGGATCAAAGAGAGGGGAAGATGGGCGAAGGGAGAAGCCAGAAGGAGAAGGGGAACGGCTGGGAGGTGCGTGAGGAAGGAGAGGACTAGGAGGAGCCGGTTGATGATAGTAAAAGTCCTGGATGTCGCCCGTATGTTGGCTGCGGAAGTGTTGCGTAAGACCGGCTGTGTTGCGGCAGATGCGACTACAGCCTTCGGCAGGGCATGTGTAACGCTGGTCGAGGATCCTGGCCTTTGAGCCCTTTGTCTGGCGCTGCGACTTGGACTTGGTGCTCGATTTTGAGGGCATCTTGGGTGGACGAAGGAGACGTGGCGAAATTAGCTAAGGTTAAGCGAGGACTGCGGTTCAATTTCATGCTGTAAACGCCGTCACGTTCAGTCAGACACTGCCAGTGGCACTTACGTGTTCACTGGTTCGAACTTCAACCACCACACCTCTTCGCCCTCGTACGATGCCTCCCAAGCGCAACACCTCCATAGAGCCCTCAGACCGCGCGCTTCGCACCCGCGTCACCAAACCAGTCTCCCTTCCTGCCCCCAACCCCTCCAAGGGCACGTCCGTCGCCAAGAAGCGCCTTTCAAAGGCTGAGCAGGACGCTCAGAAGGATGCTGATGAAGCTCGTGTAGCTTCCGGCATCCAACGTCTTGCGGTTGTTGAGCACGAAGAGCAGCACCGCCAGGAGATGGCCGCACAGCCCAAGCCAATGCCCAAGAAGAAACCGGTGACGACCCAGAAGAAGGTGTCAGCTCAAGCAGGGACGAAGACTACGAAGCCTACGTCTTCGAGCACGGCTCCTGCCTCCAGTGCTAGGAAAGGTGGCCAAGGTTAGTAGTGTATCAAACCTTGAGATGAGAGCGACAACTTACCTGTCCTTGACAGCCGTTCAGCCGGAGACAAAGGTCACAGTGCCTAGGAAGGAAAGAGCAACGACACGCAAAGACATCACCACCACTCGAGAAGGACTTGATGCCATCAAAGTCTCGGTGACATCGGAAGCCCCGGGCCATCAGCCACCTACCATGAAAGGCAAGGACGGTGATGCGTAAGTCTTTTGCTTCCGCTCCATCATGATGCTCCAGCTGACTGAACTTACACTATACTACCGTGACCTCGCTATCTCCTACACCAGTCCCCCGGCTACGAAAGTCCAGTTTCTCAAGCGCGTGGCCAGCTGGTCCAAAGGGGTTGCCACGGACAACCAGAGCGTGTCGTCCAAATCCAGCTCCAGTTTCTTTGGCGGCCCACGGACCTCAAGCTCCGCAGCGACGACTGTCCGCAGCAAGATCCATAACGTCAAGCCAAAGCCAAGGATCGTCGCTGCTCACCAGGAGAAGGAAGATACAGCCTTGGGTGTCGGTGTTCACACCGAAGACACTGCCGATGATGTGGCGAAGGAGCGGAGTGCAGTCGCTGCGGGAACTGGACAGGTGAGCAACCAGTATTTATCAAGATTTTATGGCGGACTGATACTTTGGTTAGTCCCTCTTGTTGATCGAGCCCACTGCGCCACCTGCGACTAAGCCCACTCCCCCTCGGGGTCTCAAGCGGAAGGCTAGCAATTCTAACGTGGGCGAGGAGTCTACCTTTGTTCCGAATGTAAGTAACATCCTTGGCTTGACATCGTTTTGGCTGACAATCGCATCAGATCACCTCAAGCCCTGGCGACCCCAACTGGGACTTCCCGATGGAAGAGGCACAGCGCATGCCACGCTATCCATTGGACCCGTCGGAGCCCTTGATATGGGATGACGTCGACGACCCCATTGACACCCACACGGGGGTCGACCAGGAAGACAGCAACAAGGACGACGGCGCCGAGGAAGAGCGCGACCAGATGGACGAGGACGAGGACACGGGCAGCCAGCTGGCTAGCAACAACATGGAAGGCATCAAAGAGGCCGCTGTTGAGGAGATGGAGACCGAGGAGAACGGTGAGGGCGAGGAGGATGGCGAGGGCGAGGAAGATGGCGAGGGCGAGGAGAATGGCGAGGGCGAGGAGAGCGGCGAGGGCGAGGAGAACGGCGAGGGCGAGGAGAACGGTGAGGGCGAGGAGAACGGCGAGGGCAACAAGCCTCAAGATCGCACCACTCAACAGGTATGTGCTATTCTCTTAGTTGATCTGATCTAACAATACTGTCAGACGCATGCTCAGGTCTCTACCTCAATCGAGCGCGCCGTCAAGCGCCGCCGGACAAGTGCCCTAGACAGCGACAGTCAGCCGCTGCAAGCCTCTAGCAACCCGGGCAAGCGCCGCGTTTGGTTGCTCTCCGATCTCCCCCCTGGTGCTCGCGACCAACAGCGCTGGGGCAACGAGTTCCTTCCCACTATTGTCGACCATGTCGGCAGCAGGGATTCAGCCTGGAATATCACCGACGCTGATCTCATGGACGCCATTGCGAAGGCTTGGCGTGTGGTTTATGGGAAGCCTCTCCCGCGGACTGAAACCATCCAAGGGGCCGTTTTCGGGCTGGTATGTGCCTTTCTCATAACTGAACACTAGCTGACATTTCCTACGTACCAGACGAAGAAGAAGCTGAACGAGTGGCGGAGCTCGTTTGGATCCACCGCCATTGCCGCCCTTGTCGCTGCCCTCGCGCAGCAGGGTCTGTGGACCCATGACCTCCAGCTGGGCTTCGTCAACGAGCAGATCCTCGGAGACCAGTTCCTCAACGACGGGAAGACAAGCGAGGGCAAGCCCTGCGGTATGTTCAAAGGAGAGTTTTTCCAGATTGTTTTCGCCACCCACCAGATCGCGATCCAAGGTAGTGCTCACGTCCCGGACTTCATTCCGACAAGGAAAGACGTTCAGGGCAACACGATCCATACCCCCTTCGCTGCGTCCGTTCTTGCTGCCGCCGCGGTAAGTGATAGTGTTCCATGTTACTCATTATTCACGCCTATTTTGTAGTGCTACCGCGCCCTTGTCCTCGTCCGCGACGCCAGCTTCGGGGACATCGCCAATGCCCTCGGCGCCATCGACAAGGACCTTACTCTGACTGTCTCTAACGTCATCAAAGCCAAGAAGGCTTTCGACGCCATCAAGAAGAAGGAGAAGGGGCAAGCCGAGGCCGCCAAGAAGGAGCGCGAGGAACAGGGGAAGGCGAACACCGACGGGAACGACGCGGACCAGGAACCCGAAGAGGAGCCCGAAGAGCCTGAGGAGTCCGGTGATCCTGACTCCGAGGCGTCTTCCATCCTCCCGTTTTCGAAGGATCACAACGAGGAGTCAACGTTCAATTACTCGTTCCTGTTCAATCGATGCCCGAACGAGCGGATTGTCGAGGCACTGGCGATGTCGACCAAGTACACCGCGCCCCCTCGCAGGCTCAAGAACTCGGCCGCCATCAGTCAGTCCTCGCACTTCGAGCCTAAACTGGACGAGCGCGCGTTCCGTGACATCATCTGTAAGTTGTGTCGTTATCTTTCCTTTCTTTCTATCTCTTATGACCTTACTTCAGTTTGAACTCTTTCGGCGTCGTCCTGTTCGGCTCTTCTTAGTCCTTGGTGCTTCAAATCGGTCCGTTCTTTCTTTATTCTCGTTGAACTCTACATTGACCTTGCGATAGAACGGTGGTTGCGAACGTCTCCATTATGCATACTACAATCTAATGACGCATTTCTCGTATCTGTACCTAGCACTTTACTAGCATTTGACTGCATTTGCCGGTGTATTAGATGCCGGTCATCAATACATATCACGTTGTTTTCTAATGCGCGTAAAACTGAGCAAATACGAGATAATGCACCATCCGCAGCCTTGAGCGAGTTGAGCTAATGCATTCCCATTAGCGCGGTCCGGGACCCTACTTATCCATCGGGGTGAATTTGACTGCATTAACCGTCGCTTAACGTTACTTAATACAGGTTAATACACGTGTCAAAATCCTGATGCAGTGGCGGAGGGGGTCTCATGTCGGCGTCCGGGGCGCAGTGGTGGTACAAGGGTGTATGGCATGCAAAGGATCGGAAGTCGAGAGGATATTGTGTCGTGATGCAGTAGTGCAGTGATGGTTGAGTCTATATGCAGCGTTGAAAATCTGAAAGAATGTCATCCGGTTGGGGTATAGTTGTCATGGAGGTATCCGAGTATGCAAGTGATAGTGGTCGATGGCAATCGTGTGGTGCTGTGGGATATATGATGCAGGGTATATGTTCGTTATTAATTTTCGTCCTGTTTTCTTCGCCGTTTAGTGTCGTTAGATTTTCGTCGTCGTTATAGATCTTCTAGCGGGCGGCAGCGTCGGATTCGGAATCGCTTTCGTGATCGGAGAAGGCAGGAGCCTCGCCTTCATCCAGCTGTACTTCGTGGTCCTCCATGCCGTCGTTACCTTCATCGCCCCCCTCGTTCTCGTCCTCTTCGACTTCTTCGTCGTCGTCCATCTCCTCCTCGTCACACTCCTCGTCGCCCTCCATCTCCTCCTCTTCATCGTCCTCCTCGTTCTCATACTCCATCCTCCCTTGGTCCTCCTTCAGTGCCACCTCCTGACTCTTGTCGACGTCCATGCATCGTCCACTGAAGTTCTTGAACATGCCAAGAACCTTCTTGGCAAGCCACACCGGAGGCGGCGGCAACGGCGTCACCGAGTCCGCCTTCTCGTCCCCGCCCTCGTCCTTGTCCTTGGGCCGCGTGTACGGTGCATGCCTAGGAGCAACGCACGAACGACGGCGGTTGTCTTCCGTCATCCGATCCTCCTCCATGGACGCAGATTCGGGCATGAACATGCGAATGAGGTCGGCGATGGCGGGATCCTCGTTCTCCTTTTCGGCGGTGGAAGTGACAGAGGCGGCCTTCCGAGCTTTCCGGTCCGCCTTGGCCTGTGCGAGCGCGTCGCGTGCGCTGGATCGGCGCCCGTTCTCGCACTTGGGCGGTTCGCGGTAGCGCAGACACTCAGGGACGGCATCAAAGGCGTCAGTCGTCGAAGGACGAACGACCGGCGCAGCAACGGGAAGAACTACCAAAGGCAGCGCATGGGATGGGGTAGGTGCTGATGCTTGTGCTTCAACGGTGACGACGTCCACCGAGCGGTCGGAAGGGGGACCGAGAGCGACGTGCAGGACTGGCAGCGGCTCAGTGACTGGAACCTGGGCTGCTACTGGTGTGGTCGTGTCGGTGAAGGTGTCTTCCCGAGAGAACCCGTGCACTGGCGGTGGAGCCAGTACTGGTGCAAATGCCTTGATAATGAGGGCCGCAGGCGGAAGACCAGGCAGGAGTGAGGAAAACTCCGAGCGATCGCGAGGGAAGGCAGGTATGCGCTTCTGTTGCTGCAGCTTCTTCACGCGGGCTTCGAACCTTGAGCGACGAAGGCGGATGATGTGTTGCTGGCGCTTCAACGGTGGCATCTATCATGTAGATATGATTAGGATTAATGGTGGATCGGCGAGGCGAGGGACTTGCCTCAATGTCTGTGCCTCGCAGCCCTCCACAGAGTGGATGCTTGACACCGCAAGTCTAGAGACTGATTAGCTGCAATATTAATTGGGAGCGATAACGACGTACGGGGACTGTTTCGATCGGGGATCCGAAGTCGAGGTGGTCGCGGATGGCGAGAGTGGTGAACAAAGCTGACATGTTGTCCATGGTCGGACTGGAGACGAGGCGTGGAGTGCCGTTATCGTCCTCGTCGAGTTGAAAGCGACTGTCGAGAGTCGAATATGTCAGTTCTTGGTCGCGGGCACCAAGGCTGGAGTGCTCGACGTATTGAAGAGGAGCACTGAGAGCGCCATGCTCGACGTCGACGTCGATGTCCATTGCGCTGCTCGTTGTCGCCATATTGTTTCCCATCTCCATGTCGAGAACCTGCAAAAGCGTGAGCGTGTTGAATTTCCCAAATAGCGAGCGGTACTCACGGGCGTGCTGAGCTCCATCTCCTCGTCGACGTCTCCTAGATATTCGAGGACCTCACATTGGTAGCCCACCTCGATCAGACCTTCCCCTTCGTATGCCGGGAAAGTCGGTGAGTAGCAACCAGCCTCGCACGTCGGGATCACCGGTGCTGGGGCCTCAGTGGCTTGGCTGGTACTGTGGGTATCACGAGCGGTCGGGGCCTCGTGTATACCTTCGAGCTGGCGCGGCGGGAGGATTGGAGAGTAGCATCCGGCGTCGCACGTTGCGATCGCCGGCGCTGAGTCCTCGAAGGCAGGACCGGTCTCGTGGGCGTCGCCAGTGGTCGTCTCGGGTAGGTCCTCGAAATCAGAGAGGGAGTCGGCGGGAACAATGTCCGCATCCCGCTGAACAGCGGTCTTGCCATTGAGAGCAACATCATCGAGGATGCTCTTGAGGAAGTCCTCGACTTTCTTGACGTCGACACCGTTGTTGACCTTCGGCGCGTCGTCGTCCTCGCCAGGGAACTAAACAAACGGCGGGCAGCGATCAGCCACTGAGCTGACGAGCGAGTACAGTACATACCGCCGTCGAATGTCTGTTCGCCTTGGCCCCATCGTCCTCGCCTTCGGCTGCGTCTTCGCCCTCGCTGAATAGCTCCTTGAGGGAGTCCTTCTCCGCGTTGGCCTTCTTGGCGGCCATGAAGCAGAGAGGGTTGTCCTTCCAGGCGAGAGCAGTCGGCGCCTTGGCGGGGGGCGACTGGTAGTTCGCGCGACGCGGAGGGCCGTCCGGAACGATTTGATGGTCGTCGTGAATGGCGATCATCGTGTAAATTGCGGTATGCGTTGTGATTTGTTTCTGTGTTTCTGGTATTGCTGATGTGGATAAGAGGAAAGAGAGGAGGGCGGCGGGGGCCTGAATATATACCAAAGTGGCGACGCGCCCAGTCTAGGTCCAAACGATCGAGGCGGGTGGCTAATGGCGCACAACGCGGTCACGTGCAGTGTCTTCTCCGAGGAGCTACATCTGCATCCTAATGGAATACCAGCCATAGACGCGAAAAACCTAGTTATAACATGCCATATCAAGTAGTCCTAGATGCGCAGAGCAGCAGAGAGACGCTGGAGACCGAAGATGAGGACGCGTTGAAAGTTTGACGGTAGCAGAGGACAAGTGAGAGCAAGCAGCAGACGGCCGAGCACGGGCCGAGTCTCCGAGGAGTTAGCATACATCCACCGCCGGTGTTTTCGATTACATTCAGCATTTCCTGAGCATTCGTCGCGAGCATCGACGAGGGGAGAGCAGAGTAGGATGACAAGCTGAGCGACTGTGATCAGGGAACGAGACAAAGTTGAAAGAGCCGAAGGAGCGCATTGACGCCGAAGCTCGGTCCCATTACTCGACCATTCAGTCGATGAAAATCTTATCTTATCTTATCATCCGCTCCACGACTTGCAATATTGTACTAGTCATCAAACAAATGATACTGACTAGGACTTTGTACTAATCGTATCTTCCACGATTCTTTACAGTAAGAGCGTGGTATAACGCACAAAAATGCTATAGATCAAAGCAGCGAAAAGCAACATGGAATAGACAGTATATGCTATCAGTACTAAAGATAGCAGCTCGACCTCGGATTCATCCACAATTCCACCCATGTATCCCTAATGCCTCGAATCACAGCTTATAAGGTATAACACACCTCAACAGCGACCAATGCCGGGCACCTTCATCCTGTTCGCACCCCAAACCCCGCAAAGCACGCCCCCCACCCCCGGCATTGCATTTACGTCGTCTCAAACCGCTTCAGCGGCATCGGCCTTCCTGTCGCCTGCCTCCCCCTCGCAATCCTCTCCGCAATCCGCTCCACATACCCCCCATCCGCACCCGCGCCCTCCTCGCTGAGCGTGCGCCGGATAAGCTCCTCCATCGACGGTGCAGACGCCGCCCCGGCATCAGACCCGGACCCGCCGACACCGGGGACACCAGAGGCGCTCGGGCGCCGCCGCATGCTCGGCGCGGGGATGACGGGGAAGTCGCCGTCCGCACCGTCTGCGTTGTCCAGTGGGGGCTCGTATGTGGGCAGGCGCTCGTTGAGCATGTCCACGCGCCGTCTGCGTGTCGAAAGTATGTATTTGAGTCAGTGAGCGGGAGAGGAGGAAGCGATAGGTGACGTACGCGTCCTGGAAATTCCGTATGCTGCCCCCCATCTGGTTCCCCTGCACACCGAGCATCCGCGGTCCCTGAAGCGCGTCGAGCCCTTCTTCCTCCGCCTGCAGCTCCGACACGTTCTCTGCCTCCTCTCTGACACACCGCCGCACCACACATCAGCCCTCTTCACAAGACGATAACACCGAAAAACGCTACACGCACCGCAGCAGCTGAAACACCCTCTGCATCTTCCCCACAGCCAATATCTTCTTCTTGATCTCCTCCTTGCGGCGCCTCATCGCCTCTTCATGGCTGATAACCGCCTCACCCTCCTCGTCGCTGTCCTCCCCGATCGTCCCCGATTCGGATGTGTCCTCCAGCTCCTCCCGCGAACATGAGCTCAGAATCGCGAGCAGCATCTCCGTGACTGTCCCATCGTAACCACGCGTCAGCATATTATCACCAAAGACTGCAATTGCAATCAGAAAGTATGAAAAGAGAGAGAACTGACTTTTGGCCCCAACGAACGGTAGACTCCACGTGAACGCGTCCATAAAGTTGGGCAGCCAATACGGGTGCGCGGACGAGTTGTACTGTCTGATGGTAATATTCTTGTTCGCGTACTTGATGATCGCGCCCCGGTTGTGATACACGTCCAGATAGTTGGGCGCGCTGAACACGGTGATCACAGAAGGGAACTTTTTCGTTGGTGTTTTGCGATACATCGTGTATCTGCGTACGCGATTTAGCCGCAATTGAAAGAGTTTCATGCGATAAGGAGGAAAAAGGAAAGGACCACACGTACCCCGCATCCTGCGCCTCGTGCCCCCGTATGATGCCCAGCAGCCCGTTCGTCTCGAGGAACTTGCACGCCGCGCTATACCTAACCATCAAACCAAAAATCAGACGGGTGTCGACGGATGACTTTGACGCAGAGACCAACGCACGTGTAAAAGTACGAGCACCCTCTCACATTGTTATGCTGGAAATGTGTCGGCTTTCCCGTCGCGCTTGGCTCGTGCTCATATCCAAAGTCCGCGATCGGGTCCGACCACAGCAGGTCGCACAGTAGCCCGCTTGAGCCCGGCTCGTCGAATCGATTTAACTGGTGGATCCGACGGGCGTCAGCGGTTGCGTCAATTGAAGAAAGCGTGGGAAGAGACATACAGTGTGGAGGTCCTGGAGGGTGAGGAGGTGTGGCGAGATACCGCCGTGCACGCAGAAGAAGCGTTTGTCGACGAGAGCAGCCAGGGGAAGCGCTTGGAAGGAGGTGATGCACGCGTCGTATACGGCCGACGAGTACTTGTGCAGGCCTACATGGACGCATGGTAGATTAGAAGCGGATGATGGATGAGCAGCGGTGCGAATATCAAAGAACACGACGCCTTACATTCTCGTTTGAACGTAAAGTACTCCGTCAGATGCCTGCACTCGTGGTTCCCGCGGAGAAGCGTGATATACCCCGGGTACTGCAACTTCAGCGCATACAGGTACAGCAGACACTAAGCAGTGGCTCTTTAATCAGCACGCGCCTCATATAATTGTACATAAGACCACGCACCTCGATGCCAAAAGTCCCGCGATCGACATAGTCCCCGAGAAAGAGGTACGAGCACTCCTTGAACGACCCGCCGATGTCAAACAGCTTCATGAGGTCGTACTATCCCGCCACCATCCATTAATTCGGGATAGGCACCGCCATCGTGACCAGCCGCAATCGGGATGCGCTCGTCAGCAGACCGTGCGCAGCTCATGAACGCAAGGGGGACACACGTATTGGCCATGGATATCGCCGCAGACTGGGGCGTGTTGCCTCGATCAGCGCTCAAGTCGATGTCAAGAGTAAAGCAGGGTGTGAGGGAACCAAGGCAGCCGCGAGAAGAAGACGATGAAGGGGAAAAGGAAGTGAGAACGGGAACGCGAGACTCACTCGTGACTGGACTCTCGACGTACACCAGGTTGGGCTCCTTGGCGAGCAAGTCCGTCGCCTGCGCGAGGATGTAGAGCGCCTGCTCCTCCGTGAGGCGGCCCTCGTTGAAGAAGTGGTCCTTGAGGAAGTCGCAGCTGGGGAGGTAGACGCCTTCGGGTGTGCGCAGGAAGAGCTCCTCGTCCGTGGGGCGGAAGGCGACGGGCTTGGGGACCTACAGTGGACATGTAAGAGGTGGACACAGTCAGCTGATGGACCTATCGCGAATAGCGAGCGAAGAGATGGAGGAAGGCAGCGCGTCGAATTGAACATCATCTATACAAGGAGCAACTACATCACAAGCACAAAAGTGCCACTACCGCACGCACATCGGTGATCCACACTCCACGATCGCCAAACGCACAGAACTCGGACCGACCGCATCTCCAAACGATAACGTAAAAAGTCAAATAGCGTTACTTACGTGGGGAACAGCTCTCTCCGTGTAGTCGATGTCGTGCTGCTCAAGACCAACCGGCACGGGCTCCCATGCGCCCGGTGCGATCGTCTCTGACGCGAGTGGTCCATAGAGATGGGAAGACTGGAAGTAATCTTGATTGGACCCCGCCATGAGAGGGATGCGGGCGTCGGTGCGGAGGGCGAGAGGTGAGGTGGGCAAGGGGTTGGACGGGTCGTGCGAGGGAGGAGGAGCGTCTAGTATGTGGAGGGTGCGGATGAGTGGGTGCCCGCGCCGGCGACGAGTCCATTTGGGGAACGGGCGCTTGCTCTCTGCTCAGTGCTTACACCCCGGCGCTCATCATACGAGTACATCAGTTGGTGGTGATGGCGTTAACTTTAGACTAAGAGTTTCAGGTAGAGGTAGTAACTTATTATGTACGGTAAGCTGTTTACAGACGAGATATCTACTTTATGAAGAACACATCTAAGTAGTTTAGCGCGTTTTACGCAAGATACGTTATATTCGCAACGACATCTAAGGGTCGATACCGGCATACTCGTCATAGCCGAGCGCCAGGTTCAAGTTCTGCAAAGAATGTCGTGGTGAGCATCTAACACCGAACCAAACGGACTGTGAATCGGGAAAAATAACACACCTGCAAGCACTGCGTCGCAGCACCCTTGAGCAGATTATCCAAACCGCCCTGAACACAACATCAGCATCCACCCTCGCCCTCCAAACTCGCAGAGAACAAAGCACTCACCACAACAACAGCCCTCTCCCCAGAACTATGCACCTGGAACCCACCAACAACAAACCCGTTCCTGCCCTCAATGTCCCCCAACCCTGGCACCTCGCTCTTAACGCTCACCAGCCTCTCCCCGCCATACTTCTCCTCAAACAGCGCCCTCACATCCCGCGCCGTAAGCTTGCCCGACAGGGGCATCGACAGCGTCGCAATGATCCCGCTGAACCACGGCGCCACCGCCGGCACAAACGCCACCTTCACTTCCCCATCCCCAAGGAGGGACGACAGATGGCGCCCCGCCTCGCGCTCGTGTATGTGGTCCGTGAGCGCATACGGCCTGATCGCGTTCCGCAGGCTCTCGGGCGTCACCTTGGGCGCCGTCGTCAGCACACCATCCGGCCCGGGCGGGCCCGCGACCGTCCCCGCGCCGCTGTACCCCGACACGCCGAACACAGTCGGCTGCGTGCCAGGCGCGAGGTGCGGGAGCAGCGGCGCGCAGAGGAGCTGAACCGCGGTGGCGTAGCATCCCGGGTTGGAGATACGTGTTGCGCCGCGGATGGAGTCGCGCGAGTAGAGCTCTGGGGAAGGAAGATGTGCACGCGGGCAGAGAAGGAGGAGGAGGGAAGGAAAAAGAGAACGGTATTGATATTTCAGCACAAAGCACAAGCTAGGTTATTACACAGCGGCTCGCTCACCCGGCAGGCCGTACGTCCACCCCTCCTCGAACCTATAGTCCGCGCTCAGATCCACAATCACCCCGCCCTTGCCCTTCCCCTCAGCTGCGCCCTTCCCGACGGCGTCCACGAACGGCTTGCACGCGCCGTTGGGCAGCGCCATCACCCACGCGTCCACCTCGCCGTCCTTCTCCATCCGCTCGACGTCCTCTGGCGTCAGATTCGAGTACGTCACCGCAGACTTGGCGTACCCCTCCAGCGGGCGCCCTGCGAGCTGCCTTGAGGACACCGCCGCGAGCTCGAGGTGCGGGTGCGCGGATAGAAGCGACGTCAGCGTCTGCCCGGTGTACCCGCGCGCGCCGATGAGCGCAACGCGCTTCGTCTCCGTCGACGGCTCCGGAGCGGCGGTAGCGTACCCGCGAGCGCCAGAGGGCTGCGTGCGCCGCGCGAGGGTCGAGAAGCCCCTCAGCCCACCTGCACCACCGCTGGCAGCAGCAGAAGACCCAGCCGCGCGGTGCGGCGGCGCACTCGGCCCCACAGGGAGATACGCCCTATCCAGCCTCCCGCTCTTCTCCAGCTCGCGCACAACACGCTCCACCTCCGCAACATCCTGCACGCCATACCAGAACAGACTCTTGCCCGCGCGCGTGAAGCTCCCGTCCGCATGCTCAAAGTGCCACGCGCGGTTCTCGTCGTCCGCATGCGCCGTCCAGAACAGCTTCCGGTGGTCCTTCTTGATCGCCGCAAAGACGTTGTCCACGACCGAGTTGAGCACGCCCGCGCGCGACGCGAGCAGCTTCGTCATCACCGCGACCTCGCCCGCCGGGTGCGTGACGACCGCGACGGCGTCGAGCGGCTCGTCGCCGTAGATGGTGTACTCCGTCTGGTTGATGTCGTGCAGGACGCCCGCGACGCTCGCGAGCCCCGCGCGCACGTCCGGGTCGCGGTCGTGGATGACCTGCCGGAGGCGGTCGGGGCCGAACTCTTTGATGGAGTGGTGCTTGAAGAGGCGGTAGCCGCGCCGGATGAGCGTGCCCGCGCCCGAGTCGGTGAACAGCTCGCGCTGCAGGTCGGCGGTCTTGATGACGGCGACGGAGGAGGAGCGCGGGAGGTGGTCGAGGAGCTCTTTGAACTCGCGCAGCTTCAGCTTCGTGCCGTACTTTACCCACGGCTGCTTCATGAGCCCGTCGTATTCCTGACAGACATCATTTCATCAGCCCATGACCAGATTTGGAACATTTTGTTGAGACACACCTCATCGAGATTGATCACATCCAGCTTATCCCCCGTCACACCATGGAACAGCCCGCCCTTCTCGTTCAAAAACACAATCTTCATCGGCTCAAGCTCCTTCGCGAGCTCGCCCGCCGCAATGTCCGCATTCACGTTCAAGATCTGGCCATCTGGGCTCTCCGCCAGACTCGTGAGGATGGGCAGCGCGCCCGCGCGGATGGCGGCCTCGAGCGGGCGGCGGTCGACGCGCGTGATGCGCCCGACCAAACCGTACTTGTCCTTGTCGAGGAAGTCGGCGGTGAATACGCCCGAGTTGATCGGGCGCGCGCGCGTGCCGAGCTTCTCGAGTGCGTCGACGAGCTTGAGGTTTTCTTCGAGGAAGACGCGGCGGGCGATCTGCAGCGTCCTGGCGTCTGTGTTGGATATTTAGATGAGCGCTTTACTTTAGGAATTATTTGGGTGAGGGGACGTACCGGTGACCCGAATACCGTCAATGTAGTCAGGGACGATGCCCTCGCGCTCGATGATGTCGTTCAGCTGCGGCCCGGCACCGTGCAGGACAACGGGGTAGAGGCCAAGGCGGTAGAGGAAGCTGAGGGAGAGCGCGAGCTCGTCGAGGTCGCCGAGGACGGCGCCGCCGACCTTGACGACAGCGAACTTGGCAGGCTGGGAGGGGTGCGAGGCGGAGGAGAAAATACGGAGGTGGCGCTCGACCTCACGCTTCGTGCCGAGGGAGTAGAGCAGGCGCGTGATTGTGTCCTGGGTTCCGCCAGTGTCAGTTTTTCGTCGGACGAGGGATATGCAGGATAGGAAGTTGGACATACACGGTCTGTCTGGGCTACGGACTGGATGGAACGAGAGGAGGAGGGGGCAATCCGCCGGACGGCAGAGAGGGCGGTGGCCTGAGGTTTGCCTGCGCGGAGTGTGCTGTGGGCGACACGGGCGGAGAGGGTTCGTGCACGCGCCGCAGCGAGCATCGTTTTTTGTCTTTGTTAAAGTGTAGAAATGGAGCAAAAGACCTCTGTCCGGGGACTCTGAGGGGTGGTACAAGGAGGAGAGGGAAGGGGAGGAGGAGAAAAGGTGGTTCGCCTATTCGGTTATTACGGCCTCGGAACCTGTCAAAAGTCAAGGGGCTTGTTTGCTGCAACCTTCACGCGTCACTCGGACTGACTCACCACAACACCTCTCGGACTTGAAGGGGCCTCGAGGTTGGCGGGAAATGAGAGGGAGCAAAGGCCTATTCCTGCTTATATGTGTCCTCCGTGCAACACTTATTGCTGTTGGCTGCTGTACCCCTTGCTGTTTACATCCAGCCAATTGCATTACTCGCTCTACACAGAAACTCGTGGATCCTGTTCAACAGCAAGTACGATAACATGTTCCATGAATCTAAGACGGTCCGAGCCATCACGCGCTCTCGGTGTGTGACCAACATGATGGTGGTGATTGGATACTATACAGGTAATATATGCGCGCAATCTCATTGGATCTGGGGAGCTGGACAACATCATGTCTGCTTGCTGTGGGCGTTCTTCTCCTCGAATGTACATTCAAAGAACATGCAACGTTCACTCTCTACAGGAGGAAGACTGGGAGGAAGGCTTCGGAGAGATCTGCGCCTCGTCCCGTGGAAGATGAACCATCGGCATCACACTGCCGAAATGAAATGCGTCGGCCGAAGGAAGAGGGGAAGCACAAACACCACGCACCTTCGAGGTAGTCGGCGGCGAGCAGCAGCTCGAGCGCAATCTCGGGGGGTATACGCTCCGTGAACTCGTTGACAGGGATCTCCTCGCGCGGCGGCGCGTTCTCGTGATGTGCCTTGAAGGACATGTACTCGCATACTTTCTCTACCACCGCAGCTCTACAGCAGTCCAAATCAGTATCGGATCGTTATCATAGAGGTCTAAAGCGCACCGCTCTTCGATGGGACATGTGTTCGCGAGTGCCTCCTTGAAATTGCCTGTCAACCAACGGGGTGAGCAGTGAAATACGCAAGGACAGGGGTAGAAGGGAGATGGATGAATGAGCGAAAAGACATACTGTCTGCGCTCAGCATGTTTCGCAGCGTTCCACTGGCCATGGCAACACGTCGCTTGACGAGGAACGAGAAGCCGTCCGCGCTCTTGATGCGCACCCAGTCGTTCCCGGCATCAACGCCGTTGGCATCGTCAGCGCCCTGGAGAGGTTCCTGGTATAAGCCGAGTGGTTATATGCACCCAATGCATAACATACATTCATATCAACGTCAGTCATGTTGAAGCAGGTGGTTAGTCTGTGGCCTGAGCAGCGAACGTTGAGCGAACGCGCAGAGACAGGAGGAAGACGCGCCCTCACGCGCCTGCTTACGTCAACCCATTAGCCAAATGGGGCAGTTCCGGACCGGGCATCGGATCGATGCTACACTCAGCCTGGCTTGTGTGTTCCCGTCCCTTGCAAGTTACAGCTTGTTTCATCTTGCCCTGCTCGCTTCCGCCCTCTTTCGTTCGGAATCTACACTCTCTGAAGCTATCGCAAGTAATATACTAGCGGCATGGCGCTTCCCAAGGTGCGCTCGTGACAGATCGTGTGGTCGTGTGTGGGATTGAGGGAAACTGACGTCTGGCGGGCCTGCGTTATCTCGTGCAGCGGATCATCAAGGTGCGCTCGTTCTTTGACTTGTTCTGGAGGATAGTGCATGCTGACTTGACGATGTCCTTTCTCTCATTTTGTCGCCATAATCTGCGCCGTGACCTGGACTCGTCTACTCGGATGTCTCATGCGTTTCCACCCACACACTCCACCTCGCGCAATCGCCGCGCGTCTCCCATCCGATCTTCTGGCCTCTTCGACACTCGTCTCGCTGATGTCCGAATGCTCCGACCCTCACTATACACCCTCCCACATCCTACCGGACTCGTAAACGGTACGTGCCACACGACTCTTTGGTGCGCATGGAAATCAGGAAACGGAGCGTCTCGTCGCCGACCCCGCACCGGGCATCACCGCCGTGCCGCATGACGACAACCTTCGTTATTTCGACGTGAAGATCAACGGCCCAGGAGGCAGCCCGTTCGAGAGTGCGTCCGAGTCTCCCTATCGCGCCCTTCCTTTTCTTCCTTCCTAAACTGACGGTGGTGGGCACATGATCGTCGACGAACCATCTACCTCTTGCGCATGCATATGGATTCTTGCGTGGCTGTGATATAGAGGGCGTGTTCAAGCTCGAGCTGTTCCTCCCCGAGGAGTACCCCATGGCTCCACCGAAGGTGCGCTTCCTCACGAAGATATACCACCCCAACATCGGTACGTTCTCTGTCCCTCCACAACCCCCCACTTCACGCTACGCATCCTATCATTATCATCTCCACTCACCCTCTCCTCCACCCGCCACAGACAAACTCGGCCGCATCTGCCTGGACATCCTGAAAGGTACCGTCCATCCACCCCGCATCACCCTTCACCCACCCTTTCTAAGCAATAATCACTAACGCACACGAAACAAAACAACAATAGACAAGTGGTCCCCTGCGCTCCAGATCCGCACCGTCCTGCTCTCGATCCAGGCGCTCCTCAGCGCGCCGAACCCGGACGACCCGCTCGCGACCGACGTCGCGAAGCACTACAAGGAGAACGAGGCGGACGCGCAGCGCGTTAGCCGCGAGTGGACGGAGCAGTATGCTTCCGACCCATGAGAATGAGGACGAGGATAAAGATGAGGTCGGCGCCCGGATCATGTCGGGGCGGGGGAGAAATGGAACGTGAAGCTTGAACTTAAGAGGATTGTGATGTCATGGTGTATGGATAGTTTAGGGTGTAATACACAAGTACTTTCTATGGCGTAAAGGCGGCTTTATAGACCTCGTTTTTCTCTCGATGAGGGAAATACAAGCAGTAGGCTTGCGGTTGTTGGTTCTCGCCTTTTCTGAGGTCTACAGACGCATTTATAGACGCTGAAAGTGAATGTGTTCAAGATACTGTATGGCCGTGTGCAAACTTATTCCACTTGACCCCATACTAGTATACTGTAGGTGTGGTAGGTATCCTGTGATGTCCATTAATGTAACTCGCATCAACATGATAAGAACGTGCCGATTTTGCGGCTGGCGCTGAGTGTGGATCCAACCATACACGATCATGGTACTACAGGAATCCGCGCCGTTCATCACGAGCGGTTCCCTCAGTCTGGACTGGACCCGGTGGCTCTCCCTCTCACGAGATCTCGTACTGATAGGTGTACAAATCGGAGTGAGGGATCATCTGCTTAAACCTGCTGGTTCAGTGCTTGGTGTGGTGATGAATCGTACCCTGGTCCCGTGCTTGCGGATTATCACCCCGGATGTTGCTGTACACACCGACCGAGTGTGTCCGACATAACATGACCAGCATCGGGTACCACACCAGACCTCATACTTGCTGTGTTTGTGTGGGCGCTAAGATAGGGATCCGACCATTATCCGCCGAACGAGTCGCATTGTCTGACCCAGGTGTCGATCAGCTCGAGAACAAGGATTCCCGAATGCAGGACGATGGGTGCTGAGACTCTGGGCCCCAAGGATGATCCGCACAGCGTCCAAGAAAAGCGGAATGGGCGTTCCGGCCCTGGACTCACCTGCGCAGAAGCAGAACACGTACTGTTACAGCTATTGTTAGTTCAGGATACACATCAACGGCGTGACTCCGCCCACCACACGGGCTCGCTATGCAGGCAGCTTCTGCGGCGCGATACTGGCAGTACTATGTGCTCGGGCTCTTCATCGAGACCACGCGATGCCGTGGATCCAGTGTGATTTGAGAGGGGCGTCGCTCCCGCCACATACGCATAGTAGCGGTCTGAGCCAGACGCGCTCCTCCGGTCTCTGGGTTTTGCAATAAAAGTGGGTGCGATGGCGGAGCGGTGCAACGAGCGCAATTCCTACTTCCGCAATGACTTCCTTCCCTTGTCGGTCGTTACGTGGCATCGTTGCCCTCGCGAGCGTCGCGTGTGTCTTTGGGGCTGCTTTGCCTACGCAATCGCCTATCGGGGACGGTGGCGTTTTCTTTGTGAGGAGAGAGTGAGTGGTTGATTCTGTGGGTGTATGGGGCACGTACTTATTGTGGCTTTCCGTTCAGCCCTGGCGCGAGCACGGGCTCTGTGGCTGTAGCAGCATATACGTCAGATGCAATGAGTGTAACGTATGACGGAGATGAGGGAGGGAGCGGGAGCTGGGATGTTGCTACGTCAACTACCAGCGTAGGTGAGTGAATGGGCGACGAATGTTGTCCACGATGGGTTGCTTACAATAGAGGCGGTTAGCAACGCCTAGTCATAGTTGCACAAGCAGCGAGACAAGCATACCCATTCTCGACATCGAGACGACGCTCGCGAATGATAGGACTCTGGAGGTGCTAGACGGTTGCACCCTCGCGGTTGCCGTCCTGGTTGCCATTCTCCTCGGATGGATGGTAGTGAGGACGCACGTGAAGGGGCGACAGTTGGATAAACTCCTCCAGACCGCGAGACTTCTGAAGCCGGCTGCCGATAGCAGCACCGACTCTGTGGCTAGTCGCTCTATGGATACCGACAGGACCCGTAACTTGACAGTGAGCTTGGTGCGCACATGTGGTACACACGAGGAGGGAGAGGGTTATGGGTGGACCGAGAAGACTGAGAAGACGGGGGCTTCGCATAGCAGCAAGAGGGTGTTGCCGGAGGTGCCGCGGATTGAAACTATGCTCCTGGCGACTCCAACGTCGTCGTGGTATGGGTCGTCGTCGTCTCAGACGCTTGGGGCAGATTACCAGCCCGTTAGCCCACCGCGGGCCCTTCCTAAGCCGGGCAGCATCCAACATGTGCTTAGGAATTCGCACAGCGAGCCCGTGATGAAGACATTGATGTGAGGGTCGGGATATGGGAAGAGCTGAGGGTTTACTAGTAGTTATTGCACGAATGTTGGCTGTATCGTACATTGTTCGCTGCAGGTCGGCTGACCTTGTTCTTGTCATTGTAAAGCAAGTTAGATTCTTGTTTGCATTGGACCCAACCTCTCCCTTTGTCATTTGAGCTGGACTTGAATCGTAAACGTCGGTTAAGTTTCGCATGATGCCGAGATGAGGGCCCCCGAAGTTGTCCGAAGTGTGCAGCAGAGTTGAGTCATGCAGTTGCAGTGTACAAGCATTGTATGAGCAATAAATGACGATTGTATCGGACAAAGAGGCGCGTGTTTGGTATGGTTGTGTTCCAAGGAGGGAGTAGCGGGTTGAGTGTCATGCCGTAGCCTGAGCCGAGGAAAGGGTCCAGGCGACCGGTTGGCCTTCGCATGCCTGCCCCAGTTCCCCCAGGGCCGCCTCATAATAAACTAGTCTTGTCCTGTCCCCCCATCGTCTTTTTCACTTCCACTGCCAGCCAGTTATACCAGCAGCTGGTTGCTGACAGCCACAGGCGATCCGACAATGGCGCCCCCTTACGCCATCAGCGCTACAACAGATCAGTCGACGGCGACCGCCTCACGCTTCAAGCGCTCTTTCGACCAGTTTGGCTACGACAACAGGGACGACATGCCTCACCACGTCGCCGGTGCCAGTGGTGGTCCGGGTGGCAGCGGGAGCACCAGCGGGAGTGGCAGCATCGAAAGCGCCGCCAGCAGCAGCGGTCCCCACGGGTACGCTTCAAGCAGCAACACGAGTCTCACCGCCAGTGACAGCGCCCGGAACCCTACACACGAGGCCCAGCGCACCAAAAGGGCTAGGAGTGCCAGCAGCTCAGCAGACAGCGACCTATCAGCAGCAAGCTCGAATCGCTCGACCGAGTACGAGACCGCTGCGTCCGCACTGGACAGCTCCTCCAGCAGCCTCAGCGACCTCAGCGCCGAGCAGCCCCGTCACCCTGCGCTCTCCTCTTCTGCGTTCTCTTCACAGGGCCAGCAGTCACATAATCACATCCACTCCAGTTCTCCATCGCAGCATCACCATCGGCCTCATGCCCATGCATATACTCGTCGGCGGCTGTCGACATCCCACGGAGGCGAGCATCGAGTGCACGGGCCGCGCTCCTCCACTTCCATCTCTATCAATCCCATCTCAACGCCGCTTTCCGTTATTTCCCAGTCGAGCAGCTCGTCAAGCTCGAATGCCTCGAGCGCCAGCACCGGTGCCACCGCCAGACGCCCCAGCGCTCCTTCAGCAAGCAACACCCTCTCCGGCCCCCGTCCCCAGGAGGTGGATGACGCAGTGGCACCTGACAGCAGTATGGATATAGACGACGGTGAGGGCCCCGACGACAGCATACAGCCCTCTCCATCGGGCGCTCGCTCCCGCTCCGCCACCCTTTCCACCCCCGAACGCCCCCAGCGGTCTTCGACAGATGTGTTCCGCCGGGCACTGGAGCGGTTTCAGAACTTCGAGAGCGAGATGGCTGCCTTGCGTGAGCAGGACGGCTCGCTGTCCTTGCCCCCTGCGTCAGGCTCGACGTCATCGCTCGCGTCCCACGCTGTGCCACCCTCATCTTCCGACCTCGAGATTGGATTCGATAGGCGCCCGGGCACTGCTACAGCAACAGGCGGTAGTACAGCTACGCAGATGGCTTCTGAAACGGATGCTCGCGCCAGCGGCAGACAGCCCTGGTCCTTCTCCCCTGCCACTGCGGGCCCTGCCCCTGCCGGCTCCGTAGTTGAGGACGACATACCCATGCCCATGTACCCGGACGCGGGCGCTGGCTCGCACGAGACGAGTGACGAGGACAGTGTCGCGCGGACGCTGCTTGACGTTAGTCCTAGCAGCGGGAGCAGTACGGGCACGAGGTCGAACGAGGCTAGCCCACTGAGGCGCCCACCTGGGGCTTTGCGCGTACAGCACGTACAAGGGCCGAGGGCTGCTTCGACGGGTGTCGATGCGTCTAGAGTCGCTTCCCAAGGTAAGTGCTGCGGTTGCTCCATCTTTCCATGATCAGCATACTTATATACTCTATTCTGTTTCGTACAGCACGTCCTGGTCTCGCCTCTCGCCTCGCCAACGCTGCGTCCGCCAGTGGGAGCGCTAGCGTAACCTCGAACATGAGCACAGGCATGAACGCAAGCCCCAGCATCGTTGCACCCCCGGTCTCCAGCCCGGCGCGCTACGTCTCCTCACTTCCTTACCTGAACGAGGTCGTCTCCTCGCCCGCTGGACTCCTCACAAACGAAAGCAGCGGCGGCGCGCATGAAACCCCCGAGCAGGACGACCCGCTCCCGTCCTCGCCCGAGCTCGAGCTCGTCTACCCGGTGTTCGGCCACGGGAGCAGCCCCGATCGGCGCGCGAGGTCGCCTGCCTCGAGAGCGGCTACGACCGCGGCTACGGCGTCGCGCACGGCAATGAGCACCTCGCCGCGCCCGAATCTGCGTCCGAGGAATGTGGCAGAGCGGCTGCGCAACGCGGTGCGGGATAGTCATGCGCGCGATAGAGAGCGGGAGAGGGAGAGGCGGGAGAGGGGGCATATGGAGCGCGAGCGGGCGAGGACGAGGGAGGCGAGTAGGGATGGGGATAGGGATAGGGGAGGGCCGGACGCGTTTTGGTCGTTCTGGGACGGGGAGGGCGAAGGGAGCGGGAGCAGCTCGAGTCTCGCGGCCGCTGCTGCGTCTATCTCGTCGATGGAGACGAGCTCGATGTCGAGCACAGGTGCGAACGCGGGCTCGGTGGATGCGCATCCATCGGTTATCAATATCAATGTCGGTGCTGGCGCGCCTATTCCCGGGGACATCCGCTCGCTGTTCCGCTCGCCGGATATGGGCCACCTGTCGCCGCGTGCGCGCGTGCGGCCGTCTTCGGGCAATGGCACTGTGACTGCGACGGCGACTACGACCACGACCACGGATGTCATGCCGCAGGCACAGGCGCCGGACTCGTTCAACCTGGAGAACACGTCGTCGCCGACGGGTGCGTCTACGCCTACGCCTGGAGGTGAGGCCGGGTCTGCTTCTGCGACGCGAGATGTGCCGTCGGGCAGCTTGGATCATCTGTTCGAGTTCAGGCCGACGCGCTCGTCGTCGCCTGTGCCTCCCGCGTTCGCGTCGTACTCGGCGTCGCCGACTCGTCCTCTGCCTCAGGCGCAGGCGCAGGGACAGACGCGGGATCAGACTCAGGCTCAGACGTTTGGATCGAGCGCGGGCGGTAGCAGTGGCGTTGCTCCGGAGCATTCGTTTTCGCTGCACGCTCATGCCCATGCCCATGCCCATAACCACGAGCACGTCCGCGGCGCGCATGTGCATTCCCTTGCACACGTGCATGCACCGTCGTATCACCCTCAGCTGCAGTCTCAGTCTCAGTCTCAGCACCAACCTCAGTACCAACCTCAGCAGTACCAACATCAACACCAGCGTCAACAACAACGCGTCCACGAGCACTGGTCCGCGCATTTTGGCAGCACCGCCCGCCCCGCGTCGCGCATGCCCTCCAACTCGCTCGTCGACGAGACGGGCCGCGAGCGCGAGCGGCGGCGCGCTGCGTTGATCTCGAATACGAGCTCGCACCCTGGCTCCGGCTCCGGAACCGTTGGTGTCAGCGCGAGCGCGGGAATCACCGCGGCGCGCCCGATCAGCAACGGTAATAGCAATGGCAATGGAAACTTCTACCTCCCATATGGTGGAGGCCGCGGCGAGCAGCACGGACACGGACACGGACACGGGCGGGGCATGCCGATGGCGTTTATGCATCCGATACCGCTCCCGCTGCCTGCGGGCGCGCGAGCCGCCGCGGACGTGTCGGGTGCGAGCGGTGGTGGGGCTAATAGCCAGTCTGCGGCTGCGGCTGCGAACCTGAACTCGAACCCGAGCTCGAACCCGGGCTCGAACCACGCGGTGCACGAGCCGGCCGTGATCCCGCCTGAGCCTGGTGTGCCGCATTTTCCGGCGCCGCCGTCGCATGCTGTGCGGTACTCGGGGGACGTGTGGGCGCGCGAGGCTGAGGCGCAGGCGCGGGGGATGGAGGAGTTTTTTGGGGTTGGGTTGTGGAATGACATGGAGCGCGAGAGGGAGAGGGAGAGGGAGAGGGAGAGGGAGAGGCAGCGGGAACAGGAGCGGGAGCGGGAGCAGCAGGAGTTGGATCGGGAGCGGGAGAGAGAACGCGAGCGCGAGCGAGAGAGGGAGAGGGAGAGGGAGAGAGAAAGGCTCAGGGAGATTGTCGTGCCCCGCCGGCCACCGCCGCCGCCAAACTCATTGGGAGCGGGTGCAGGTGCCGGCGCGCGGCACACATACACGCGCAGACCACTCAGCGGGCTGCCGTCGTTGCATTCGCTCTTCCCGCATTCGCATCAGGCGGAACGCGAGCGCGAGCGCGAGCGTCAGCAAAACCAGGATCAAGACAGGAATCAAGCATCCGCGAATCCGCAGCTGTATTATCCGTATCGCGCGCCAGTGCCTACAGCTCAAGGCCAGGAAGGCACGAGCACCGGTGTTAGTACGCATAGCGGCGAAGCGACACGGCGCGTGGTCCCGCGGCGCGGCGAGGGCGCGCAAGATACGTTCGAGCCTGGGATGTTCCGCGATACTGTCGAGCGCATGCAGCGTGGGCGGGCGAGTGGCGTTGGACAGAACACTGCGCCGCCGCCGCCACCACCACCGGGTGCAAGTGCTGGCTCGCCGGATCGGTTTTGGTCGCTTATACATGATTACCATATGAACTACCCGCAGAGAGTGGACGAGACATGGGGACCGATGGTCACTGCAGAGTATGTGTTTTCCGTGTTGTCTTCGTTTGACCGCAGTTTTCTGACGAGGTATGTTTGCAGTGAATGGCAACGCCTGTTGGATTACACCGGCAGGTTTGTGGATTTACCTGTTGATCTTAAATCGCATACAGGGCTGACTGCTTCGTTATAGTTCATCAAGCTCGAATAGAGCGCAGGAGAACTCAACGCAAACGACGACCCAGACCGACGGTTCGAGGTCGCAGGAGTTTAGCTTTTCGAGCACGCCCATTCCCACTTCCGATCCTCGCGAGCCACCTGTCGTTCCTAGACCAACGTTATCGAGCATAGACACCTCTGCGCTTTCACGAGCGTCTTCCAACCACGAAGACACGGAACGTCCTGGCAACCCTGGTACTGGTTTGCGAAGCCTCCGTGAAGCGCTCAGCACCCTACGCCGAGATGGCCTTTCGAGCACGAATGAACAGCAGTTTACGGAGCGCTTTGCGGAGAACGAACGGCGCAGGTTGGCTACTAGAAGCGACTTCCCCGATCCTCGTAGCAGCTTCCTTCGCTTGCCTCACAACGAGCACCCGTCGGCATCTTCGCGCCCTGTAGAGCCACATTCGCGACCACGTCCTGCTTCGTACATGGCACCCACTACACGCTCCGGCTTCAACCGACCGTCGCCACCTCCTGTAGCGACAGCAACCACAAGAACGCCCGTGCGCCCGCCGACTCCGGAGAGCTTCGAAGAGTTCTTCCTCACGATGTCTCGTGGCGATCCCGGGCGTGACCTCGACGAATGGCTCCGCTCCGAATACACGCATCGACCTTCACCTCCCGCGTCGATCATGGAGCCAGCGAGGCGCTCCAATCCGTTCAGCTTGCACCGTCTGCATGCCCTCGGCAGGTCCGACGAGGATGCCACCGCCCGCGCGCAGGACACCGCGTTCCGCGCGTCGCAGGAACGGCTACGGCGGCGCGTGCTCAGCGCTGGTGAACGGCGCCTTACACCGGGAAGCGCTGGCAGCGGCTCTCCCTCCAGCACTCGCGTGGAAACTGGAGACGCGCTTGCAGCGCACAGACCGGGATCTCCATCGCGTCGCGTGCTCAATGTCTGGCGCGATCTGGCTGATAGCGACGATCTGGTCGGGTGGGGCGGGGAAGCCATGGATATCCCACCGCCCGCAGCTGCTCCGACGTCGACTACCTCGCCCCGGCGCCGCGCTCGGTCGCGGGAGCGCACGGATAGAGATCGAGAGCTCACGATGCTCGAGCGGCTCGGGCAGACGATGGGCATTCAGCGCCCGCACCGCCGGTCGCCTGAGCGCGACGAGGCTGGGCCGGGGAACGGGCCGCACTCGGGTCTTGGGGAGCGGTTCCGCACGAGGGCGTATCGGTCGCGCCAGCTTGGTGGGGATCGGCGGTCGACGTTCATGGGGCGGCTGATGGGCACGGATAGAATGAGGCATATGGGCGATTACTTGGTGCGTGTCTATGTCCCTAAGGTCAGAAATATGTTACTGAAAGGGTCTGTCTGTCCGTCGGGTAGCCTGATGAGTTCTTCGACTCTTCGTACGAAGGTCTGATTGAGCTGGCGAGTATGCTGGGTGATGCGAAGCCGAGGTCGACTCCGGCAGACGTCGTCGCTTCGCTGCCGAGCGCGAAATATCAGGACTGGGCAAATGCGGATAGTGAGACAAGGTGCCCGATCTGTCTGGACGACGTACGTATCTTTGACCTTTGCTGCGAAATTTTTCGACTGACACTCGATGGGTTAGTATCAACCATCTGATTCAGTATCGCGTCTGCCGGACTGTACCCACTGGCTGCACAAGCCATGCCTTGAAGTAAGTATCCATATTTCTAAGCTGCTCGAGATACTTACGCTCAACGTTGGGTTTCGTAGCAATGGCTGGGTACCGCGAACACTTGTCCAGTCTGTCGCAAGAAAGTCAAAGACACTTCGCGGTCTGGTATCAACGCAGCTGCTGGCATATCAAGCAGTTCCGCAGGTCCTAGCCGGCTGGCAAATCCTACGAACAACTCTTACCCTCGCACCTCACTTGCTTCTTTCGCACCGACGCTCCCTCATCGCCAGTCTAGCGGTGTCTCATACTTCCCCCCACCGTCAACCCTTACAAGACCAAGTTTAAGCCAGCGTCCATCCCGAACTTCCGCCGACGATATCGGAGCTGTACTTCCACGCCGAGCCCCGGTCGCAAACCCCAGTCGTCTGCGAGAGGGCTTTGACCTATCATACCTATTTGCCGACTCTCCTTCCCCAGGCACTTCTGGCCCAAACCCGAGCAGTAGCAGCCCTTCCGTGTCTGTGTCCATGACCACGTCCAACGCCACGTCTGCGTCCTCGTCTAGGCCTGCCTCGTCCGGGGTGCCTGACGTCTTCATCGGACAGACCGCCGCCCTCCGCCATCAGCTGATGGACTTGATGGAGACGGACATTATGGACCTCGACTCGGAGTCGTCAAGCGATGAGGACGGCGGGGACGGCGATGGCGATACTGTCATGGGCGGCGAGGATGGTCCGCGCTCGGTGTACCCTCCTTCGTGGCCGCACGGACATTCACGCTATACCGGCAACGGCAATCAGGGAGCATCCGGTGGTTCCGGCGGCGGAGGCGCCCCGAGACCGCCGTGGATGCCTCCGCCGTGGATGTAGAGTGGGGTAGAATGGGTTGGAGATTGTGTCATGGTGATCGGGAAGGATTGCGAGAGGGTAATGGGGATGATGATACGCTTCATGCTTCATGAGATTATGTGCATACATTATTGTATATCGGCATTCATTCGTTGTAGAAACACTCGTAACATATTGGAACAACCGTTATTTTACTGCTAGAGCATGTGGACAAGGAACGATGCTCAGGGACATCGACGCGGCGCGCTGAATTGTTGAAAGGCTGCTTCGTGTATCAGTCGTGTATCAGTTGACCGTCCGAAGCGTGCCGGATCCCATTGTCCGTTTGTTGTTCAATTGCGTTTCCAGGCATCCGTTGTTGTCTCGACACCACACTTCGGTCTCACGGTGTCAGAGCGTAACCTGGGCGCTTTCCATATGCGCAACTCCCATTTGTAGTCTTTTGTACGTTATTGTACTTCGGTGGTGCCCCTATTTCCATTTCATCGGCAATACACCTTATTGTCTCATAAGGCGATTGCGCTTGAACGCCGAACAACAACGCGTGAGGCTTAAAAACGCTGCGCGACGTCCGTCGAGAGCAACGAACCTCGCGCCCTTTTGGCCCGCAACCCACTTCCCCGCACTCTTTTGACGAAGCAAGACTTCCGTCTCACTTTACGAATATTACGATCATGTCCGCAAGATCAGACCGTTCTTCCTCTCCCGCTGATGACTTGTCTTCCCATGACTTTGACATGTAAGCAGGCTTGTCCCCGCCGAAAACGCGTCTTCACATAGCTGATTTAAAGTCGCTCCTATAGAACCTCCCGCTCGAGAGCAAGCACTCCTCTCCCTCCGAGCCGCATCCCAAGCCCTGGATTGTCGCGTTCGCGAGAGTGCAACACCTGCCGGAGTCGGTTCACGCCTATCAAAGACTCGGATCACATGTGCGACAAGTGTTTTTACAACCTGTTGGCCGGTATGTCTGCTATCTCAGCCAATCTCGAACGAAGGACTCACTTTGTGTTTTAGATTTTGACGCGCGGTCTAGACTATGATAATTGACGACCATTACCTACGTCTATGGACCTGGCTCTGGTAGCCGTCCTAGCTTTGGTCATTGTGGCAATCACGACTGCTGCATCCTCATGTCGATGATACACTACCTCTTCTGATATCCTTATTCTATCTCTATTGTATTTCAAGTGTCTCGACTATCCACCTCCGTTTGTAACAAAGACTTGCTGTAGCGCTACCCACTTACTGTCTGACGTTGATCTTGAGCTACACCACCGTATCGGCGAAGGGTGTCACCGATATTGTCGCCTCCATGGCTGAAGAGGACTATATTAATACCGAAGACAAGTAACTAAAGCGCCTAACATGGCCGAAAACAGACAAACTTGGAACTTGAAATAGTGGCACATGGCTGCGCCGGTAGGGATCGAATCGCCCTTTTTTAGGAGCCGTCTCATACTCCTTGATAGAACCCATTGTGGGCTCTGATACAAGCTGAAATGATCTATCATAGTATGATAATGCTCGATGTATACTATAGCAGTCCGTGACGCGTGATAAATCATTTTACGTGTCTGGATAGATCAGCGATTGACCATGTAACGTATACATTCATTCCTCTCCTGTATTATCACTGTCTGCAAAGCGCAAGGTTGGCCCTTGAAATGAGCTTAGGTTACTTCTCTCTCTCCTTTCTTCATATTGCTTTCGAAGGCCGAGAAACATCCATGGCCCGATCATCGTTAACAAGATAAAGTCCATCATTGAGCTGATCGTAGAATATACCGTAGACTGTGCCATTAAATCAGAGACCGACGTTCCCAAAGAAGGTTGTACACGTCTCACCGATTGAAGTGTAGGGGATTGACCCACAGCAGTAATCAGTAATACAAGAAATGCGCTGGATAGATTTGGATATGAGCAGTTTCCCATCAGTTATGCGGAACAACTCACATAATGAAGTATATCAGACTCTGTTTAACAATAAACATTCCTATGGCGCCAGCGGAGCGTCTGATAGACGTCCACAATGGCCGCTTTAGTTGTAATACAGCAGAGTACAAGTATAAAACAATCAGTATCAGCTCAAACACCATAAGGGCGGAGCAGCATAACGGCCAAACCCATTGCTTAGGTTCGGACGACGTTTTGTTGCAGGAAGTTATACCAGAAATGGCTTCGTTTGCTTTTGAATATATAATGTGTCATAAATGCTCGTCCATAGCGTTAGGATTGATATGTTGGCCACTTACCTGGTGTCACAATGCTTCCACTACGCGCAACCAAGGACTCGGATATGACGATAGAGAATGTGACGGATTGGGTGATCAAGAAACCCACCACAAGGATCACAAGAACATACTTCGATTTCTCGAGGAGTATGTACACTCGAAGAGCCATCATCCCTACACAAGCCCGTCCAGAAGCCACCAACTACAATGCTTAAACAGAGGCTTACCTTGTAAAAGAGATACGATCGCAAGACCGGTCACCATACAGATATCAGTCAAGATAGCGCCTGCGGGACATCGTTCAAACCATAGTCCAGATACTACTCAATCCGATCAAACTCACATCTGCATTGTTGCAAAGAGGAGTTATTACCAAACCGCTGCATCAGAATTCAGGCACATACGTCTGTCGGGAGAATATCTCTATCAGCCATCCTAAAAACACGGTGGGACTGCGTAATAGACTTACTTGACTTGAGACTGGCCCATTGACTATAACTAGCAGTGATTAGTTAGTGTGGCTCAAGTTGAGCGATGGATAATTTCACGAACTTTGAGACCTACAGAGGTGGTCATAAGCGAGCCGCAAGATGCACAAAGATTGAGCTAGGGACTCACACGGCCCATAGTATTCCAACATAGCGCAACTACGGGTAACATCGTTTTAGATTGACCGTTTCTTACATGATGGCAAACATACCAGTCCATACACCAACGACATTGCAGTCAACTTTTTCATCTAATGACTTCCGTAAGCCATTTACTCGCTCCACACGGTTTATTGGACTAACCCAAATTAATTCTATCTGAAGAATACCACGGCACGATTAGAATCCATCTGTCCAAGGGAAACGAGCTTGTACTTCGAGGTCCAGACTTATTGCTAAGGATTACCACGTGTTCAGACCAGGTGTTTTCAATGGAGGTTTAATGAGATTACTAACCATAGTCGTACAACAAACATGTCAAGGAGGCCACTGCTTGATGGTTATTGCGCCGATTGGACGTTATCAGAGTTGACGGCTCACCTATGCTATATCTAGATAGAAGGTCCGACCCGAGTTCAACTGGGATTGAAGACATGACCGCCAGTGGCGAAAGAAACAAGAGTGGGGTCCACTTTAGAACCAACCAGTCGTTGTTGCTGCTTATATGGCTCAATCGATACGGTGATTTTCGGCAGTATTTTGAAGGACCGAGATTAGGAACCCAATCGCTAATGTCTAAGTTAGTGCCACGATGAACTTTAAACGCCTTCTTTCTGCCACCGTCCTCTTGAACCAGAAAATCAGTCTCCGGCGAGTCTCCGTATTGCAAGCCTGTTGTTGAGGCACGGAACCTGCATTGTGAATCAGCAACTGGCTATACACATATGTATCTGACAACTTGACGGAACTTCAAGTTGAGGACAGCATGGATGCAGCGCTTGCACTGGCAATGCCACAAAAACTAGAATAGGTTAGATTTCAGTGAACAATCACAAACATCAGTGTCCCGTGTGTAGAGGGTATCGGACTTCGAATTTTCGGTTTGGTTTCAGCTTTTCTTGTCCATCATGCCTCGATGCATTACGGATTATCCCGACGTGTCTCGTCTTGTAAGAGTCTTGACCGGTGCTGAAAACAGATCAGGGACCGGCGTGTGGCTAAAACATTCGCAGAGAAAAATAAGCTCCTCTGCTTGGCTCCGGCGGGACTACGGTAACCAGTTAATAGTACGTTCAAGTTAGAATCTTACTGGAACCAGCCCGAGAGACGCGTTGATGTCAGCATCCCCACCAGTACTCACCCGTGCATCGCAGCTTGAAATATCTCGGTAGTGATATCATAAGGACTCAACCATGCGTGACATCCGGAGTGCGCCGTTAACATTCGCTGCACCGCGTGATGATATCCAAGGAACTAGGCACTAAACCTGGAGAAATCAAGGGGAAAAGGCTCACTGAACTTTGGGCATGAGCTCGGCGTGAAGAAGGTTCCGTCCTATGATAGATAATCTTTCGATCAAAGAACTGTAGATAGCGACGGAACCTCTCCTGGACATAATCTCTAGACAAACTCGCTATCCATCTATCCTTCATGGTTACAACCTCGGGCGAGATACCAAAGTGCTCCTATGCCGTGACGAGTACTCCCAGGAATGCCTCTGCGATTAAGTCCGTTCCACGCGTTACAGACTGGTCGTAAACATAGGCACCAGGTTTAAAAATTTGCGCTAGTCAATACCCAAAGACTAGATGCGATGCCCTGAGCGCTCAACAAAGCTGGAGACAGAGCCTAGATGGAGGCTGTTTCTCATGGGAAGCCCTAGTCCGAGAAGATTGGGTAAAGTGACGAGAGCAAATTACCAATGACTTCAATCTCATTGGCATCATGCTCGTCTATCGACCGGGGGGCAAGAACGCGGAAGGCTGTGTAAAGGACGGATGCGGTGGGAAGTTGAAAAGGAAAAGAGCACACAATCAGGCGGCCGAAGACGCCGGGAACAAACAGAGCCACTGGCAGCGTCTAAGGCGTCTCAGATCTCATTCTCTTCCCACTTTCCCATTTACCGGTTACCCCTGTTCGTCCAACGACGTCGAGTATCGCTTGCACTCTTTCATCCCAAACCTGGGGCGAGGTATATAGACCAGAGGCGAAGAAGATACACTAGATATAATGGCTTTGGTCGCATTCAAAGGGCTGTATCCTCTGATTCTTTCTCGGTAACTTGGAGGTCATCGATGAGGTCCAGTACGAGCTAGTAGTTCGCTTTCTCCCCATTCATGTGGAATAATCAACAGCAGTATTAGTATGTAGGTGTAGGGAGTGAATGATTATGCTTGAGGGACATCCGGCAGTGGCGCGCTTCCAAAAATTCGCGAACTAGAGAATATTGGCACCCTCTTATTTTATCAAGTGAGCCGCCACAAAGATTAAGGGCTTGATACACTTGTCGTCGGCTATGGCGCTCCGCGTCCGCGTCCGCGTCCGCGTCCGAATCCCAACCTTCAACCCCTCCATATGACCTATCTGCCCCAAACTTCATCTAGTCTCCCTGGAATCTGTCTTGTGTAAAAGAAACAACGAGACATCATTTCAGCAGTTCATTCTGGCTTCTTAAAGGCACATAAGCAATTTATGCGCATTCAATCTCGGTCTTTCTAGTTTCAAAAGATAGGCAGAGAGACATAAGTGATGGTAAGAGTGGAAGAGCGTTCAGAAAAACCTGACTTTGAGTCGAGACGAAGGTTCGTGTTTAGTTTCAACTTGTTCGGCCTTTCCCGGAACATACCCTAAAGAACGTGTCCGAGTCTTCCGGGTTCGCTCTTCACCGTGACCGTGTCCAGCAAACTTTGGAACCAGCACTACCTACCATATCTCACCGTGTGCTCGATGTTGACTCTCGTGTGTTTCTCTCAAGGATAATCACACTCTATCTTCTCTGGCAAACTCGTTGACCGCATTGCCGGTGCAGTCCCTAACTCGAGCCCATTGGGTCAGGCTCAGTTGCTTCAGCGATTAACCCGGCGTCTCTGACTCTGGGTCACAAACTTTGCGGCGTTTTACGAAGTCCCTTCCCGGCGCTTTACCCGACGTGAACTGCTCACGACTCAGGATTGGGTCACTCCAACGGCTTTCGGTTGGAAAGTCTACCTCGCCCGGACCCGCCTTGATCATCGGAGCCGCGGCGATGGCAACGGTGGGGCCCGGTTCTTCTCCACAGTCATGGTGGCTGGTCTGGCAATCTCAGAGCAAGGGAACTTGAGGGAAATCTCCGTTTGTCTCCCTTCGTTGTTTTTACTCTAGGCCACGGGAGGATTGGGCCACGGGCGTAGATCCTTGTCACCCGAACCTTGGTATGTTCACAATCGCCGACCCTCGTATATTCATTTAGTCGTGACCACTGCCTTCAGATGACGCCAGGATTTTGTTGGACTTTACAAAACGCGCAAAACGAAGTGGATGGTTTGCCTTCACACGTGGAGATACCCGAAAATTTTGGGGGGCTAACTCTTCTACCGCCAAACCACAACCTTGGTGAGTGTCTCTTGAGGATGCATGACCGCTGGCCGTGCTCCACCATCAGATTTGCCTGAACATTTTGACCTAATCCCAGAAATGTTCTGAATCAAAGGCATCTTGTATTGAATGGCTGGGAGGTTGAACTCAGACCACCACAGTTTTCTCCTCGGGCATCACCTTTGTGGAAACGTGTTTGTTGTCGCTCATTGGGGCCCTTTTTTCGATCAGGCACACAGTAGATGTAGGATGGTCAGAAATGACGTCTTTGAGAGACTTTCTGTTCGCCCACATGTGCACGACGAGAAGTCATGCTACTGTAAGTCTTCACGTTGGCCGCGAAATTCATCACATCTCTAGTTTCTCACTCCAATGCCAGGCACACCGCTCCTTCAAGGAACAAGCAATACCTCCGCCAAACTTTTGGAACCGTGCTTCTGGTAATTCGAGGAGCTAAGCAACCACGAAGCTTGTCCGCCGACAGCAAACATAGGCACTGGAAAAAGCTATTCTTATCCCGGCAATTCCCATCGCTTCCGACGAGCACTCCGTTTACTCCCCTTCCGCGCGTCAGGGAGTCAAGCTGCGTCATCCCCAGGTGTTCGTTCGCCACGCCTCCCTCCCTCATGTTTTCAGCGAGACAAATGACTACCTAAACTAGCTGGCATGATGTTTTTGCCACTCTATAGGCTTGCGTAACATTTCGGTTGAGAACTCGTCTTCGTGGATCATGTGATGACATGCATGCAGTGGCGTCAGCTCATCCCACCAGAAAAAGAAATCTGTCGAAAATGTGACTTGCTCATGTCGGCATTATCTCCGCCATGCGATGTACCGCGTCGTGCCTGAAATTGAACGAAACATTGTTTCTTCATGACTTGATGGTTTTGTTGCTGACCAAATGTACTTCAGGCGACGGCTCTTTATTCAGAGTGAAATACCTCGTGCGCCAAGCTTGCTTCGACCAATCATTACGCTCGTTCTCACCCGAAGCTGTACTTCATAGGTGTGTGCATGGCGAGTCTTCTCTGCTCTAGGAAAGGGTAGGTGTCATCTCGGTGTGTTTTTCCGGGATGGTACTCGCACCACCTCGCGTTACGTTACCGGGTATGTGGCGTCTGAGCTTGCTCAACTTCCTTAGCCCTTGGGTGTTGAGGAGGGGTGCACGGAGGGGTGCAGTCCTAAACGCATAAAAGCGGGTAGATTTTGGAACAAGGGCCCTCATCGGCTTCAGTCGACCTCGAGCATCCCAGCTTACCTCTCAGCCTTCAGTCCAGCGACCGCTTCTTCCCCAACCTCTCAAGACACATTCACAATGCGCTTCTTCAGCACCGTCTCTGTTGTCCTCACCGCAGCGCTTGCTGCGATCTCCGTCGCTGCTCCTGTGGCTGAAGCTGAGACCAAGGTCGTTGCTCGCCAGTCGACCACGTCGATCGCGTCCCTCTGGACCACCGCGTTCAACCAGGTCAACCCTCTCGCCGAGTCTCTCAGTGAGTGTCTTCAGCGCAAAATCACGTGTCGACAGACTTTGCTGACCGATACCGCCTGTTTAAAGTCTCCCTTGACTCGAGCAATGCGACCGAGACCACCGTCCAGCCCATCCTGCAGCAGATTCAGACGCCTCTCAACACCCTCTTGAGCGGCGTCACCGACCTCCAGAGCTCGGGTGCCCCTACAAGCCAGCTGCTCATGTCCGCCGATGGCTCTTCTCAGCTGAGCGTTTCTGACCTCGCTTCCCTCATGGCGGGCGACATGACCGTATGTCACTCATGTTCCGATGTGACATAGTTTGTGCTAACGAGTTCTCTTAGACTCTCTTCAACGGTCTCGGTGCTGCCTACGGCTTTGGTTTGGGTGGTGCTCTCGGCGCTCTCCTTTACGCAGTTGGGTAAGCATCCCATTTGTCTTATTGCTCTCTTATCTTGTCTCGTGGTCCTTTTGCTAACAACTACATCCCAGCATCTTGCTCTACCACGTCCTAGTGATCGTCCTTGCTCTCGTCGCCGGACTCCTTGCCGCTCTTACTCCCCTCCTCTTCGGCATCGCTGGTATCCTTGGCGAGCTCGGCCTTGGCCTCCTCACAGGCCTTCTGGGTCTTTAGGGGAACATGACACGGGTCATAAACGTGGAAGTAAGAGTGTCCACCTGATCGTGCGATCAGTGATGTAAACTCTTTTTACGGACCTGAATTTTTACCATCTCCGTTACCCACTTCACTTTCGGACTAGCGCTATACGACGCGTTCTCACTTGTTTTTGAGCTTTGATGATACTCACGACTATATACTTACTATAAATTCAACACACCTTTGCACCGTGACATTCTCAGCGGACGACGGATTGAGACCAGTCGCAGGGGGGCGCGGTTTATTTCTCTTATTCAACTCTCATTAGTCGGCTTTGGCTTCGAATAAGACTGCAGGGTGTTAATTCTGCCTTGCCGAAACCCATATAGAAGGGAACACCATCTTCAGATCATCGTTCTCAGCCTCCTCCTTGATTCTCTTTCTCATCTCCACCAATTCGTCCGCTGTCGCATGACCAAGTCTGATGGAAGCTGGTCCGAACATGTCTAACAGTTGGAGCTGATTGTTCTTCATGTCTTCGCCTATGCGCCGCTGGTCGGCATCTAGCACAAGAACAAGGAACAACATATTAATTATAGACCTCGTCGGAGAATTGAAACAGGTCACACTGACCTCCAGACCAGTGCCCAACAGGTGCATCGCATCTGATACTAGTCACATCCCTGAAAAGCAACGCCCCACCTACGTCTATGGCGTCACGGAGCATGCCCTCGATATGGTTCATCAGGGACCAGCTTTCAGGGTCCCCAGACGTATTGTGCGGCGACCTTGCCATTAGTAGGTTGAATCTACTGAACGCTGGGGGTTGCTTCCCGGACGGGGAAGAGAACGGTTGGCCAATCTCGAAGAAGTTGACAGTCCCTCCGGGACGGAGGATGCGACTGATCTCTCGCATGAGTACGAGACGCTGGCCAAACTGAACCAGAAGCATCGTCAGTACACAGTTTATTTTGCCAGATGTTGTGCATAGACTGAACGAACACTTGGGACTATTCTCATGTGCACGAGATCAAAAGTCGAGTCTTCAAAAGGAAGTCTCTGACCTAATAAAGGTAAGCATCCTTGTTCGACGGGATTGGGATGCCTCACTGAAGTCTGCTACCACAAAAGTGACGTTCGAAGGACATGGCTTGGTCCTTGACACAGAACTCAGTGATCGGGTATCATACACAAATCAGGGACATACAGTGTTGCAGTAGCTAGATCAACGCCGACAAGTTTCGCCTCCGGAAACTCTTCGGCCATCTGAGTAGGGATATGCCACCATGCAGAGTTACGTTAGGTCATCGATTGCAGAGGGGTCAACAGTATGCTCACTTCGGTGAGCCAGATTCCACTGCCGCTACCGAGATCGAGAATGTTGTGGATTTCATCTACGTGATTGAGCGGAGTTATTCAAGTGAGTGTATTGCGATCAGTGCCACTCACTTTTCTGCACGCCCGGTGCGATGTAGTTCTTGCCTAAAGCCCGTACGTGCGAGGGTTGAGAGCTATCGCCTCGAAATGTATGTTCAAGCTTACCTCCATAAGTTGCTTTCCAACCTCTGTGCTGCAGATCGAGTCTGGAATGGTCGGATGCATCCCGGCTATTGGATGTCTGTATGAGTAGAGCACACTCAATAAAACACCGACTAACGGCAGGGCGTAGTTATTGGCGAGGTCAAGATTGGGCATCTTCGATGAACGTCTTAGCGAAGGGTGTGGGTCCTGGTGGCGTCAGATTCGGCGTATCTCCTCTTGAATCGCATTTATAAATGCACAAAAGTCACGCGATCGTCTCAAAAAGTCCGGCATGCATACACTGCAGTGTGTAAGCAAATAATCATCGTAGACATACCCGAACTCGCTATTCTTACACTCCGCGTCGTAGACCTCACCATCTTTCATGCGTCACTTCCGTCCGATCATCTCCGAGTCCGACGTGCGGATGCCCAGACTGACGGAACAATTATCCGTAGCTCGTCAGTCTCAGCTTCCAACTGCATCCCCCGTTTAAGCTCTGCCAGCTCGCCTGGTGTGGAGAGCCCGAGTTGTGTGAGCTTCGGCCCGTACATATCTGTCCTGATTACCTGGTTCGTCATCATATCCAAAGCAATGGCACGCTGAACTGGATCTAGGTGGAAGCTCCGTTAAACAAACAATCGTAGAGTCGCATTGACATTAACACGGCTCACCTTCCGGCCACTTTCCTACGGGTATGTCATGCGATTCACTATAGACATCTTCAAAGAGCAAATTTTCGTCCTTGTCGGTAGCAGCGCGGAGCATTCCATCGACGTATTTTGCTGCTGACCAGTCGTCTTTGTCATCAGAAGCGTTGTGAGGGGATCTTGAGACGAGGAGATTGAACGTCTTGAGCGATGGAGGTTGCTCTCCAGTAACCGAGGAGATGGCGAGGCCTACTTCGACGAAGGCGACAATTCCGCCTAACGGAAGATATCCAGTTTGGTCAGTATATCAGAAGGAACGAGTATTGCAAGCGTACGTGGTCGGAGCACTCGGTGGATCTCTCGCATGATGGCACTGCGTTTTCCGACCTAGAGGAGCTTGTCAGGAAGGATAGCAAGAGAGACAAGACTGTCTTGGGCTTACACTAGGTACAATCCGCATGTGCACAAAGTCGAAGCTGGCATCATCAAAGGGAAGTGTCTTAGCTACAGAAGTTAGACTACAGCGTGTATAACGGTAGAGTGCGCTTACTAAGATCGTGTTCTAGGAAACGAACGTTCTTAGGAAATGTCTCGGTCCTGTGCGCATCTATTAGTGACTGGAAAGCGATACCATGGAAAGATAAAACTGTTACAAAGATGGGATTGACATATCCAGTCCGATTAGATTGGATTCAGGAAACTCTTCAGCCATCTAAGATCTAGTGAGTGACAAATAGAAAACTGGTGAGATGTCTGGCGTACATCTTTGAGCCATATACCGCTGCCGCTACCAAGGTCAAGTATGTCGTGCATATTCTCTGTGGCTCTTGTAAACGTTTCATAATGAATGATAACATTGTCACCCGCTGACGTTTGTCTACTGATGGAACAACATAGTTTCTGCCTGGATGATGCGATTAATATTGTAAGTTGCCAGTAGCCGAGGTAATCCACAGCTGAAGCACACCTGCGACGGCTGCCTTCAGCGCGTTATACTGAAGATTGAGCCTGTAGTGGTCGGACCCATCCCGGCTAAAAGTACGTCGTAACAGCGATTACAATGAGGTAGAACCAGTGGGGCTCACGTCAGCATGTAGTTTTCAGCCTGGTCCATCTTCTCGTCGTGAATTCTGTCCCTATGAGTACGAGACGGAAGAGAACCAATGTCTGGTCGCGGTGAATAGCTGCTATGCACATGTGTATATTCTTGCTATCTCGGCTTCTTTCGGAAAATCCTGTGAGCGCTAAAACGAGTGGGTCAGATGTCTGTTCGATACAAATAGATATTTGTCTGGTGTACCCTGCCACAGACCGAACATAACCGAAGATACATCCGACGAGCGTGTCTATCTCTATAAAATGAAAGATCAGGGCCGCAAAATCCGGATGTCGGGGACACGAATAAGCAGTGTAGACTCTATACTCGTTTTCATCCTCGACGGGGACGGCGCCTGAACCAGTTCATGCGGACATAAATTAAGAAGCTGGTTCGAATATGTAGGATTTACCGCAGAGTTCGTTATGCCTTGATGATAGCGAGGTAGTGAGTAACGTTACACACAAATCTTTCCCAGTAGTCCATTTCAGTCCCGTCTTGAGGGCTTTTGCCATGGTTTCTGACACACCTAGGGCAGCAGCAGAAATCGTGTCCTTTATAGAGCGAGGCTTGCAGTACAATGTAGCATACAAAGGTTCAGACAACGTTCCATCAGTTCTACAACGGACGAGAGGTGGCAAGCAAGTACTAGTGCTGAATTTGGCGATCAGGGCACCAGGTGCGTTTCTGCCTTCGCGAGCTGTCGAGCGTGTGGGGTGTGGCAACCGCTGACTCGTCCTATCGCAGAGAATACAAGCATCAATGATTTCAATCTACTAATTCATGTCGTCAAAAGGCCGACTAGTTCGTTCACAAGGGCAGCAATGTCGAATCATGAGATCGTTGGTGGGGTAGACAGAGGTAGATCATATTGAGATGATAAGATAAGATAAGCCCTTCGTCGACTAAATCGGGCAATTATGTAATAGGACCGAGCTTCGGCGTCAATGCGCTCCGTTGACTCTGTCTCGTTCCCTGATCACAGTCGCTCAGCTTGTCATCCTACTCTGCTCTCCCCTCGTCGATGCTCATGGCGAATGCTCAGGAAATGCTGAATGGAATCGAGAACACCCGCGGTGGATGTATGCTAACTCCTCGGAGACTCGGCCCGTGCTCGGCCGTCTGCTGCTTGCTCTCCCTTGTCCTCTGTTACCGTCAAACTTTCAACGCGTCCTCATCTTCGGGCTCCAGCATCTATCTGCTATTTTTCGCATCTCGGACTACTGGATATGGCATGTTATAACTAGGTTTTTCGCGTCCATGGCTGGTATTCCATTAGGATGCAGATGTAGCTCCTCGGAGAAGACACTGCACGTGACCGCGTTGTGCGCCATTAGCCACCCGCCTCGATCGTTTGGACCTAGACTGGGCGCGTCGCCACTTTGGTATATATTCGGGCCCCCGCCGCCCTCCTCTCTTTCCTCTTATCCACATCAGCAATACCAGAAACACAGACACAAATCACAACGCACACCACATTTTACACGATGATCGCCATTCACGACGACCATCAAATCGTTCCGGACGGCCCCCCGCGTCGCGCGAACCACCAGTCGCCCCCTGCTAAGGCGCCGACTGCTCTCGCTGGCAAGGACAACCCTCTCCGCTACATGGCCGCCAAGAAAGCCAACGCGGGGAGGAACTCCCTCAAGGAGCTATTCAGCGAGGGCGAAGACGCAGCCGAAGGCGAGGACGATGGGGCCAAGGCGAACAGACATTCGACGGCGGTATGTACTGTGCTCGCTCGTCAGCTCAGTGGCTGATCGCTTCCCGCCGTCTGTTTAGTTCCCTGGCGAAAACGACGACGCGCCGAAGGTCAACAACGGTGTCGACGTCAAGAAAGTCGAGGACTTCCTCAAGAGCATCCTCGACGATGTTGCTCTCAATGGCAAGACCGCTGTTCAGCGGGATGCGGACATTGTTCCCGCCGACTCCCTCTCTGATTTCGAGGACCTACCCGAGACGACCACTGGCGATGTCCACAAGGCCGGTCCAGCCTTCGAGGACTCAGCGCCGGCGATCGCAACGTGCGATGCCGGCTGCTACTCTCCAATCCTCCCGCCGCGCCGGCTCGAAAATATACACGAGGCCCCGACCGCTCGTGATACCCACAGTACCAGCCAAGCCACTGAGGCCCCAGCACCGGTGATCCCGACGTGCGAGGCCGGTTGCTACTCACCGACTTTCCCGGCATACGAAGGGGAAGGTCTGATCGAGGTGGGCTACCAATGTGAGGTCCTCGAATATCTAGGAGACGTCGACGAGGAGATGGATCTCAGCACGCCCGTGAGTATCGCTCGCTATTTGGGAAATTTAACACGCTCACGCTTTTGCAGGTTCTCGACATGGAGATAGGAAAAGGGATGGCGACGACGAACAGTGCAATGGACATCGTCCTCGACCTTGAGCATGGCGCTCTCACTGCTCCCCTTCAATATGTCGCGAACTCCAGCCTTGGTGCCCGCGATCAAGAAATGTCATACTCAACTCTTGACAGTCGCTTTCAGCTCGACGGGGACGATAACGGCACTCCACGCCTCGCCTCTAGCCCGACCATGGATAACATGTCAGCTTTATTTGCTACTCTCGCCATTCACGACCATCTCGGCGTCGGATCCCCAATAGAAATAGTCTCTGTATGTTACTATCCCCTCCGGTTGATGTTGTAGCTGACGAGCCTTTAGATCTGCGGTATCAAGCATCCGCTCTGTGGAGGGCTGCGAGGCACAGACATCGAGGTAAGGTCCTTGCCTCGTCGATTCATGCTCAACTCTAACCATTTCTACATGATAGATGCCTCCGTCGAAGCGCCAGCAACTCATCATCCGCCTTCGTCGTTCAAGATTCGACGCCCGCCTGGAGAAGCTGCGGCAGCAGAAGCGCATACCCACATTCTCTCGCGATCCCTCGGAGCTCGCCTCACTCCTCCCTGGTCTTCCACCTGCGGCCCTCGTTATTAAGGCATTCGCGCTACCACCGGCTTCACCGACAGCACAAGCATTCTCCCCAGAAGACACCTTCGTCGACACGTCTACGTCAACGCCAGCACACGTTCCAATCACTGAGCCGCTGCCAGTCCTGCACGCCGCTCCCGATCCCACTTCCGAACGCTTTGCGGACGTCGCCATCGAAGCACAATCATCAGCACATGCTCCATCCCCTGCGCTGCCTTTGGTAGTTCTTCCCGTCGCTGTGCCGGTCGTCTGTTCCTCGACAACTGATGCCTTCGCTGCCGTCCCTGAGTGTCTGCGCTACCGCGAGCCACCCAAGCGCGAGAACGGGCGCCGATCCAGCGCACGCGACGCGCTCGCACAGGCCAAGGCGGACCGGAAAGCCCGCAAGGCCGCCACCGCCACTTCCACCGCCGAAAAGGAGAACGAGGATCCAGCCATCGCCGACCTCATTCGCATGTTCATGTCCGAATCTACGCCCACGGAGGAGGATCGGACAACGGTCGACACTCGCCACCGTTCGCGTGCTGCTCCTAGACATGCGCCGTACTCGAGACCCGAGAACAAGGATGAGGACGAGAAGGCGGAATCGGTGACGCCGTTGCCGTCGCCGCCAGCGTGGCTCGCCAATAAGGTTCTTGGGATGTTCAAGAAGTTCAGCGGGCAATGCATGGACGTCGACAAGAGCCGGGAGGAGGCACCGAAGGCGGACGAAGAGAGGATGGAGGATGAGAATGAGGAGGACGATGAAGAGGAGGAGATGGAGGGCGACGATGAGTGTGACGAGGAGGAGATGGACGACGACGAAGAAGAAGAGGAGGAGGAGAACGAGGGGGGCGATGAAGGTAACGACGGCACAGAGGACCACGAAGTACAGCTGGATGAAGGCGAGGCTCCTGCCTTCTCCGATCACGAAAGCGATTCCGAATCCGACGCTGCCGCCCGCTAGAAGATCTATAACGACGAAGAAAATCTAACGACACCAAACGGCGAAGAAAACCGGACGAAAATTAGTAATGAACATATACCCTGCATCATATACCCCACAGCACCACACGATTGCCATCGACCACTATCACTTGCATACTCGGATACCTCCATCACGACTATACCCCAACCGGACGACATTCTTTCAGATTTTCAACGCTGCATATAGACTCAACCATCACTGCACTACTGCATCACGACACGATATCCTCTCGACTTCCATTCCTTTGCATGCCCTATCTTGTACCACCACTGCGCCCCGGACGCCGACGAGACACCCTCCGCCACTGCATATATCATCATTGTACTCTAGGATCTCATCCCGATACCCACCGGATACCCCCTCTGTCTACGCTCCTTTGCTCCACGCATATACCTGCACCGCCTTCGTCCGCCTGCGACATCATATCGACCATCCGTCGACCACTGCTCTTTTCATCACGACTGCACGACTGCACCACGACACGGATTTCATCCGGCCACCATCTTTTCGGCATTGCATATATCTATACCCCACCTGCACAATTATACCCCGACAACGCTGCACAATACCCAGCGCGACGATTGCTTCTCCGGAGACTTATACCCCAGCCACCCGATGTGGCTATGTCAGACGACGAGGACAATGGTACGTGTTGACGTGCTCCCCGCGGAGATGTGCGACTAATATTTCTTCAGAGTCGCCCAATGCGCCAGCCTCGCCGTCACTTTTCTTTTCCCGGGAGCAACTGCTCGCGAACCCTGCCGCGTTTCGCATCTTCATCTGAGCACCATCTTCTCGACACTGCACACATATAATACCCCACTTGCACGACTATACCCCACCTGCACATTTATACCCCGGCCATGCTACGCAATACTGAGCACGACGACTAATTTTTCGGAGACTTATACTCCCACCACCCGATGTGGCTGTGACAGATGACGAGGGTAATGGTACGTGCTCGTATTCGTCCAGCGAGGATGCACGACTGACGCTTCTTCAGAGTTGCTTACGCACCAACCTCGTCATCGCATTTCTTGTCCCACTAACCAACTGCTCGCTCACCCTGCTGCGCTTCACTTTCTCATCTCTTCACCATCTTTTCGGCATTACACTCATCTATACCTCACCTACACGATTATACCCCGACCATGCTGCGCAATATCCAGCGCGACAACTAATTCTTCGGAGATTATACCCCAACCACCCGATATGGCTATGGCAGACGACGAGGGTAGTTGTACGTGCTCACGTGCTCCCCGCGGAGATGGGCGACTGACACTTCTTTAGAGTCGCCTACGCGCCGACCTCGTCGTCGCCGATCTGCTCCCCGCCTCAGCTACTCACTCGCTTGCATCATGTTTTCGCTTCCTGCCACCCTGCATTCTGCTTTCGCTTCTTATCATCTTCTTCATTTACTGAGACGTTTAACGTATTCCCTATTATCTTCTTCTTCTTCTTCATTTACTGAGACCGACCACGGACTCCTCATTACTTTATTCACATTAATTTCCATCATCGTTTCTTTGGCGGCCACGATCGACGACAAAGGCTGAGGTACGTCTGCGCATACACTCAGCGAGGACGACTTCTGACCTATCTTTGTCTCTACAGTGACGGTCGCGTGCTCGCTGGTCGAGTGCGTGTACTCGCCAGTCTTTGTCGGCGTTGTCCACCCCGCCCATCGCATTCTTCCCTTCTTCATGATCTTCATTTTTATTTTATTGAGATATCGGACTCGAACGTTTTTCCTTTCATCTTATTCATGTTTTATCACGCTTTGATCTTCACTTGCATCTCCTTCATTCATTGAGACCAACCATGGACTCCTCATTACCTTAATCATATCTCCATCTTCCTTTCTTCGGCGGTCGCGATCGATGACGAAGGCTAAGGTACGTCTGCGCATACTCAGCGACGACAGCTACTAACCTATCTTTGTATCTACAGTGATAGACGCGTGCTCGCTCGGTCGACTGCGCGTATTTGCCGGCCTTCGTCGGCGCTGGTCTCCCCGCCCCTCGTTTTCTTCCCTTCCTCACCATCTCCTTCTTATCTTCGTCCCTTTGTTTGAGACATCGGACTCGAGCTTTCCTTCTTTCTCATCTCACTCGTATGTTATTGGATTGGATCGACGACAAAGGCTCAGGTGAGTCTTCGCACATACTCAGTGGGGATGACAGCTGACCTATCATTGTCTCTATAGTGATAGACGCGTGCTCGCTCGGTCGACTGCGCGCAGTTTCCAGCCTTTGTTTTCGCTGGTCTCCCTTCCACCCGCTTTCTCCCCTTATTCATAATCTTCTTTTTCTATGTTGTCCACTTTGCATCACGCTTTCATCTTCACTTGCGTCTTTTCTTCATTTACTGAGACCGACCATGGACTCCTAATTACCTTAATCTATTTACCATCTTCCTTTCTTCGGCGGCCACGATCGATGACACAGGCCACGGTACGTCTGCGCATACACTCAGCGGGGATGGCAGCTGACCTATCCTTGTCTCCGCAGCGACGGACGCGCGCTCGCTTGGTCGATGCGCGTGATTGCCAGCCTTTGTCGTCGCTGGTCTCCCCGCCGCTCGTTTTCTTCCTTTCTTCATGATCCTCGTTCTATCTGTTGAGATATTGGACTTGAACGCTTTCCCCCCCATCCTATCCATGTTTTTATCGTGCTCTTGATCTTCACTTGCATCTTCTTCTCCATTTACTGAGACCAACCATGGACCCCTCATTACCTTAATCATATCTACCGTCTTCTTTTCTTCGGCGGCCACGATCGACGACAAAGTCTAAGGTATGTCTGTGCATATACTCAGTGGGGATGACAGCTGACCTATCTTTGTCTCTGCAGCAACGGACGCATGCTCGCTTGGCCGACTGCGCGTAATCGCCAGCCTTTGTCGTCGCTGGTCTCCCCGCCCCTCGCTCTCTCCCCTTCTTCATGATCTTCGCTTTCTTTGTTGAGATATCGGACTCGAACACTTTTTCTTCCATGTTATCTATATCGTATCATGCTTTTATCTCCGCTTACATCTCCGTGGACTCCATCCGCATCATTCCAGACTATGTTTTCATTCGCATTTTCTCGGACTCCATTTGCATCATCCCAGATTATATCTCCACTTGCATCTTCTTGGGCCCCACGAGCACCATCTGCACACATATACCCGGCGCTCATTATTCCTGGATCTCTCGATTTTGTACCGTTATAATTGCATCATACCACACTGCATACGATAGCATCTTGGACATTCATCTGCATTACGAACATGTATTTGTACATATATCGCATATCTGCATCATTAATAGAGGAAACTTGCATCTTATCATCCTGTATCTTGCTCGAACTTGAACTTGAAGCCCTCTAGCAGCGCCAGGGATGAATCGACTCCAGGCTGCACACGCCCCAGTGTCTTGTGCATTCTCTTTCCGGCGAGTAGTTTACACTCGGTGATGCGTCCAAGTGATAATCCCGTTGCATATATGCCACAAAGCAAATACGAACTATGTTTAGAGTTCTTACTTGCATGAACGGCTACTAGCGAGGCACTTCATCATATTCGGGAACAGGGACATGAAGAAGCATCGAACGAGCAACATCCTCGGAGTTCATGACATTTGCGAGCGTTGTCATGATTTAAAAGCTGAGCCGACATGGTCTGCGTGGTTCTCATTACCGGACCACGGAGTATGTCGGTTTCCGAGCAAGTCTCCGGAAAATGGCCAAGCACCATGCGGTTCGGCCTTATAGTAAAGCGAACAAGCCCGGGACAAAGTTCCTATGCGCAGCGACACAGCGACGGAACGATCTGGGGTCACGGAGGGCGAGAAGCTGCACCAACAGCAATGGCAGCAACGGGAAACGCATCTTGGCAACGCTCACATGAACGCGGGAACGGGTGGAGAAAATGCAAATGATATTGCTCTACAGATTGGATGAATGCAACGCGGGACGGAAGACTCTATGCAGAGACGAGCTGCGTTATTCTCTTGGCCACATCCGCCGACGAGAGACCCTCCAGCTCCGCCGACTTCTCGACACCGCGTTCTGCCGACGGAAGGAGGCTGCGGTCAGCCGGAGAAACACGAGAAGGACGCATGGCATGAGGCGCTCACCAAAGCGCGCGAAGACGCGTGCGGGGGTGCCCGAGGCCTCGCGAATCATGATAGGGAGGTCTGGGTTGGCCTGCTTGATGGAGGGGTACTGAGACACGATGAACTGGCTGCGTTGCGGAACGGCGAAGAGAGGAACGAGGGTGAGCACAGCGCGGAGCGAGAAGGTGTAAATTTGGGTGGTGGTGCATGGGACGTGCGTGCTCACCGCGTGCCCTCTGAGGCCTTGCCAGTTTGGCAGCAGAGAATCCTGATTTCGCGAAGGGCGGGGGAGAGGGCTTTGGCGAGTGTGGACATTGTTTGGCCGTCGAGGTGGTCGAGTGGATTTGGATTTGGGTGGAGGCAGTCACTGAACGTGGACGAGCACGGCCGGGGCTGGATGAAATGTGCTTACATCAGCAGTGCGGCTATGGGAACCGCCTTGACGAATTGTTTCGTTGACGCCTGCACTTGGTCGGAGAACCCCTGCCTCTAATACCCTCCCCTTGTTCTCCGTCCCTCCTTACTTCCCTTTCTTTACTTTTCTCTCTCCCGCTATGGATGTCGATGAAGAGCAAAAACGACAGCAGGACGAATGGCTCAACAGTCGCAAGCACAGGCTTCCCTCTTTCACTGAGGTCCTATCCAGACGGACACGACCTCCCGTTGACTTGTTTATGTTCTAGTCCGTCAAAATTCCGTATGTTATATCCTTGCTTTTCATACTAACATCATTCTAGCCTCTTTCTGCAGCGAGAAGGAGCAGAAGATATCCTCGACTTCTGGCTAGACGTACAGCAGCACGAGAACCTATGCAGGGCCTACTTCAAGGACGTGCGAAAGTCGGGTCGCACCATCAAAGAGGACTGGCCCCAGTATTGGGATTATGCCCGCCGTCGTGGTTCGATATATGGCACCGTCGTCGGCCTCCAGCCCAGCGGCACCAAGCGAAGCACAGCCAGCACTGGCGACATGCTCAGTGACGCCGAGAAGCACGCCCTCGCAACCATGGACGACAGTCATGCAGGCGAACGTTCCGTCTCCCCCTACCCGCGGCCATTCACCCCCACAACGACCGACAACCACCACGGTTCCCCGCAATCTCCAGGCGCCGGCATGAGCACCCCGATGCCGATGGACGACGCACCGCGGTCCACCACGCCCTTCTCGATCGGGCGGCGCACCCCGCTCTTCAACATGCGCCGCGCCTCGCGCGCGCCAACCATCATCCAGCGCTCGGCCGCCATCTCGCGCCTGGACCTCGTCGCGTCCGCGGAGCGCATCTACTTCCGCTACCTCTCGCCCGCGGGCACGCTCGCGGACCAACAGGCGGGCGAGAACCACGAGATCTACCTCCCGCCGGCGCTCCGCATCCACTCGTTCCCGCTCAGCAGCGCGCACGAGCCCAAGACGCACGCCGAGCTCGCGGTGCTTGCTCAGGTGCCCGACATGTTCCACGCGCAAAAGGAGTACTGCTTCCGCGCGATGGAGCAGGACGCGTTTCCGCGGTTCCTCAGGGCGAAGGCGTTTGGGAATCTAACGCCCGTGTCGGCGCTGGTCAGGCTCGTCGCGGGGCTTGTGACGCTGTGGATCGGTCTTGCTGCGGGGTTCTCCTTGATTTTCCTGGACGTGCAGCCAAAGTCGAAACGCTTCTTCGTGGGTCCCCTCCAGCCTTCACATATCTCCCTTCTCTCATTCTGACAATCATGTAGCTCTTCATCCCATACACCCTCGCCATCCTCTTCCTCATCTCGCACCAATACGAGCTCGACCCCATCCTCGTCTTCCTCGGCCAGTCCGAGTCCACGCCGTTCCGTACGCTCACGATCCGCGAGCCGTACGTCAAGAAACTCTTGTTAGGCCGCGCGATCTGGGTCACCACCCTCGTCGCCATCTTCTCCGTCGCGCTGACGATGATCTTCTGGGCCGTCCCGGGCAAGCGGCTGTGAGGCTCGACCTTGAGCTCGACCTTTGCCCTTGGTCTCCGTCGAACTCGGAATCGATTTCTTGACCTCATCTTCGTCGTCCGTTCGCTGCGCTTGTCGCGTCGTGTTGCTTTGTTGTTTGATTGTCTGTTGGGCTGTTGTTCTCATTGTCACTATGGCTGGATGGCTGGAGGAGGATCCGGGGCAGGTAATTGGGTTAGCCTGACCGAGGAGCTGAAGAGTGAAGGGAGAGAAAGAAAGAAAGAAGATAGGCTCTAACCGTGGCCTCGGTCTTGGGACAGTTGCGACGGCGGGGGGAAACGCTGTTCTTATCCCCTAAGTTTCTCCCTTCTCGCTCTGTACGTCCTCATAACTCCCTCTTAACCTACATCACATCCTTAATACACCAAATTAGCACGCTCGTTCCACCCCACCCCCCGTCTGTCCTTCGACAATTTTACCTACCTACCTACCTACGTTTCCCTACCTACCTACCTACTCGAACCCGCCTGAACCTACCTGACGTCTCCCGATTTGGATACTTCTAGAATGACAGACGTTATCCTCGGATCTTGGTTCTGCACCGCGACATTCTCCGTACATTTCTTCTTTCCCTCCCGATTTTGGTTTTTCGCTACGCTACGCGTTGGCGTTACAGTAGCTAGCTGCCTATAGTCTCTTGATTCTCTTTGTTGGTTATCGTCGGTATACCCTATCTCACGCCTAGCTCATGATTATGTCCCGTTGTTGCATCGAGTGGAGGTGCTGTGTGTGTTGTTCTCGAGGTTTGGGGTGGATGGTTTCTTCGGATGGTTGGGTGGCTCAGTTGTCGTGGGTGATGTCATGACTTGGTTGTCTTGTCTGACTGATTCGTGCTATGTCGATGTATAGACAAACCCAAGTGGCACTGGATGGTCTCGCGGTACTGGATATAACTTTCAGAACCCGCTTCGCGCCGAATCGTTGTATTTCTCATCTTCTCTGTGGATGGTTCTATTCAGTGATGAGGGTAAATCACCAACGCAGCGACGAAAGGGCCCGCATCTCACATCGAGTGCTCGGAAAGCCAGCGTCCGAGAACATGTCCGATGATATTATATAGGTAACTGTCGGACTTTTCTAAGCGGGGATTATAATGCTGCTCCGCAGCCCCACAATATTGTCACGGATTTTAATGCCAGTAAAATGCCGTAATAATAATAATGTTGCCAGGGCAAGCCAACAACATTCGCTCATTGCGCACCCCGTAAGTTGGAACTCAATTTGATACCGTTGGGTTGTAGTTGATAACCGGTCAATAATGCACCAAGCCCCATTGCAACGTGTGAAAATGAGCAAATCCATTACAATGCGCTAGAATCCAAAGTGTTGCGCCTGAGATTTTTCCGATATTTATTCCCTGATAAATTTGAGTGATGTATGCGTGGTTACGGGGGATGGATATGTCGCGCTCTGATCATCGTGCAATGAACTTAGAACGCGAAGTAAATGTATTGTATATGGGTGTGCTACTCGAAGTATTCAATCTGAGTGTCAAGAAGTCGTATGGTAAACTGACCACCAGCAGCTCCAGCGTGAAGGAAAGTCACCTTATTGCCACTTACTCCCAGCTCCAAACCCTCATATTCTTCAAACGTTCTTTTGCGCCTGTAGCGTGGATGCATCCAGCATATTCTCCGAGTTCCCTTTCGAAGCCATCCATCTGCATCCATGCAGAGGTCGGACCATGAATGTATATCGTAGAGCACGCGGGGGTCATTATCCTCATCGACCTTGTAAATACAGCCGTCGCCGTTGTCTTGCTTGACTAGATTCATAGCGTAGGCAAAACAGCCACGGTTCCCGGCAGTTGAATCCTCGTTGAAGGTGTCAAAAAGGCAATAAGCTCGAGAAAACCTTGGGGAATGCCGAATCCCGCGACCAGGACCTGGACGGGAGACTAAGAAAGAGGATGGATCTTTGGATATAGACGCAAGCTTCACAATTGTTGACGTTTCCCTCTGCCACCGGAAGTGCTTGGCCAAGAGATCTCCATCTGGTGCACAGAAACACCAGAAATCGACTCCACCCGAATCGGCGGAGGCGAGCTGGCATCCGCCATAACTCAACGGGGAAGAGAATTCTCCGAGATGCTCTATCCTCCCGCCGTCAAGTGAGCAAATAGAGAATCGGTAGATTCCTGGGACATCCCAGGAAAACATCTGAAGAACGACAACGGCGTCGTCTATAGAGACTCGAGCGTCATATTGATAGTATCCTGGCCCTCGTTCTGCGCTGTGCCATGGAACTGGTGCGCTAGCTATGTGTTTTCCCGTAGTTGGTTCCCAGATATGAATCTTAGGATCGCCCTGCGGAATATTTGGCTCTTCAACTATCAGAAAATACGTACACGTAGGGGTCAACATTGTGGCTGCGGGAGTTCCAGCAAGATCCGTAACGATCTTGTATTGAGAGACTACGTTCTCCGCGATAGATCGGATAAGAAGATACTCTTTTTTGGTCGCTGAACGGAAGATCGTGAACCCGTTTTGGTCGGAACTAGGCATTAGCTCCCAGCTCTGTCCAAGGCTTCTAGCGGAGCGAATCAGGGAGGTACTGAAGTGATGTGAGGGCTGATTGGCGAGCTGCACAAGGTCGATTATCTCTATCGTTTGGGCGTCAGGCCTGCAGGCCCCGAAACACTCCTTATCCTGAGGCATCCACCGAGTGCTTCCGCTCGTGTCAAGAGCCAAAATCTTTTCTCCGAACTTGATTCCTACAGCTTGAGAATGTGTGGAGTCTCGAGCGAGTAATAAGGCTCGTACACACATGGGTGCTGGCTCAGGGTCGACAGGTGTCATTCCCCCTACCGTACATACGATGCGGGGTTCTGCGACCGCAGATGGACTCCTGTCCATGGTAAAACCGCCGCGAGCATTGAGACATTCATTGGCATCTAAAGGAGTGCGTTCAGCTGGCGGCATTATCCAGGATGATGCTAGGGGGGAATGAAAGCTCTCATAACGTGGTTATTTACCTTCGACGAACGATATCGTTGCCACTTCTATCACTGATTCTCCTTCTTGAGACTTTAAAGATTTCAAGCGGATGAGACAGCTGCTATCAGGACCTATAAAGTGGCGAAAGTGATCCTCAAATTTTTGATGCTCCTCGTAGTAGTCCATACGTCCCATTGACCGACCATCATGCGCGTCCAGAAAGAGGATGCACCCAGGTACGTTCACCATTATGCAGCTGTCATCGTAGCAAAGGTCAATCATCAGAAACTCCATTGAGTAACGTGGCCCCGAAGTCGTTGCAGGAAGGCAAAAACAGAACAACTGCTCGCAAGCCATAATGTCAAAGACTTGAATGAAGGTCTCCGTGGTGCTGTCTGTAGTGGTGATTTTGCGGCCGATCGCCACTTTAACACTGTCACGAGTGAATGCTACCGAGCAAGAGTTGTATGGATGAAACTTGTCTGTATCACGGGCACCGTGGAACGGGACCTGTGTCGATGTTTGTGTGCCGATATGCCATAGAAAGACCCGATTTTCTATATCCGCGAAAGCAATGACTGGGCCGCCATGTTTGACGTATCTCCAGTGCATCGTGCGTTGATCGGCAGTGAGTAATAGCGACGCAACGCGCAAACTTGTGGCCGTTTCCCATACATGCAGGACGGTTTGAGTTACTACTGTAACCTGAGATCCATCTGGAGAGAGAGAAACAGGGGGTGTACGATAATGAAGAGCATATTCAACCTTCGCACCAACTTGAATAACACCAGTTATGTAGTCCCAGTGATTTCCTAAACCTTGCTCGACGATCAGAATGGTGCTTTCTTCGAGGAGCCGACTGTACGTGGTGCGAATCTGAGATTTTGCTGGACAGCACGGAAGCGCCGATTCATATACATGAAGAGAAGAAGAGCTGATTGCATCAAAGAAATCAAGTGTGAAGCGCCAACTGTCGTACAGAAGTGCTAAAGCAACCTTCTTGCGCGGAAAGGAGGCGTCGGGCCAGTTCTGTAGATTTTTTCACAGTCAATCCTTGTTACTCCTGACTTGATAAAAACCGCTTCATACCACGATAAACTTTCTGGCAGATCGCCAAAGCTCAACAGCGGTGCCAAGCTCACCAAAAACAGCGTATGTCTCTATCGCGAAGAGTAACCTTTTCTCCAGGAAGTCAAGAAGGTTATGTTGATCCTCGCCGTGAACGCTACCATTTTTCATATGGTGCAACCAATGACGAAGGGAATATCGGAGAGGGAATGGGATCGCGTCACGTCTCTGCGCAAAATCAGATATTTCTTCGTGTAGGAGCGAGGGATCTCGAAGATTGCATATATCACGCTTCAGCAGTCTAGCCATCGTTCGGAAGCAGGCGGAGGACAGAACATGGTGGATATGGCGCTTGTCGGTCTGTTCGCCTTTGTATTGGCTATGTTTCTGTAAAAAGTCACGGAATGAGATATGATGGATCTGAACTAAATCTGAGGACGACACGGAGGGGATGGAAACAAAGGCTGAGAACGGGAGGAGGTGCGAATAGACATCAACTCCAAAAAAGAGACGCAAGTCGGAGGGGCAAAGTGGTTCGGCAAGATTCACAATGAGGGCAAGGTACTTCATTCCGAGCTCGCGGGCCGGGAGGTCAATATCTTCGATAATAGAAGAATACAAGTGATCGATGTTGCCCCAGACTTGCTCGACGTCCCCGCGCAACATGCTGCAAACGAGCCGGAGACGATCCTGAGGCTGATCTTGATCGACGAATCTAACTATAGTCGCTGCAAAGATAAAACGGCCATACGCTCGTTCTGACAGCATCAAGGTCTCGCTTTCAGACGGCCATAGCCCTGGGGGAAGGACGGTGGAGAGATCATGCGACTCGTATATTTCATCGAAAGCATGCCTGAGATAACGGTCGACATCCTGGCGCGAGTCATAGTCCTCGAGTCGTATAACCCGCATGATGTCCGCAAACTGGTTGTTGCACATCACGGAGCGGATCTGCGGCCAGGACCTGCTAGAAACAAATATTCTATGGATGGGAATTGAAGGGTTTCTGATAAGGGCTGCGAGCAGGACAACGAACGGCTTGACGTGATGAATGCCACTTGCAGTGCCCTCGTCAAGTGCGTCGATGATCATAGACATCCTGGCGTCGCTCCATTGAAGTGCTAAGGCTTGGAGAGGGGCTATTACCAGTCTATCTAGTTGGTCGCGACGCGATTTCTCGGAGGAAAGGAGCGCAGGGTCGTCAGAAATCGCTTTAACGATGACCTCTCGAGCAATGGGGTGTTGCAGCCCGAGTTGATATGAGAGCGTGAGGAAGACATGCTCGAATGCGCTTCTCTTCGTATGCTTTCTCGAGAAGAAAAACGTGCCTGCAAGCCTGCCTTCCTCACGAAGTTCGTCCGCCAGCGTATGCGCTATGGTCGACTTTCCGGACCCAGACTCGCCTGCGATCCACACGATCTGTCGTTCATCTGTAGCTCCTTCAGCGGCTTCCTTGAGCGTGCGGAGGAGATCGACTCGGGTGCCCGGGAGGCACTTGGAATGCGGCTGACGTTCGTTTGAATCGTATATAGCGCCTTGAGCGCACTCTTGGGAGAGCTGCTGCCATACATTTCTGGGAACGCCTTGTTCTGATTCAAGGTCCAAGAGTAAGTCGTTGTCCCGAAGCAAGAAGTTGTTCCAACTCACGTTGGCTCATGGCAATTGTCGATGTTGAGGAACAAGCACCAGTGCTAGATCAGGGCTGTTGCACAAGATGCAGTGGGACGTAAGTAGGGTTTAATGCTTCCGAGGCCCTGGGAGACTGTTGGCGATTCGGCGCGGAAGCGCGTACAAGCGGACGTCAAACGTCTTACTTCAGGGCACAGATGGGCCGCTGTTTTGTATAGTACCAGTCGACTTAAGAGCGAATTATACTCAGTGACCAGCGGGTGGATTAACGATGCAACGATGGTATCTGAACGACTCGCGAGACAGGTGACGTACTGTACATTCAAACCGATGCGTTACAGACACAGTACAAAACTTAAAAGCTACATGCATCGTACCCCGGTAAAAAACTTACACTTCCCCTTTATCTTGAAGTTCGAACTCTAAGTCCTCCGCATAATAAACATTGATGTTCCCCTTCGTTGCGTGGACTACGATCTCGTCTCCCTCCCAGGCGTCCCCAAGCACGCTGATATCTCCCACAAACCATTTGCTCTCTTTCGTCCACCAGCTGTCTCCGAGCGGAATGCTCTTGTCGGGCAGTGTCCCGTGTAAGGAAACGTATCCCTTAGAAGCTCGAAGTCGTAGCGGACCATGGAACGATGAGGGTATGTAAAGCGTCACATTATCGCCAGCGACTACATTCAAGATGTATGGGTCTGCCAGCGATGCCTGTACCGAGTTCTGGGTCGCGTTCATACGTCAGTGTGGTACCTGAAGACAAACGACTATTGTCCCCGCACCAGTTTTATGGTCGCTGTACCGTATTTGGCCTCTATCTGGAGCTTAGCTCGCCTCGATTCCAGCGCCTTTACGTTTGAACCTTGCTCGCCCGGTGGAACGAGTACAACGTCCGCGTTGATGCTACCGTCCTTACGCACCAGCTTCAGGTTATAGCGTTCCTTGTCGGAGGCTTTGTTTACATCATCGGAGAGCAGCCACTTCGGGAGAACTAACGAGGGGTCGATGGTTACAGAAGTTTTAGCGCCATTAACGTACGAGATGTACAAGAAGTTGGTGGGACGGGAGTACCCCATCGCTACCAAGCTCTTGATCAACTGATAACAAGTGATCATGAGATCCAGTAGCATGTGGGATGCAAGCAAGACACGAACCTCCTCGTAGCTGACCTCACGATATTCGCCCTTCTCCAGTATCAACGGCTTCTTCATGATCATGCAGCGAGTGGGGTCTCGCGATAGGTGAAGGATTAGGGGAGAGGATGAGGAGGGCTGCGCAGAGAAGCTGTGTACATTGCCTCTTTCTGTCGTAAAGATTAGCGCTCGATGACGTTGGTCTATGAGAACAGGCGCAATACGCCGTACACGAAAATAAACTTAGGGGCTGGACGGCGCTAAGATGATTACGAATGTACATAGCGAAAGAAGACTGCTATCACTTCGGTTATTGAGAACATACCTATGACATCGATGGCATGAGGCTTGATGCATGCTGGTGTTTACTGATGTCCCAGCCTACTGGAGTCTCGCCAGGGTCCAAACACTGTCACTATCACAGCCACTGGGCTCAGCAGGGACTGGGGGATATTCCCGTTGAAGTGACCTCCGTTAAGGCTGGGACGAGCTAGAGGTTGCTGCGTTTTCGAGTAGCCCAGTGCTCCGCCGAAAACTACAAGCTATGATGGCGTACACCAGGCTACACCAAGATGTACATCGTATAAACGGCTGGCAAAAACGAGGTTTAAATTAACTGGTCGCTCAGCTTTATCGGTGAGAACATACCGGATACAGATGATATTCACAGAAGATTCTGAATCAATCAAGGGGCGATAGAATGAGAATCAGACTCTTCAGTCGTTCATGACACGATTGGGAGAAAAAAGGCTACGCAAAAGCTGCGTAACTTGAGCTGTGGCTGTGGTTGGCGGACTCAATAAGTTCATTATTGATGGCGATTCGCGCTGACGCCCACTGTCTATGTCATGCAGAATCAGTGAGCCAGCTTTGAGTGGCACTCCATCGTTCCCGCTTGCTCTCATCTATCTCAATCCTCTGTATGGCGATAAAAACACTAGACACTCTCCCTCTGGATGTTCTCGTTCATATAGCAGGTCTTCTTGATCCCCTGGATGTTCTTGCGCTGAGACAGGTACGTTTTCCCGCCATCCTCATGTGGGATGTCAGTGGCTTATGCGTTAAATTAGACATCGAGGACACTCTTAATGGCATCTTATGAAAGGCATGTTTGGGCTCAAGTTTACTCCTCAAGTCATCTTCCTCGTCACCCGGGTCCGGTACCTTCACAATCTCGTCAGAATCTGGAAGATACCATCGTTCGGAGCGCGATGGTCGAGCGTCAGTTGGTCGACCGAATGAGCCCAAGGAAAGTGCGGAGAATAGCGCTTGATATCGATGAACAAGGCAAAGCTTGCTTGCTTGCTGGACGGTGGCTAGTGTCGAAGTCATACAACAAAGTGCTGTGCCGTGACTTAGACTCAGCTCACGGCAGTGAAAGCAAGGTGATATATGAAGTCTTCCGACCCGGGTTCTTATCTTATGTGACCTCCGCTGAGATTGTGGACTACGAGGGTCGCTATCATGGTTATGTTGTATTGTCTGAGAGACAGCTCGGACGAAACTGGGGAGATAGAGTGTAAGTAATTGATCACATTCTGTGGCGTCCCAAACCCGATTCACCCATCCCCCCTCATAGAACCATCCTCAAGGCGAAATCGACCCTGCAAAATATCGAGCTCATGAAAATCTCTTGCTTTTCTCTCCCTGATACAAGCTTCATTGCCACCGAGGTTAAACTGACCATTGGTCCCAATGTCCTGTTGATCTGGTGGCAGCAGCATTTCAATAGCGATAATCTCTCCATCGGCCATCTGAGGAAATACGCTCTTATAGACTTCACTCACGTAGAGCAAACACCGATCATCCAGACTACTATGGATCAAGCAGAGGTTTGTCCTATCTGCACTGCAAAAAATGTCCTCCGTTCGTCGCTGACTGGGTCCAGCCGAGCTTAGAGCCGTTCGGCATTTCCGAATACGAGTCGACACACTTCGTCGTCTCATCGACCCATCTGATTGTGATGACGGTCTGTACGGTGGGAGACAGGAAGAATACTTTGATATACGCCACTCCGCTCGCATCTGCCCTTTCCGGAGAATTCTGACCCCGCCTCTTTGGTCTCTGCCAGGTTGCAGTAGTTTTACCTGTGCTGGTTCACGACTCTACCTCCACAATCAACGGAGAAACCAGTATCACTCTTGCGGGATTTACCTACGGCATTGACATTCCAAAATCATATTTGGTCACGTTGAGCTTGCCCACCCTACCTGCGGAAGAGGCCCGCTCTACGCCTAGCGCTTGCTTCGACATGAGAGTAGGCACCATAACGGAGCTCAATAGCTGGCTGAGCATGTCAGCTCACCCCATACTCAAAGGCCCTGTCCGGGTTCTATTCTCTCTTCGTGACGCTACACATGGCCGCCGCCACCTCTGTCTTCGTGCAGTATCGTTTGGTAGGGACGCGGATGAGCCAATCCGTGGCTTTTGGGCGAAGTCACCGACTATGCGAATAGGGGGCTTGGACGCGCCAGACGTCGTGCGTGGTATAAACGACGTGGAGGACGTCGATCTCTTGAGAGGCAGAGTTTGTCTTTATGAAGAGGTTGAATACGAGGAGGGGGAGGTGACGCGGGAGCGTATTATCCTTGACTTTGCCTGAGGACAAGGAGCCTAGTACTATGATACTTAGTCATATAGCTCAAGCACAGCTCGCGCGGTGGCATACGCGAAAGATTTAACATAGTGAATTTATCTTGATTATCTCACTCACGTCATCTATCCTAGTGCGGAGGTAACTTGCCGCCATAAGTTACTTCAAGTACCATTTGGCGGGCGCAAGCAAGGCGCAAGTTACCTCCGCAAGTGACGGATCCAGCATGTTTCCGAAGTCTAGTCCACGTGCTGTTGAAGCGTGGGAAACGATATCCGAGCCGCCCCGTCGGCAGATTTAGTTATTTTGCGGTCCAATGTCTACTGAGACTCTACCGTGCCATTCGTCGAACGAATACAAGGACAAACCTCCTCCTAGTTGATCAAAGGTCAGTCCACGTTTATGTGCAGCTCTTCTTCAAACGCGTCCCATGACCCACAACTCAAGCAATGGCCTACCTAGAGTCTTTGTAGATCTGGCTGAAGGTCGGTTCATCCTCGGCCTGAAGACTCTTTGCCAGGCAACGAAATCACTTCCGTCGCGCTGTTCAAGGAGGCAATCAATGTTTCAGGTACAACCTAATCCTCTAAAGGTTTCGATATGACCTCGAACATGCTGCCTTTCTCCGACGTATATACCTCGGTTGAATGTTGCTTGATCCCCGCCAGTCACAATGTCCCGCATCCCTTTTGCCGCCCTTGCACCTCCGTGGTCACCAAGTTATGCGTGCGTATCAGTGGTCCGTTTAAAGGAGATCTGGAAAAGGTTTCTTACCTGCCTCGCTTAGTAGCCATTCATCTGACGTGCTTGGGCCACGCCGAGCGCTCACCATTTGGGATACACGGTCACCTCACCTGGACGACGCGGAAGTTCCTCGCTCTGTGTTCTACATCTCTTCCGACTTATAACAGCTCGCTCCCCGTGGGGTGAGCTTTCACCCGCCGTCTTCCAAGAACACGATGTTGTCCCGCTTCCTGCTCGGCGGCTTAGCTTTCGCGGGCGCCAGTGAGTCTCATGTCTCTGGCTCATCCGTCAAAGCTCCGTTTTTTATGTACTGACACCACTTTCTCGTATGGCGACTCCATACTAGCCTTCGCGCAGAGCTCCAGCTCGTACACGGACCCAGATAACGGCTTCGTCTTCCAGGGATACGCCGACCCTACACACAACGTCACCTATGGGTTCGCACTCCCTCCGGCCTCCTCTACGGACTACAGCGGCGAATTCATCGGCGAGATTATTGCCCCTGTGAGCGCCGAATGGGTGGGCATTGCCCTTGGTGGCGCCATGGCTGGTGACCTGCTTCTCGTCGCATGGGCGAACGACGGCAAAGTCGTCTATTCGCCGAGATACGCTACGTGAGTGTCTTGGTTTTATGTTCAAGACAGGGGCTAAAACGAATGATCAGGGGATATGTGCAACCTACGTCAGTTCCACAGTACATCTATGTCTTACAAGTAACCTAACGTTTTGTCCCAATGATCATACAGTGTCTACTCGGGCCCGAACATTACGACTTTGTCAGAGACTGTCGTTAACTCCACGCACTGGAAGTGGGTGTACCGCTGCCAGAACTGCACAAGTGAGCATATCCTTTGTTCTTCGCAATCCAGCTATTAATCTTTTCCTCCTTAGCCTGGAGTGGTGGTAGTATCTCCACCAGCGGATCGGGTGCTGTTGCCTGGGCGTGGTCTTCTGCGGCCGTCGACGATCCCTCTGACGCAAGCAGCGATTTCTTAGAGCACAATGACTGTGAGCCGTCCTCATGCTTGCCGGATCTTCTTCCCCTCTGACTGCACGTCTCTTTATCCTGAAGTCGGATTTTTCGGACAGAACTGGCAATCTGCCCAGACTTCCAACTACGCCAACTACCTCGCCGGAAAGCCTGGAACACCCACGTCCACGACATCTACTCCCCCGACCTCGACCACCACCACATCCACGAGCTCGTCTTCAACACCCACTGTCACTGGTACTCCCTACGACTACATCATTGTTGGCGCTGGCCCTGGTGGTATCATTGCCGCCGACCGCTTGTCTGAGGCCGGGAAGAAGGTGCTCCTTCTCGAACGGGGTGGACCTAGCACGGGCGAGACTGGCGGAACGTATGTTGCTCCTTGGGCTGCAGGTACCAACGTAAGTACATCATTCAAGTACTCAGTACGTTACTCATCTATCAAACCCTTTCTATAGTTGACCAAGTTTGACATCCCCGGTCTATTCGAGTCGATGTTTACGGATACTGACCCGTGGTACTGGTGCAAGGGTGAGTCATCCTTACTCACGTTTCAATTCCGAATAGATGTCGAACATATTCTTGCTAGACATCACTGTCTTCGCCGGATGTCTCCTTGGTGGCGGCACTTCCGTCAACGGTGCTCTGTACTGGTACCCGACCGATCAGGACTTCTCTACCGCAAACGGCTGGCCAGCGAGCTGGACGAACCATGGACCGTACACCTCCAAGATGACGCAGCGCCTGCCAAGCACGGATCACCCCTCGACGGACGGAGACCGATACCTTGAGCAACTTGAGCCCGTCGTCGCGCAACTCCTCCAGGACCAAGGTTACTCCCAAATCACGATCAACGACAGCCCGAACTCAAAGGACCATGTGTTCGGTTATAGCGCCTTCGACGTAAGCTCGTGTCTTTCTTCTATTTACGCATCACCTGACGTAGTATATCCGTAGTTCCTGAACGGCAAACGCGGTGGCCCTGTCGCTACTTACCTCCAGACGGCGCTCAAGCGCTCTAACGTTGTCTACAAGGACTACACCCTCGTCTCTAACGTCGTGCGCAATGGCTCAACGATCACTGGTGTGCAGACGAACGACACCTCGCTCGGTCCCAACGGCATCGTCCCGCTCACGAAGAATGGCCGTGTGATTCTCTCCGCGGGCTCGTACGGCACTGCCCGCATCCTCTTCCAGAGCGGCATCGGCCCCACCGATATGATATCGCTCGTCGAGGGCAACACGGCAGCAGCGAAGAACCTCCCTCCCAAGGCTGATTATATCAACCTGCCGGTCGGAATGAACATTTCGGACAACCCGTCTATTAACGTGCGTTTGCCTCCTCACGCGTGTTGTCTGAAATGCTGACGTCAGATGATCGAATAGCTGGTGTTCACACACCCTTCGATCGACGCATACGATAACTGGGCCGACGTCTGGGCCGACCCGCGTCCTGCTGATGCACAGCAGTACCTCAAAGACCAATCAGGCGTGTTCGCAGGTGCCTCGCCCAAGGTCAACTTCTGGCGCTCGTACACCGGGTCAGATGGCCAACAGCGCTATGTACGTCCTCAAATACCTCAACCCCTTTGAAGCCCGCTGACGGATGCTTGTGATAGATGCAAGGCACTTCCCGCCCAGGCGCCGCCTCCGTGAATACGACCTACGCATACAACGCGAGCCAGATCTTCACCATCACCTCTTACCTCTCCTGGGGCATCACCTCGCGCGGTCGTCTCGGAATCAACGCGGGCCTGACAGGCACCCCGCTCGTGAACCCGTGGCTCGTAGACCCCGTCGACAAGGCTGTGCTCGTCCAGGCGCTCGAGGATATTGTATCCAACGTTAGCCAAGGTAGGCTCCTCTCACGAAAACATATTCATATTGCAGAAATACTGACAATATGGTGTCTCGCTCCGCAGTTGAGGGTTTGACGATGATCACGCCTGACAACACCACCACCCTCCAAGAATACGTCGACAGCTACGACCCAGGCACCATGGACTCGAACCACTGGGTCGGGTCCGCCAAGATCGGGTCGGACCCGTCCTCGGCTGTCGTCGATGAGAACACGAAGGTGTTCAACACAGATAACTTGGTGCGTATACCCATTTGCTATGATAAACGAGGGCTGACTGAGCCGACCGTAACAGTTCGTCGTGGACGCGTCGATCATCCCAAAGCTACCGACGGGTAACCCGCACGGTATGCTTATGTCTGCGGCTGAGCAGGCGGCTGCGAAGATTCTCGCACTGGCAGGCGGTCCATAAGCTAGATTTCTCCCCCATGGTCTACAGGATGTCACGATAGGGTTCTGTGTATTATTATTGTTTATCGACAGCTCACGGATCATAAAATCAATATATACAAACGTGAACGCAAAACCGGCTCGTGCATCGCTGGCTCCTTGCAAGTTTTTCCTCCGCATCAATGCATGGTTTGTATGTTTGCCCGTTGCCTTTCCGTTTGCGCATTGAGCGGTTTGGCAAGAATAATCACGCCTGAATTACTTGTTACACCTACGGTGGAATCCTCACACTCTCATTGCATGGGTGAACTCTACGGGTACTCATGATATCCCGGAAGTTCGATGCCCTTCACGTGGCCCAAAATGAGAAGTCACATAGATTTTACACATATACGATATCTTACAGCACTAAGCCCAACTAACTACCTTTCCCTAGTTCCCCCAAGGACTATTGGACTCAGAACAAGAGCACAGCTCTGTAGATATGTCGTCGTCCGAGGTGCCATGACGCTTGCGGGCCGGCGTAGAAGCCGGCTCGTTGACGCTACCGGGTGTAAGCGTTGGGGATGCCTCATATACCTACAGGAGTAAATTCAGCAAATGTTTCACAGTCCTGGTTAGGAAGCCGTACTGTAGGAGTCATGTCATCACCGAACCCTTGAATCAATCCCAGCAACTGGTCAGCCGTTGGCCTTTCCTTCTTATGGAAGGCTCGGCATGCCTGGAGAAGTTCCCAGTAATGCGGGTCGATCCATCTGGGCTTGACAAGTTCCTTATCACGCATGATGGCGGTCACGATGGCGAATTATCCCCTTAGCTCAGCGTGGGGGGCCTTTCCCGAGTACATCTACAACAAACTTGAGCCTTCGAGTTACTAGAACAAGTGAGGGCAACTCCAACCTCAAATATTACGCAACCGAAGGCAAATATGTCCCGGCTGCGGCTCATGGGTACATCGTCCTCCATCAGCTCTGGTGCCGAGTAGTTGAGGGTTTTCCCATTCGATCGTTGGTCCGTTCTGGTTTCACGCTTCTGCGCGCTATGGATGATATAAGACATCCCGTAGTCACCTATAAGGGCGTGTCTCGTTGAAGAGACGAATATGTTTGCCTGGGAGAAGAGCAACGAATAAACATCTAATGACAAAGTCAAGTTACTACGTGTACCCACCGACTTCAAGTCTGCATGTATCACCGGAGGTTTCTGAGAATGAAGATATGCTAAACCGCTGATAATGTCCAGAATCTGAAATGCAATGCAATTTGGAGTCAAATTGTAGTATGGATCATAACAGCAGTCTTATATACCAAAGAGTGTCGGTCAGGACCTTCCTCATTTTGGAGGAACTTAGCCAAGTCCCTGTTTTCCATGAAAGGAGACACAAATGCCGAGATTGCTCCTCCAGATCGATACTGTGAGCGGTATATACCGAGCAACGGGAGAATGTTCGGGTGTGATAAGCTAGACCACACAATTAATTCTCTTGCACAGTCCTGCGACCAACATTTTTAATGCACAACTAAAGAATGAGCAGCAAAACTTTCATTACCTTCAACGTGACTTCGAGGTCGGCCTCCACCAAGCGCATTCGTTTTACAGCCACAACAGCGCCCCGAAACATCCCCCGATATACTTCAGCAAAGCTACCGGCACCAACTATGTCGGTATCCAGAGATATATACTCCGTTAACAACAAGTGGTGGGGGTAACACCCAAACCTTTTTGCGAGTTTGAACAGTGTTTGATTCAAGATCTCGCGCACGCCTGGATCCAAGGGCGACAGCTTGAACTAAGATTGTCCCATATCCGAACAGCCCTTTCTCAGTTTGAAGTTAGATGGTAAAGGGAGGTTACATACTGAATATAACATGTCCATAAGGTACTGTGCTTTGGCCTTCGCAAATTCTTCATCGAAAGACAAGACGTCTTGCTGTGAAACAGGATCTGATTCCGTTATTAGTCGAAGAAGATTGAACGCATTAATGGCAAGATCCGCTAGATGTGCCCGAGCGGAAGAACAGTTGCAGTCATTGAGGTCACCGGGACATGGAGGCGAAGAATGGCAAGGTAGATGGGAAGCGACCTTAGCCCGCAGTAAATCCTGTTTTAAGACTAGAGAGTACGTGTCATAATTAGACCACTCCGACACAGCTTCGTAGATTTTATCCAGCGCCCTTGAACCAAACTATCAGTGCCGCACTATGGCCGAGCAAACACACGCACAGAGGATCTCTTGAGCACACCACTTTGTGCACAATTGCGGCGCGAGTGAGATTCTGAGAGAAAAAAGAAGTGAGAGTCAGTTCAGCGCAGAGCTCAGGGGCCGTTAGTGGCATACGGGATAGATCCTGATTTTCGATACAATCTCAGAAATTGCGTTCAAGTATGGTGTTGGAATTGGACTGAAAACAAGATCACCTAGTCTCGTTCGATGCAAGCTATGGTAGTTGGATACGTACCTGGTAAGGTCTTGCGGACTAAGTCTAAGCCAATCTTGACAATGTTGAATCCCCCGCGGCTCAATGGAGCCCATGGCCGGCTGTGTGATGGTAAAATGCAAGTGGCCAGAAGCTCAGCGATGCACTGATGGCAGAAGGTAAGCGGGCATGTTATCACACCCGCCTGGGCGTGTGTTGACTCTATAAATGAGATTTTGGACTTCCTAGATTGTCATGTAAGCGGAGCGGACATCACAAACTTAAGATACACAGCGGGAATAACCCGATCAGTTCTCGGGACTTATGGTGGAAATATTGAAGACGTATTTTAACTTTGTTTGCAGGAAAAGCGAGACTTATTTGGTACTTAGCGGGGAGATATTCTGATTAAATTAACTTCTATGACCAAATTGGCCGTGTCAAGCGTAAATCGCCAAACTTTATTCAAAATGCGTCCCTGGTAAGTTCCAAAATAAGTCTCGCCGTCCTGGCAAAATTTCATTCAACTGCATCCACAGTATTTCCACAATAAATTCTGAGAACTTATTGGGCTACTCCCCTTGTGATATCTACTCAGTAAGGCTAACCAAACTTACCATGGGAGCGCGGGAAAAGGGGTCAGCGGGTCGCGGCCACTATAGCCCACGGCTTATGGACGAGGACATTCCCCATGACATGCCTAAGGGAAGGGTAGAAAATAGAGAGCATAGTCGCTTTCAGAGCCAATTAAAATGTTTAATGTCCTTATCGGTCACAGGGGCTTGATCTCGCTTGAGGTGGAATTTACCCTGTCACCGCTGCACTCGGATTTGTTTGCGTTTTCATTTATCGAGAATATGCATCCATACCTCTGAGACGCACCCGAATGTTGTCAGTTGTTAGAATGATTTCCGTGAACATGCCTAATTATTAGCTCATGACCCTTGACCGCGTGATCCACTTTCGCCAGGTCCTTTACCCTGCCTTAGCTTATATAGAGCAAGCTCTCCCCTTTCCCTGACCAGGCTCAGCTGAACACCATCGTCAACCTTCCTCACCACCGACAAAATTGCGTCCAAGGCCGCCTTGAGCTTCGGCATCTCGACGGTCTCCACCCGGCGCCTACGACGGGCTATCTCATCGGACATGGCCCCATTAAGCCTCACCTTCTCCACGTTACCAAACATACCGCGTTCGTGCCTCGCAATATATAAATACTCCGTCTGAGAGAGGTACATCTGCGGAAAGACCTCCTGCCAACGCACATCACCCTTCATGGTGCGCGTGACGAGATCGATGAGCGAAGACTGGGGGACGAGCTCCCGCGATGACTGCAGCTCGACTGACAAGCCAAAGTCGCTGTACCTAACATCGACATTGGCCTGCCGAGTCGAAGTGGAGGTGTCAACCGTGAGCTCGGAGAGGGCTGACGCCAACTCGTCCGAGACGTTATCGTTGGTGTCGGCAGAAAGACAGGCGTCAACTTCAAAACGGATAAGGACTTGGAGTCCCCCGAAGTCCTGTAAAGGTACAGTGACGTCAAGGGTGTTTGTTGATAATGAAGGAAATACTAACATAGGTGATTATCCGATAGTGACCGTATGTCCCTTCGCACCCAGGGCCTGGCCGAGTGGCGGCTGCCTCAAATCCTAGGCCATACCCGGTGGTCTGGGCGGAGTGGTCGGCTGTCTTGACCTTGGTGAAGATACAGGTCTTTCCGGAGCGCTGGACGTCGATACGAAACGGATTCGAGTTGGAGCCGGTCACCCAGCGCAGGAGCTTCCGCAGGCTGTTGCGGTCTGTGATAACATCCAGCGTATCATACTTGAACTTTCCATCGTGAAGAGTATCGACGGCGATGAAGAGGGGGACAGGCGATGAGAAGCATGCTTCCTTGCGCTCCTGCATGCGCGTCTCGCGGTCCTTCTTGACGCGCTTGGGGATATTGTCCGTCCATATGTTCGGAGACCCTGATGTTCCAGCAATCGCGTCAGAGATTAGGTGGTGTCATCCGTTGTGGCTGGGTACTCGCCTGGTATGACAAGTTTTGGATACTTAGATGGCACGCACGAGTATGAAGCAACAGGTTTGACGTCCGTAATCTGCACGATATCAGGAACAGTGGAAGGAGGTATCAATATGACAAGTCGTTCTCCGAGATCGACCCTAGTGAAGTGCGGAATTCGAGCCTGAGGGGGCTTGTACGGAGAGGCATGCATGAGTGCGACAGCTCAAGGTAGCGTTCCTTATCAGGAGACGGCGGAAGAGACCACGGAAAGCACCCTGTGGCAGAAGGAGCCCTAAGCGTCTATGAGGCCTCGTGCAAATGCGACGTACGATAAGCCCCAGATACTACTATAGGGAAGAACGATGATCAGTGTCGACAAGTTTGAGTAAGTCATACCCAATTCAAGCCCAATGGTTTCAAACTGATTGACATAGTTTTCCAAGCGCGCTCTTCATACAGTGGACTGAGCGGGTTTTTTTTTTACAGAGTCACGTTCGCGTCGTAAGTCTTCCCCAAGCTTCGGGAAGTGAAAAGTTGTAGACGAGATGCTGCAAGACGCGCCCGGGGGGCCTGTCCACTCCAGGTTTGAATTTGTCAACCCGGCTTCCAGTTACGTTGGTTGAAGATGAAGGGCTAATCGTCCCCGAGTAGGCATGTGCCAAGTACACACTCTCCGCGATGAGCGCTTGACCAATTCTTGTCACGCCTTCAATGAGCTTTTGACTGGTTTTGAACGTTATGGTCGACGGCGGTCCCTGGCGCCGGTTCACGAATGTGGTCGATGCCGGTTGGATGCCGGTCAAGGTGCTGGCAAGTCTGACTAAGACGCGGGGATGAGCTCACGTGATTTCGGGACGCGTCGGGTACAAGTCCGCAACCCGCCGGCCCCTATTGCGACCCTTCCGAGTTACAAGTCGTCCCGGAGACAGCGGTATTTAAAAACGACGGCTCTTTGACATCTCCGTCATCTTCAAAGCCTTAATCTTCCCCACACATACACACCACCTCAACTTTATCTTAAGCCCAAACGCCACCAGTCATCTAGTCATGAAGCTAGCCTCTGAGGAAGAACTCGCCGCACACTCGACTGCGACAATCCGTGGCGCCATGGAAGGCACCGCCGTCAGCGCCGCTGTCGCCGTACCAAGTTTCATGCTGCTCAACCGTCGCTGGGCTTACTACCGGTCCCTCCCGCTGTCGCTGAAGGCCCTAGGCGGTATATTAATCGTCGCACCTTGTCTCGCCATCCAGGCTGAGCGCCGTGGCCTTGAGTTTGATCGCGAGCGTTACTGGTGAGCCCCCGCATCTTTGCGGAAAGTTATGTAGGCCTTGCTGACTGGTCTCCTGTGATCGTAAGGGTTGGCGCTGGCAAAAACGAGATGGACCGTGAGGCAGCGGAAGAGCAAGCCAGGTGGGAATCGCTCACCACGGGCGATAAGGTTAGCGATTGGGCCACCCGACACCAGTACAGCATCATTCTCGGTAGTTGGGCGCTCTCACTGGGCATCGCGGGCGGTATTGTCGCGCGTAACAAGTGAGTTCTCTTATCTTTGTTTACTATCCTCAAACCTCACGCTCGGTCGCCTCGCAGGTACCAAACGATCCCTCAAAAGGTGGTGCAGGCTCGTATGTGGGCGCAGGGCCTGACGATCGGTGTCCTGGTTGCCGCTGGTATCCTTACGCACCGCAAGCGCCAAGAGACGGCCATGCGCAAGCTCCCGGTCGACCACTCATGGCAGACTTTGGTATGTCACTACCCTAGGCCATTTCCCCCGTTCATACTGACCCACTATTTGCAGCTCGAAGAGCAGGCTCGCGAGGAAGAGGAGCGCCAGAGCCGTCTGGCCGCCCTCCGCTCGGCGGCGCAGCCCCTGCCGTCATCAACCTCCGCATAAACGTCCTCATAATCTGAAAGTATCGATAGATTTTACTCTTGGCCATCTATTGGGCGACGCATCTCGGTTTATCTTGTCTCTATATTAGACACGGCTCTACAGCCTCAAGATACCTCTAGAGGTCCTCACGACACCCCCTACCAATCGCAGGTTAGAACATAGCTCTTGTAGATCTCATTCCGCATTGTATCGTACTCGGCATCATCGTAACTTAACTTTCATAATGTTCATGACTGCATCTTTTAAAACCGTGCGGGATATTGAGCGTGACCAAATGAGATTAAGCCCGGTTGGTCCATAAGACAGCTCTAAATCATAGTCTCGTCTGATCGGGTCATCACCGGAAGTTGCCGAAGCGACCTCGACTCTTTGGTGTTCCCCCTTATCGACTTGACATCCTCTACCCAGGGCTTAATCCAGCTAGTGTGGTCCCGGCGAACGCCTGAAATCTAGCTGGGGGGAAAAGCTCGAGTATTATATAGTAAACACACTACCAGCGCAAATGTCATCATAACGGCGCGAACTGAATTGAAACTGAAGTCTTCCTCACGCGACGAGGTTCAAAAGACTTTGCGATGAATGACAAATCGTGTTGTAAGTTCGCCGAACGAACTGAGCGTGATGCGTGACGAACCTAAGGTCATGTAGGTACAGCAATACTACTGTAAACCTTGTTCCATTATAAGGTATACACATCAATCGGGAGCACGGTGGTCTTTCAACGACAACTGTGCCCTATCTTTTGTGGTTGGATACACCCACTACCGCACCAGCGTGCCTCCCTTCTCATCTGTAAGTAGGGTATGCAGGTCACTAAAGGATAATTGCAGTCTAGGGCGAGTGCTAAAAACACTTTAGATGCAACATTCCTTTGCATGGGTCCCTATGTTAGAACTTAGCATGCACTGCCAGTGTGCGTCAAGAGTCAATGATGTTAAAATAGCCATTCTAGGGTTTCCGGGGTTTTTGGTGGTTCTGACACCTAACACTCGATTACTCGCTGGCAAGGCTGAAACCGAAACATGATTATGCCGACAACCAAGTTTCTCCCCATCATTATCCCACAAAATTTACAATTAGTTACTCTGCCGTCGTTTCCAAAGTTTGGCGTTGTACGGCCAGCGTTCTGCCCGTGGTGGCATTGTGAGATATTAGTCAACGGATAATCCCATATTATCTTCTCATCACTGACCATCACGCCGTCTGGTTTTGGTTTGCCGAAGGCTTGATCCTTTTTTCACAAGGAGTCTCAGTACCGCTATTGCTTCTGCTACTTAAGTTCTCTTCCGCGTCTTCTTCTGTATCATGACATTTCTTCCAATCGTCGGGGAATGTCATCCATCATAGCCTTCAAGTTGCCCGCACACAGTAGCTCTTTTAGATTTATCAAAAGAGATTTTAATGCAGGCTGGTGCTCTCCATTATGAATGCACCGCAGCAATATGTCGTGATAATGTTGCCAAGACAAATATATTGGCATAACCGCGCCCTTCGATTGTCCAAAAGCCAATGGAACACCATTCATTCGAAATAGCTACTTATCATTCTAATCACTGAGCCTGCCATCACAGCGAGTAAGAAAAAGCCTTGCCGTCATAATGTATGGGATCATAAAACAATGTCCTTGAGATTTCCCGATTGTATCTTCATAAAGCATTCAAGTTATTAAATTTGTATAGCGTTGCTGTATCGGAGTCATGGCCAATTGACGTCTTTCACTTGCCCGTATATCTCTATGTGGTGTAAACTGAGAATTCAACGCTTCTCACGGCAGCGCCAGACCTAATTTTGGTTAGCGTTTTGAAGGCAGGGCTGGTATAATTTTATGCTATGCACCACTCGCTCCGAATGATTCGGAAATGTGTTGATGAGAATGTCTTTGGATGTCATATCGATCTTTAAGTCCCCATGCATCAAGGAAAACGAAAATTATTGCACCAAGTGTATACATAGGACGGAGACAGTGAGTGTGCATGTACTAGAGTTTACATTGAGATCAGAATTGATACACAGGTATTACTGTGGCGAAGCAACCTATTCTGGCTGACATCACTCAAGGATCAGGTTGCTGATGTGATGTGAGTGACTAGTGACTGGTAAGCTGTGCGACATTACAGCATCATCTTTGTGTCCCTCGTCTCGCATCCTCCTGGGTGCAATTCAGCTGTATCTTTTTACAGCATGTAACGGGCTAGACTACCGATGAACTGGGATCAAATCAGTTATAACCATCAATTGTATGGCATTTAAAGCCGTTCCCGAGGCTTGCTCATCGTTGGACACTTCCTTTTGCAGATGCTGCCGCCAGTCCTGAGATCATCATGGGTCTTATAGCCGCATTACGCTCCCAATGGGGTTCCTGGCGTTGACATTTCCATTCCAGCAGAGCTTCCGCGTTGTATCAATGATGCACCTAGCTATCTCTTTGGTGTTATGAAAACCCCTTCTGGAACATACTCACGCTACTAACAGAATATAAATGCCCTGCCCGTGGCCATGGGCAGCTATAGTAGTATAAGAGTTTCAGCATGGTCGATGGTCTTCTCTTTCTTGCCGATAGCTATCAGACTTTGAACGTGAGTCCCTGCTGTTGTATATCACTATGGTACTAAGAAATCCTCTTGGTCTTAGTACGTTTATGGTGAGCTGAATATCAACAGCAAAAAATTATGCCGTGCTGTTGGATGACTGTATATCCGATCCTAGTATCTGTGGCTACATTCTGGATTTACGAATGCATCATCACGTTCGACGAAGAGGTACGTCTTTATCATGATATGACTGGCATAACATGGATGCATCCGTGCTCTTAGATGGCCTTTGCGTGCCGCTCCAATGCGCGGAAGCTCAAGATATTCTATATAGCCGCGCGGCTCTGCCCCTTCGTCATGCTTGGAGTTCATTTATACTGTAAGTGTCTTTGAAATTCTGATGGTCACTGAATACTGACCGTTCCTGTTAGTCAACTTCTATCCCAACAATACTCTAGGTGTAAGACCTATGTGTCCTCACAACTCGTGTTGGTGTATCTGACCAGCGTCATTGAAGTCTTGCACTCTCATGGACACCACAGCCAGTGGTAAGTAAACAACTCAAACTTTGGTGTTGCACCGTCTGAGTGGAGGTTCCCAGTTTTCAGTTTGATAATTATCCTTACATCAAACGGTACACTGCAAAAACGTATGTACCTGATTTTCAGGTATGCACAAGGTACGTGGCTTCTGATTCTGTTAAATCATGTGTTCTTGACATGATTTCAAAGTCAGGTACATGTACCTGGTATATAAAATCATGTACTGTTACCTGAAACCGCAAAATCATTGTTATTTGCCAATGCGGGTTGTAGACGCAAATAAAACTCCCATTAAAAATCATTGCATTACACGATGAGTTTCAGCATCCATTAACACTAGTGAAGCTTCCCCCCCAATGCCATTACTACACCCCATATGTTGCACTATCCACAAGCCTCATAACGTCTGGCCTACCAACTATCATCCAACGACGCTTCTCCTCATCCCAAACCCTGCCCACTAAGCCAGCAATGGTTGTAATATCCACAACCTCTGGAGTCTTGAACTGGTGATAGGCAGGCCGACGTACTGAAGACCCTTCTAATTTCACTGGGGAAATTAGTGCAAGGATCAGTTTCCGCCCCTGAGGACCATCCTCTTTAAGCTGAGATTGTTTGAAGGGAAAGTTGTCGGGTAAATCAAGAACAAGGTAAAACTGAACTTGACCATAAAATGCAGCCTCTTGCATTTCCTCGCTCTGATTTGCGCGATGGGAAAACTGGTCAACTTGCAGCACGTACTACACCAATGCAGATTAGCAAGTTAAATAATTTTAAAAAGGAAAACCCACTTTGACAAAGCTTGCATCACGGCGTGATTCACGTGTCTTCTTGTAGGCCAGGACACTGTGAATCATATCTCCGCCATCAAGAAACTTGACCTTGCCATAGCGCACCAAAGACAGTGGGACAAAAAGCATAAGAGCATTCACTTGCTGTTTGTCAGCATAGTTTGTCGCCAAAAAAGCTGCAACCCGCTTTCTGATAGACTCATGAGGCTCAAAAGAGCGCTCTCGTGGCGACACCAGTGCAATGCCGGGATCTGAAAGAGCATTAGATGGTTATCCATAGCATAAGAATCTGGACTTTACAGTCAACAAAGCGGTCCCCAGATGCTACAGCCTCATGATCTGGACTAAGATCCAGCTCATCAGCTAAGCCATACATCAACTTGATCTGGCTGAGTTGCGCTACATCACGAAGACGGTGAGCCATGCTGGTGAAAGGGTACTTGCGACTCTGAATGGATTGGACTATAACACCACAGAAGCGCTCCGTTGGAAAGTTCCAATAGCACCATAGAGGTCCAGTTCGGCGTAGATTATCAGGAACATGAAGAAGGGAGTGAATGGGGAGTGTGCAGGATGAAACACGAGTCATGTCATGGCAGAAATAAAGTCTGCAAATACTATAAGTGATCACACTTTTGGTAAATATTAGTTACTCACCTTTCGTATTCGTTAACCCAGTTAACACATCCTCTTCTAAGCTCCTCTATATCGTCATCATACAAGACATAGCTGAGGCATAAGTTGAATATGTTGACAAATTTGAGGAAGTGCTTGTAGTAGGGGGAGGCAAGGCGGCCATGGAGCAAGGCTGGTGCAAGGAAAGTAAGGAAAGTGAACCAGTTCTCTGTCTTGAACTGCCACTGCTCGCTCGCAACATCCGGTACACGTGACCCGAATGCAGATGGAATGGTGTCACCAGAAGTTTTGCAAGCCTGTCCAATTCGGCTCCAGTCTTCCTGAGAGATGAAGTACGCCTCGCCTTCGCCACCAAGATCCTTGAACACCCCAGTCCAGTGAGCCACAAGTGTAGTCATGATGTTGGATATGAGATGCATGAAATCAAAGGGAAAAGAGTCGGGAACAGAGACACTGGAAATAGCAGCCAAAAGGGGAACACCATTGATACCATATTGCCGTGCAAGCTCATTAGATCTGGCAGGCGTAGGCGCAGAGATAACCTCCTGAGCTTGTTGCATAAACTCGGAATGGGAGCGCAGAGGAAGATTACTGGGATCGTATGAGTCCCCATTGCTGCGGAAGAGTGGAGTGTAGAGCGGAAATGGACGGCCAGGAGCTGCAACCCCATGAATATGACACATGCGGCAGGGTGAAAAGCCATTGACACCCTTCATCCGCATAAGCTTGGAAACTGCCTGCATGTCGCCAAAGATATAGAGAAGAAAAGCACGTAGGAGGAAGCGGGATAGAAGCTCCTGGTCAAAGGTGGGAACACCGCGCATCAAGGTCTGGAGTTCGGTGAAGAAGGGAAGCATGAATGAATCAAAATCCCAAGGCTCTTTGGGACCTGGTATAACACCGAGGCAAAGAATGTGCGTAAGATGGAAGCGGATTTCGGGAGGGAGATTAAGGTTGAAAACAAGCAACGGCCAGCAAGTCTTCTTCCGGCTTTTGAATGGACCTACACCATCGGTTGACAAAGCAAGTGCAATGTCACTAGCCTGGTCAAAGAAGCGATGACCAAGCTGCTCAGCATCCACACGCACATGCTGGCTCAGGAGACCACGGTAGTGCTTTCCATCAAAGACGTCAGCAACCCCAGAAGTGCGAGTGTCGTAATTGCTGCGATAGCGCATCTTCTGAATTGACTCGGGATCAAGGAAGAGATTGGACAGGCGAGGGATAAGGGGGATATACTGGAAGATGTGGCGAGGCTGACCTTGATTGTCATAGCGAGCCTCCGAGCATCGGGGACACTGATCAAGCTGCTGATAGTCACCGGTGTAGCAGACACAGGAGTTAGGACAGCAGTGGTAATTGACTGGCATAATGCCGCTCAGAAAAGCCATGCGAGACTGGAGGCGATGAAGAGTTTCAAGGTTGGGGGCAAGCTTACTGCGACGCAGCTTCTCGTAATCTTGGCCACCGAGCTGCGCATCAACCTTGAAATTGAAGGCACGGATGTTACGCAGGTCATCTTCAGATAGGCGTGCACCTTGGGCATTGTCAGGGACAAATAGAGGGAACATAGTGATATGACACACCCATAGTTGCCACCATCTTCTCAAACTCCTCTGCTAGTCTGTCCACTGCACTCATCTCGCCCGATCCATGAAGCCATGGCGCCGTCTCATGACCAACTGGGTTGTCTGCATCCTGACCTGCCCACCCTTCCTCATCCGACTCATCCTGGCCCTCATCACTTGATAACCCGTCAGGTTCTTCAACCCCAAGATCCACCATATCGTCATCTATCGGTGTTTCTTCATTATTGTCCGGAGAACTATCAACCTCCATCTCAAAGCCTTGTGAAGGTGGTGATACAGGGTTCATAACTACATCGTGATTGGTAGGAGAGGGAGGAGGTGGAGTGTGGTGGTTTTTCTGGTTTTTGTGGGATTTATGATGTTTTCGAGTAGGGAGAGATGGAGGATCGATGGTTGATGTAGCACGAGCAGCAGCAAGTTGAGCAGAGAGAGTTACAGTGTTTGCTTGTCTAAGGTGCTGCAGCTGAGTGTTACGATGGTTCACAGCCCCGCAACCACAGGGGCATTGGGACTTTGTTTCGGCTTTGGGACCAGACATACGTAGCAGTACGTGTTGTGAGTGATTGTAGCAGGTTATCGATCAGGACAACTGCTGCACGAAGTGCGTTGAAGCGTGAGGGGACTTGCTAATTTTGGGCAGAAAATTCAAACTCCGCAGCAAGCGGCCTGCAACGCTCACGACGGCCTCAACACCCATCCAGCACTGCGTTGACCATAGCAGAAGAGCCCAAACCCTTCAACGCTTCGACCAACGCCAACACCGTCTCCTCAGCTATGCCCTATTCGCTCCTACTGCGCTCGCTTCGCCGTTTTACGCTCCACATGCAAGCTCAAGTCGTCATTTCAGGCCTTTCATCTTCCCCATCAAGTTCCAACACGCCCGACGACATCCTAAGGAGAATGGCAAAATTGGTTCTTCGAAGGGAGCTGGTGAAGGATAGCTGAGGCGTTCGAGATGGTGGTGGCGTGGTGTCAGTTCCACGAAATCCGTGAGTGCAAGAATATTCTGGCGTTCAAAAGAGTCGGCTTACCAAGTTCACGAGCAGATCTAGTCTCGAGATCCCAACGGCGTCGTGCTGAACTGCGACGTCAGCGGGTTCGTCCGCACCAGCGGACTCGACCCGCAGCTCGCCGCGCTCGTATTGCTCGGCACGAGCACGAGCTCCGATAACCACGCTCCGGGCCCGCTCACGACGCCCGACCCGCCCGCGCAGTTCGCCACTACACACGCCACGACACCACCGACCTCCTCCGCACCAAATCGTCCTCGTCCACACCCATCCACGCCCGCCCGCTCGAGAACCGCCACCGCGCGGGCGTGTGCTCGCCCTCGTGCTCCCCGTCGCCCATCTCGCGCCGGTTAGGCGGGAAAGCCGCGCGGCAGCAGCAGCGCGAGCAGGACGCGGCGGTGCTCGAGGCGCTCGCGCGCAACGGCACGGAGCACATCAAGCTCGAGCTCAACGGCGGGCCCGGGCCCGTGCGCAAGTTCTTTGCGGACTTTGCCGTCGACAGGGTGCTGCGCGACCGCCATGCGTGGTACGTGACGTTCAGCGACGGCGCGGACACGGCGCGCCGCGCGTCGCGTGTGCTTGGTGGATCGGGCGCACCGACGCTTGTGCCTCAGGCTGTGGGGCTGGTTGTCGGGCAGCCGCCGTCTCAGGTTACGCCGGCACCTGCTGCGGGCAAGGCTAGCTGGACGAGGGAGGAGATGCTGGAGGAGGCTGCGAGGATGGTGGAGAGCGAGCTGAGGGCGCTGCTGGAGAAGGATATTACGGAGCGCGTCGTTGGGCCGCTGGTGCACAAGACGTGAACCGGAACCGGAACCGGAGTTGGAATCAGCGTCGTCAGCCAGGAAGCATCTCACTGGCTCACGCCCGAAGGCAGCCAGCCGGAGCACCCGCAGTACAACGTAGACGGTGTACGGCTCGAGGGACAGACACTCAGGAGACCAAAGGGGGAGAACTCGGGCATGGGTCTCGACAGGCACTACGACTGGGATTGAGTGGTTTGGGCTGGGTGCGTACTCCCTTTCGCTTTCTCCCTCCCTTTGCACAGACACGTCGTCTTTCTCCTCCCCCTCGTTTCCTTATTCTTTCGCATTTCCTTCTTCTCCCCATCCTCGTTGCATGCTGCCAGATACGGAATGCTGATAACCATGACCCAACCACACAGCGCGTCTCACCATGGACATGCACTGCGGCCACTGGCTGTTCTACGGCAAAGCTGCGGACTCGCGCTCGACCCTGTCGTTGAGTATTCACATCCGACTGCGCAGCTGTTCGTTGACAACCTCCCGACCCTCCTCCTACGTCATGCCGGTGCGTGGCTTCATAAGCCTTCCCGCGAAAACCGGTTAGTCTTGGTCTCGCACCTCGGAGACTTCAATATTTTGGGGTCATTATGTACGTTCTGCCCCACCTCGCCAACGGATAAAATTACTAACCGATGTCGGCTACCATGACTCATGCAGGGTAGTGAGTATTCTGAATTGACCTACGTGCTCGTCGATGCCAACGACCTGTGCATGCCGTTTAGCAACGACGGCAACTTAACGCTTGCGACACCTCTGCTATGGCTTGGCTGACTGACGTCACGTCAGCCCAGCCTAGTATAAAGGTGAGCCGTTTTTGCGTTGTCTCAATGCATCTCAGCACAATGTCGGGCAAAGGCAGCACTCGCAAGAACAACACCTCGACCCGCATGCGGGACCCTCGTCAGTCACCGCTCTCCTCCTCTCTTATTGCATGACTGATATTTGCCAGACGATGAGGATCTTGCACGTCTCAACAAGGAGCTCAACGACTTCCGTCGGGCTCATGAAGAAGAGCTGTCGGCTGCTCGCGTGAGGGAAGAACAGCTCCAGGAACAGCTCGACAAGGTCACCACTGACCGCGACAACGCCATCACCGAGCGCGACAATGCCCTCAACCAAGATGAGCCTTCCGACAACGTGGCCGAACGGAGCATTGCCCGCCCCTCAAACCTTCGCAATACCAGCATCGCTCAGCTGCGTGAACACATGGGTCTGTCGGGTCCAAGCAACAACCAGGTTTGGAATGATCATCGCGTACGTGCCCATCCATTGTTCATTTCATCATCTAACATTGTCTTAGCGCACTGTTCGTGACACCCTGACAGCTGCGTACCTCGACTACAACCGCGACATCAAGAGCCAGGACAAGCAGAAGCTTGTCAAGGTTATGCTTGCTGTAAGTCATCCTTCATCGATATGTTTATTAGTGCTAATATACCTTTAGATTGAAGAGCAAAAACCTCGTTTCAAGAGGTTTATGGGACAGTGGGGCGCTCAGTATGTTCTCCAGCAAGTCTGGACGAACCGTAACGAGTGGATGAGCCGCACCCAGCGTAATACCGAGGCCGACAGCGACTGTGACGACAACGACAACGGCAGCAATGGCAACGGCGATGGCAACGGCGATGGCAACGGCGATGGTGACAGCGATGGCAACAGCAACAACAACAGCAATGTCAATGGCGCCACCAACAGCAACGACAACAACAACGACGGCGACGATGACGACGGCGACGGCAACATCGCTGCGGCCAATGCCGACACCCACGAATCCGATAGCCGTGCCGGTGATACCGACACGGATATTGATGATGAGACTCCGGCCGCGCCGAAGAACAAACGTGTTCGCAAGGGCCGCGATCTCTTCGATACGGATTCCTCCGACGATGACGACAGCGGTGCCCACACACCGGCTCCGCCGAAGAAGTCGGCCAAGAGCAACACCGGAAAGCCAATCGCAAGATCGGGCGCAATGGCGCGGATCCAGTAGCTAGCTATCTGTTGCGTAGTGCATTAATAGAATTGATTTTGTCATGATTCTCGTATGTTCTGTCGTGTGATAAATGGTCTCTTCTTCCATGAAAACTAGTCATTCTGCATGCAGTCTTGCATTTTTGTCGACAAAATCAGGTACATCTAAGGTGATTCGGACAATTGAATCTCACAAAAATGACAATGATTGATTTTCGAGCAAGTACCTGATTATCACGACAAATTCTCAGTGTTACTATGTATCTAATGAGTGATAACTATGGATTCTACACCCGAATGGTGCCCATTATAATCAGGTATATCCACCTTCACAGTGGTATGTTAGATTCTTGCATGACGTGCACCATGGGAACTTATATCGGCTTATTGTAGCCCTGTTTCTGCTGAGGGTGTGCGCCCTATGGGGAAACAAAAAATGGATAATTGTGCTACTGAGTACGAGCTTCGTTGTAAGACTATTCCTAGTGGAAATGTGTGGTGACAGTGATAATCAGTGGGTACACAGGTAGGGGCGATTGCAATCTTTATCGTTGGACTTTTCCCAGCAACCAACCCACCATGTACGTTGATTTCACATGTGTCACTGTGCAGTGCTGATATACATACAGTTCTCGCGCTTGATATCTATCCCGTTACAGGGTGCTTTTATACGACACAAAGTAGATATTATGTTGTGATGTTCGTCTCGTTCATTCTCCTCGAAATTGGTGTGTCTATTTGCTTGCCGTGCCATAGCACTCTTAGAACATCAATTTCAGAAATTATGGTCTTGACTGTCCTTGGATTCTATCTCACACGCCATAAATTCGTTCAGGCGTTGAGAGATAACCCAACCGACGTTCCACTGGAATTAAAACAATCGCCGAGACCAAGCATTCACGACCTACTTATCAGTCGCAACTTGTTCTATGTCTTCTGCAGCATGAGTACGGCATTCTAATGACACATATGGCATTAATAGCTTGAACCTTAACAGGCCTTACCATTGTGAATCTCGTCACATGCGTTGTTCTCCAAGACGCGTACAGCGGAATTTTCGAAGAGTGCGTTTCTTGTGTCACAAGTAAAATGAAGCTTATATTTATCTGATATTGCACAACTGCACCATATAGCTTTCAAGTTGTCATGAACCTCGTTTTTGCTACTCGTATACACCGTAGTTTGTGGTCAGCGACGGAGCATCACACAACAATCGAAGAATTTAGCAGTGTTTCGTTTGCATCTAATCCAAATGAAGTCATCTCCACTGCAGCGTCTGATGGCTACCAATCCAGCCCCTGACGAGGACTTTCAGGTACGTATAACTGTCAAAATCCCATCGAACGATTCCTGAATGCTAACCATAAACCACATTCAATCACACACTTATCGTCGAATGGTGTACAGGTATGGATGGTATGAGGACGACATAAATGGGTCATAAAGAAGGATGATTTTTCAACGTAAATAAAAAAACAGGGAGAAACGGTCATACCCGTTACCATCTATGGTAACTGGGTTAGAGGGTCTCGCTAACGTCCCAGTTCTTCGCGGTGCGATTGAAAAATCGGTTCTAGTCATGTGACTGGTGGCTGCAGCGCTGCCATTTTCCGCATCAATGAGACAACTTATTGTCAGACAAGCGCTTTCGTGCAACTTTGGTGATACTGCCTTTCCCTTTGTCCCTTCGGTAACAATGTACGACTCGGACCTTATTCAGCAAAGTACCAACTATGATTCTCATTTACCATCATGATGAAGCTTTTGTCAGTAGCATAGAAGTTCCCGCATTGGAGAATCTCTTCCACGCAGTTTGTTATCGGCGAGTTTGCAGTTAGGAATGATTTCGAGGTTTGTAACAGCCAGCTCAGCTATGTGGCCAGTGGCGTGCGCCAATTCCGCTATCAATCTTATACCCAGAAGAGATCAATAGGTTAGGCATGCTATTTATCTTTGGTGGATCACGGCATGTCGTGTCCGTCCCCAACATCCATTCCGTTCCATCCTTCAGTATCGTTGGATGGGTATCTAACACCATGGCAATTGTTCAGTTAATTCCATAATTTCTATGATAAATAATCCGGAACACCCATGATGGATATTTTCAGGTTTGTGTTGCCTAAACACCATCATATCACTGTGTGATATTCGTAGGATATGGATGAAGACTCAAGTCCGGATGACATCCTTTCCTTGAAGGTCCAGATGATAATGGTTGTGAACAAGCTGGCACAGCTGCGCGTCAGGGGCCCAAAGATAAAGTACATTGGCGCGTCAGATGCTTTCTGAAAATATTTACTATTCTAAAGGTAAATGGTAACGGGCTTTGCCGTGCACTGGAGCATGGCGCTATCAACTTTTATGCTGACGTGGGGCATTCAAGGGGAAGGAGAGGTAATAAGGACATGCTATGTACAAACGTTGATGCTAAATGATGCGACGTGACGCGATGCGACGAGTGTATGTAAGGGTGATATGCGAATGAACCTGTAGAGTAGACGTATGAGTCCGCGTGTTAACATCGATCTTAGATGTAGGGAAGATATCATGGAAAACAACAGCAAGAGTAATCAAAAACATCAAAAAGATGAAGAGGAGGCAGACGAAAGAGGCTGTAGTGTGTTCGGCTGTACTCTAGCAAGAAACGATTCGAGAGGGTATACAAACAAGACTGTTGTTTGTTAGCTCTGATGGTTCCTCCTAGGCGTGACTGAATTGGGTCTTCAGCCGTTACAGCATGCAACGGGATAGACGCCCATTGCTCGGGGATCATCTCCGCTAAACACCTACCGTAAGGCTTTCTTCTCGTCGAGAAGTTTTTTCGCCGAGGCTGGATCTCAGCTTGAGATCACCGAACGTACTATAGCAGCACTGCGCTCTCGATTAGAGGTTAGTTCCTGGTGCTAGTACTGACGATGTTTAGCCACTTCAATCGAATTTACGCTGCATGATATTGCGACGGATGCGCCCCCATAGCGCCCTCGACTCTCTGGTATTAGCAATGTTCGATGTGGAATTTACACACGCCTCTAGCAAGCTCGAAAATCGCATATAATCTGTAGCTTTCAGTTTGTCATAAACCTCGTTTTTGCCGCTCGTATACGTAGAGGCCTGTGGTCAGCTGCAGAGCATCAAACAACAGTCGAAGAATTCAGCAGCATTGCGTTTGTCTCGCACTTAAACGAAGTCACTTCGAGTACAACTTCCGCTAGTACTCGTTAGAGCGAGGAACTTTCGCCCTAATAACTCGTATAGTTTCTACGAATGGATCTGAAGTTCGCAGCCATCAACGCATTGATGCTATTCCTAATTCACATCCAATCATACACTTGTCGTCTAAAGGTATACAGGTATGAATGACATGAAGTCGTCGTAAAAGGGTCATAAAGAAGGGTGATCTTAAACATGACAAAAGCGGAAAGCAAGAAAAAACAGTCATATGCCAACGAGGGTTTCCAGGGGAAGAAACGATAAACAAGGACGTGATATATACAAATGCCGATGTGAAGTGGTGCAATGCGAGGCGATGCGACGAGTGCGTGACAGGTGATATACGGATGAGCGTGTAGAGATGTTCGAGTCCGCGGGTAGAAAGGGATATGATGAGGCGAACATAGATCGCAGATGCAAGGAAGACAGCATAGAGAGCAACAACAACAGCAATACAAGAAATCCATAAGACGAAGTTGACGCAAGCGGTTGCAGTGTGTTCGTGTGATGGCTGTACGCAGCAAGACACCATCCAAGAGGGTATCTGAACAAGACCATTATTTGTCAGCTCTGGCGGTGACGACACAGGCACGAAACCAAGCTTACCTTCTACCACCGCCGACTACACTCACGCAACGATGGCGTTCCGGCTCACCACGTTGATCTCCATCTTTCCGAGACCAAATACCCCCTGACCGTCATTCCCATCCGCATACTCCTCGTACCTGTCCGCACCATTGGCCCGCGCCGCAGCAGCCGCGCCCCACACAACCCACCACCCGCCAACGCCCTCCCAGCAGTTCCACCCAAATACGTCCAGATACTCCTCCCAGGTCGCCCGCAGGCCCTCCTCATCAGCGTCGTCCCAGTCGAGCAGCGCCTTCTGCTTCGCCTCGCGCAGACCCACGTCACGCATCTGTTGCAAGGGCGATGGCGACGGTATGCAGATAAAGTCACGCTTGCGCCGCTCCGAGAGCTGCACGGTCGCTACGCGTGGGGAGCGCAGTTCTTCGTATGTCTCGAGTAGGAGGGGCGTTGTGCTTTTTGGCAAGGGCAGGGAAAGGAGGGTAGAGAGCGTGAGCGCGTCTTCAATGGCCATGGAGGCGTTGTGCGAGCCATTAGGCTAGATTATGAATGTGAGTTTACGTGTAAAAGGACGTGAAATCAAGGATGCCCTACCATCAACGGGTGCGCAGCTTCGCCAACGAGAACGACCTTGCCAGCCTCATGAACCCAAGAGTCGAACGGTTCGTGGATATCATATACTGTGGGTATCATCCACTCTGCCATGCGAATCAGCTTTTGGGCTCTGTAACAAACCATCAACAGATCAGTCTCCGCCCACCGCAAGGCACCACCAGCACCAACGCTCACCTCGGTTCAAAACGGTCCGCAAGCAAAAATGCCTCGTCCACCGGGAACCGCACATCCCACGACTCCTGCTCCCACCATTCCTTACGTCCTTCCTCAAACGCAACGCTCTTGTTACGTCCGTGACGCTGAGTGGGCCCGGAGCCTTCTGGGATACCGCTCCACGCAGCCGCACCACCAACCGGTGTCGACCGTCCGTCCGTCGAGCCGGGTGCAAATACTGGGTCCGAGTACGATGGCTCGGATGGATCAGGCGCGGGAACGTGCATCACCACCGCGTACGATCGGTCATTCGTCTCGGGGTCGACCTGTGCATGATGAACATGGCGCAGTAGGCGTCGGGTTATTCGGTGGAGTAAGTCAGCTCGACACGTGATGCATAGGTCCATGAGGATTTGTCGGGCGTCAAACCGTTTGAGGATGCCAGGCAGTCGACCAGAGCCATCCCACGAAGGGCAGCGAGGTCCGGTGGTGAGGTGTCCAGCACGAGTTATCGTGAGAAGCACAGCATGAAACAGCGAGCAAGGCCCCAAGGACACAAGGACACATGACACGACGAGACCCGGAAACAGCGAGGACCAGTAATGAAGCGGTCATGAAGGTGGTTCGCAGACCCACGGTAAGATCGTGACAAGGCGGTGCCGGAGGCGATACGATCACGGTATCCCATGCGAGCATGAATAACAAGGTGGTGTGTTTGTTGCCGCCGGAAGAACGAATGACGAAGATAGAAACGCGAAACAAAGATAGTAAGGCCGTCGGAAATGACCGGGAGTGTGACGCGGAACAACGGGAGAAGCACCAGGCCGCGACAAGAATAGTGGATAATGAGAGCATCACCCCGCGAATCAATGAAGTTCAGGGCACGGGCGTTAGCGTGCATCGTGAATTGGAAAAGGAAATATGAAGATAACAAACAGTCACCCATTTCGTCGACATGAGGTCGGCGTCCGAGGACGAACCAAGAGCAAAGAACGCCACCCGCGGAGACAACGCGCGATGCAAAACATCCATCAAGTTAGCAGAAGAAACACGATGCACGCAATGCGAAATAAAGCCACGGTCGCAGCGGGCGCGAGCCGGCGAATGCGACAAGGTTTGGGTCGAAAGGGAAAACAGAAGTTTAGAATCCGACGATCAGGAAACAGAGCCAAAAACCGTGAGATGATAGACATCCATCCAATCAGCGTTGAAGCTACGAACAGACGCAAAATACGTACGACGAGAAGGCCGTGCATGGCACAGTTGTCTGCGAGCCAGAGTGTCCACTGGCGGTCCGTAGCAGAATCAGGCGTGAGTGGAGGTGGCGTCGATGTGTGACGGATGATACATGGAGCGGAAAGGGGAATCAGCGCATGATCCCAGACAAAAGCAAATCAGCGTACCTCAGGACTCTCCGTCAGCTCAACAAGGTCAGGGTGCTGGCGCATTTCGGCGCAAGGTACGACCATACTGTTCACGGATCAATCCACCACCGTGTTGCCCGCGATATTAAAAGCACGCAGTTAGGAACACAGATCATGAAAGGCACTATCAGCAGGAGCACTAAACCAGACACGGATGACTTTGCGCACTTGACGGAGACACGTTTATCACGAACGCCGTGATCTGCTTGAGGGCCGACGACTACAGGACGGATGACGGAATTGTGACCATCCGCGCCGACGATCAGGTCCCCGATGTATGTTTGTGGGGACGACGACGGAGAGTATGTATGCGAAATGCAGGTGACGGAGGGTGCATGCGGGTCAACGTGCGTGACGCGCGAGTTGAAGTGGAACTCGACGCCTGCTTCAACGGCGAGAGTGTACAGAAAGTTCATAAGAGCTCCATGCTGTATCGCCGTCGTGCTTGCTCAGTTCCCTATTGCGCATATATTCAATGGGTACGCTCACTTGGATGTAATGGAAGTCCGCCGCAAGAGCTTTCATAACCTTCTCGTGGAGGACAAGTAAGCCGAGATTATCGCCTGAGTGACCCTCGAGGAACGTAAACTTGTCAGCTTTGATGACGAGCTGCTCGATCGCATGCCCAAGGCCCCACTGGTCGAAGACGCGGCTCATATTCGGAGGGCAGCGTACACCACCTTTAGACTGGGTATATGCGGCAGGAGAGATGCGCTGCTCGAGGACAGTGACGTGGTGGCCAGACTCGCGAAGGGCGTACGCAGTCGCAAGGCCAGCGATGCTGCCGCCTACGACGACGATGCGTAGGAAGTCGGCCGTACGCCGAGGAAGGATGGGTGTATGCTTTCCGGGCATTGTGGGCGGGTATGAGAGAGCGGTTTGGACGCCGTGTCTTGAAGAGTGGATTGGGGGATGGTTGGGGTCAAAAAGAAAGAGGCGAGGGAGTACAGGGAAAAACGCTGGCCCAAAGACATACGGATGAGGGAAAGGAAAGTCGGGCAGGGCCGAGGGGTCGTCGCGCTCGAGGGGGCCGAAAGAGGGTATACCGTACCCAGTCCCTTGGTGGCTCCATCACATGGTGGCAGCTCACAAACTGCAATCCAACCTCATCTAACCGATCCAGCCCACTTTTCCCAGCCTTCGCACTTTCCCCGGTATCACCGCTCTTTTTCCTATGACATCCTGGCACCGTTCGGCTTTTGTCAACCAATCAATGGCCCGGGCATCGTTGCTTCGTGGATATCATTGCCAGACGAACCTTTTCTGTTGTCCTTTGCCTTGCCTCGACGGCACAATGACCGAACATCGGGCACAAAACCATGCTGACAGTCAAGGTCTGACGTGACCTTTGAGTTGCCCCGGTGCTGTACCTAGAACCCGCAACGGGTTAGCAACGGTTTGAAAATCTCCACGAGAGGGTGTCGGTCCATCTCAGTCCACTTGGCCTACCCGCTGGCAAGCTTGGGCAAACTCAAGCTCTCATTCGCTCTTCGGCTTGTCAGGGCACATTGTTTGGCCTTGGAACCGGCGCGACCACACGGCCAAGTGCAAGCTAAAACGCTTCCAGGGCCGCAGAATTCATCTGGTCTCGGTACTTTGTCCAGTCGGGCTTCTGATCAGCGAGTTCACCGCCGTTGATCATCTCCGATAACCTCTCTAATCGAACAGCATCGAACAGCAGGCTGGGAGATCCTTACCTTGACAGGACTCTACCTACAAATCCGAAGTGGATACACACAGCACGTTCGCTGGCTCGTTCGGATAAAGAGCTGGGCGGGGAGCGGGCGTCGAACTGCCAAAGCTGTCCATGTCAACATCCGCCATCGCCGGCGGTAGAAGGCGAGGAAGCAATCGGGAAGCGACGCAGCTAGCGCAGACTCCTACCCAGCGGTCTGACTCGTGAGACCGGCTTATTAAGCGCTCCTGCCTTTTATAACTTCGTTAGGCAGTTCTCTCGCCAGACCGACTGGCACAACTTGTTTTTCCCATCAGCCATATTCTGCTTAGCCGAGAGACATTTGGCGGAGAAAAGTTTTTTAGCCGAACAAGTTGTGCCAGTCGGTCTGGCGAGAGAACTGCCTAACGAAGTTATAAAAGGCAGGAGCGCTTAATAAGCCGGTCTCACGAGTCAGACCGCTGGGTAGGAGTCTGCAGCTAGCGGCGCCACACCGGCATTTCCTACTCAGGCTGAATGACCCCTATCGCACATGTTGCTCCGAGTTGCTCTGGGCGACCAAGATCTACTCTTCCCCCATCTTGTCCGACTCGTCTTCGAATAGTCAAGGAGATTCTGAAGTGCGTAACCTCTTCATGAGTTCTTCATCCCTGTTGACTTATCTGATTCACTGGGAGCACCCGCATAACCCGACTGCAACCCGACTGAATACTGATCGGAGACTCTTACTGGCAGCACCGCCTCTCTTACGCGAGCCTTCTATGTTTCAGCACGTGATGATCATAGTTTTGTTTTCGACGTTCATCTAATGCTGTAGAAAGCTTTCTTCCGGCTTCCATTGATGAAGAGGCCATCTTCTCTATCTCTATATCAAACTCCATCCATGGAGAAGATTGCCTGTTGTTGATCAGACACAGTATAGCCTTGCACGCTTTCCATAGCGGGCGGCTGGCCGTACTTGTTTTCTTGTGATTGCTCCTTGAGCTTGCGAACACATCAGAAGCGCATCTGGAGTACGTCATCAGACCTTTTTACAAGCGGAAGCAAATTTGATGTCGGCTCTCGCGCCTTCTCTCGCATGTTGGCGCTGAATATGGGCGCAGGCTTGAGCACCACCCCGGGGTGGCACACGTGTGTCTGATGCGCGCTATCGGTCCTCCGTATCGCTCACCGTTCGAGACATTTGACCTTTGCGCCATCCAACTAAAGCATCCAGGGCTCCCACCTGGATCCTGGCCAAGTTTGGCTCGCAGCCAGCAGCACAGCGAAGGTGTGTCATAGGCCTGTTCCGATTGTCGATTTGGAGTCCGTTATGCTAACAGTTGAAAAGGCTGTGCCTGATAGCCTTTTTCTGGCTCACACTAATGCCTTCAGACATAACTTATCACACTATAGCCGATCCACAGCTGCGTGTGTGTTTCGTCGCCCTTGTGCTTGCTTCGCTCGGGATATCGGAACAGGCAATTGGTCCGTAAGCAACGTTTGTACCCGCTCTTTGGCAATTGAGCACTCAATTTCAATCATATCGATACGATATCGCTTTTAGTGCATGTCCAAGTCGCCGTTCTCGCGATCTCGTCAAAAAGGAGAAAGGGGCGTTTGTGTCGCACACGCATATCCAGTGTGTCTATCATCCATTTTCGTATCTTTTGGCTGTCGCCGTAGCTTTGCTCTAGTTTAACGAGCGTAGAATTCTCTCTGACGTGTTTCTTGTGCGATTGATGCACGTTTGGTGTTAACGTCATACGCCCAGGGTTATCTTGCGCTTCTTCAGACTATTGTGAATACTTCTCGCTCTCAATGACAGCTGTACCTGCAGCGTAACATCCGAGTCAAGCGCGGCAGGAGAAGCGATCTCTAAGTGCATCAAGCATGTGTCCCATGTAGAAGCCAGCTAATCGTAAAATGCCTAGATTTATAGCATTGTGCTAAATTAATAAGGTAAAGCTAACAGATATAGACGAAGATGTCCCCAATTATGCCAACGCGAAACAACATATCGAGTACGGAAACAACTCTTTCCCCCACCTTCGCACTCCTCTTATCCGCTCCACCTACCGGCTGGCTCACTACTACCGCCGCTTGACGAGTTGCTGACCCCCTTCCCTCTCCCGCGCGGCAAACTCCCTATGACTACCGCAGACGGACCGCCATCCGGATGACCGAGCGAAGGAAAGGGTGGCGGGTGAGTGCTTGGATCGTCAGGATTCTGACAGAGCGCCTTGTCAGCCAATGTCGCTAACGCCAAATCAAATCTAAAACGCCGTACATAATATTTCGGAGGCCACGATTGAGCTTCGACGATATTTCCTGCTGGATACATAGGTGCCGTGGTCTGTGTCATATCTCCATTACCTCCTGAATCTTTTGGGGGCAAGTCGATGCTTCGCTGAGCATCGCGGTGTCGCGAGCGTCGGTGCCGTCTACAAAGAAGCAGACCCGCCGCGACGAGGACCAAGACGGTGACAACTCCAACAACGATGCCTGCGATGACTCCTGAGCTCAAACTTGAATTATTGTGAGCCGACGAGGCTGAACTGCCTGACGTCTGAGTTGCGCTTGAGGACGCCGTGGACGTAGTAGACGGAGCTACGCTATTCTCCGGCAAGTCTGCAAATGATCACCTTTAGCACACAGGCTACGCAGCCAATACAATACTTCGGAAAGGGACATACCACCTATAGACTGAGCGGTGGACGGGTTCCAGCTTCCAGTTGTCTGGGAAAAACAAATATGGTCCTAAAACTGCTCTTCGAGCCTTCTCAACACGTTTACAGACTTACAGTAACATCGAGGAAGGCCCACTGAGGGACAGCAGTGTTGGAAGGTATTTCGTACGGAAAGCTAACGTGGAAAAAAAAGGTTTGAATCTATGTAGAGATAACTCAGAAGAATGTATGGGCCAGGAATATCCTTACGTTTGCTTCTGCGTGGAAGAACACTCCTGGCTCCACTCTAGCCACCTGAGTCAAAGAAACGTCAGCGTAAGCCGTTTCCGTTTGACTTTGTAAGATATGTCGTGTCCGATCACTCACGATAAATACGATGCTCCCTGGCAATATCCACAAGCTGCAAACAGTGAATATGCGATCGTGTTGCATGCACACTTTACAGTGGCGTCCTGCGATGTCTCAGGTCCAGGATAAACGTCATTAGTGGTAGCGTTGACAGAAACAACGTTCCAATCTATAAAGTAGACGCAGTCAACAATCAAAATCTACTTGCATAGCCATGCGATTGAGCGCCTATTATTTACCGCCATTTTTGCACATGGACATCAAGAAGCCGCCAACCAAGCATGGGCTTTGTCCTTTACTGTTCGTTGTCTACAGGGCATGTTAGATTAAGCAGTGTGCTACTGACACTTTGAGCAAAAGGAACCTACCCAATATGTGGACGACTGGCACGTTGCGCTCGTCGTTACCTGAGATACCCCTCCTTGTACTAGAGAGGCGATGATAAGCAGCAACCGAGCGGTTGGACCCCTTAGAGCTGATGACCAAGCCCGGTGCGGAGATACCATGGCAATGATCCCGAGAGTTAACAAGGCTCTGGTCTGATGTGGCTTGTCCCTCAGGGAGGCTCAGGTGTGCAAGCGAAGCGGCCAGACCCGCTGGAAGGACAGGGATAAGAAACAGGACACGGTGTCTATCGCTGGTACTCTTCCCCATAGTACTTATTGCGTCTGCACTGGTATGACCCGTGCATAGCCAGTAGCAGCCTGTTCTTTCTGAGACTAGCCAGGCTTGGCTGGCGGTTAACAGCACTGCTCGCAACCGCTCACCTATCGGATATCTGGCCACCGCCGCAGGTGGGACAGGTGAGCTGGAATATCGGCGAAGATAGAACGGAATAAACGCCAAAAAGTCGGATTAGCTCTCATTAAGAAGATGTACTACTTGAAAGGGACTGTGATAATGATAAGCATGGCCCAGAGAGGTCCAGATCTTACATCCGCCAGTATCGCTATGCGCGTTAATCAGACACTGCGTGTGTTCAAATGAACACGAGACCGCCGCCGACCGCCACCCCATTGGATAGCTCATTTGACCAAAAAAGCAGCAACACATCGTGACCAGAGCTCTTTTGGTCTGTACTTATATTTTGACGCGTTCAGAGCGTTTGTAGCCGTTCAGGGCTGTTAATTCTCACTTGCCTTTTACCTACCCCATACTCAACAGGGAAATGGAATTAGTTATGAGTCGCATGAGTTGCACACGAGTGTTGTTATCGTACAGGTGCGTTTCGGAGCCGAAGGGGAAGAAGAATTGATCGCGAGACGATCCTATAGTCTGCCTAGCCGCGGCTCATAGTGAAATCACAGGCTTAGTTTTCGTCCTGTATTTTGCGTTTTCACTAGCCTTTGGTTACAATCCATGTTTACATTCCCTATCCTCAGTTGAAAGATTTTGAACGTATCCTTGAGTGACTGAAAAGAAATTTTGGTCAGAATTCTTTTTATGGCGAAGCTAGTACGTACGGCAACAACATCCCAGCCGTCCGTCAATGACAGTCTTGCTTATCTGATGTACTAAAATTGTTCGTGTAGAATACTCTCAAGGCCTTTGGCGGTATACTCGAGGCCGTCCAGAATTACATTCCCGCACTACATCTACTGCTCAGTTTCCGCGGATATCATCAGAGAAATATGCATTCCCATAGAAGCTCCGCCGACAGCTCATCAACGTTCAACACCCACTCGCCAACTGACAAGGACTCTCAGCACTTTCAACTTCCAAGCCTGGGTAGAGATAGTAGGGTGTCATCGCGTGTCAGGGTAGGAATATGGGGCGCGACGACTGGGTAAAGGCCGATCCCTGTTTGTGTATCAAAGAAAACGCTCTGGGGTCGATCTTGCTATCATGTATGTAGTCATGTTCCGAGTCGGCTCATTAGCTAAAATGTCATAATGACAACACGTATGTTTTCGATCACGACTAAGCTGATCCAATAGCAGTGCGCTTGGTGCTTGAGTGCTCTGAGGCGAAGTTCTCAGCTGACGACAGGAAAGCTGGAGTGGATACTTACGAAAGCGTCATGCATTCGGCATCGTTTGACTTGAGCGCGCTTATTGTCCAACACACGCGTTATTGACGCGTTGTTTGGCGTTTTTTGATATTGGCCAGAATGACCCTGAAACTTGAACATGCGCTCGCTTAGCTGAGCGCTATACAAAAGTGGTAAATCCTCTTCGGACCCCACCTTCAACTTTCCTTTCCTCACTTTTCCCCATCGACGTGAAGTAGGCTTGGGTTACGTCCAACCACCAACACGCAACTCTCCATGCCCGATATCAACGTTCTCCCCTGTGGTCAACTGGGTTCCATGCAAGTACCGATGGGCGGTGGCTGGATCTACCTCGATGGCGTCTGGATTCGAATGGTCCACACGATCAAGGACGCGGACGAAGAGGTGACATTCTCCGTTGACCCGTTTCTGTGGACATGGCTGAGCTGTTTAGTTTGACAGGTACCGTCGCGCCAGATGGGGGTCAATGTTACGAAACGATATTGTCCCGGTAAGCCGTCAATCCAACGACGAAATATGACCAGACGTACCTGATTGTTGTTCTCGTACCAGCCATTCATGCTGTGGCCCCATTTCCCCAGACGCGTTGTCGCTCATACAACGCAGCCCGCAGTTGGCAATCAGAGTGGCACCGACTCGACAGGCGAGGAATGGAGGACGCACAACAGGGATAGAAAAAAAGTCAAGCAGTGTATACGCGCATTGTTGCTCATCCCAGCGAGACAAGAAACCCGATTGTCATCTCTGACGTACCTGGATGGCTTTCGACGCGCGCCGACACAAGACTGTCTGCGATATCTAATCGCACTCACAATCTACCAGAACGGGCTCGATGAACAGCGAACAATCGAGTTCATAGGCTACACGCTGGAGACGTATATACCGTATTTCAAGGAGACTTCGGATGACTGGAAGGTGAGCCTTGTTCAAGTGGAGCTGAAGCTGTAAACGCTGATCGCCGTGATTAGTCAACTGTATGCACCACTCTGGAGACAGACCCGTGGTTCGTGTGCCACAAAGGAGATTGCTGGGAATTGGATGTGGATAGAATGATCAAAGATGTCGCATCTCAACGACTTGGGAGAGACGACGCAGGGCTTCGAGATGACGAAGCCCAACAACAGAACTTGAGACAGCCCGACCTTCCGATAGCCAACGCTACCATCGAGCCGCCGCTGGTGTCAAACTCTGGCGGAGGGCCTTCGCCTACCTTGAAAGCTCATCGCGTAGGAGGGGGTCGACACGGGCCAGCAAGACGCTCGAAGGAGACTCGGCCATCGCCTTATCCAGTACCCGCGATCGGCTCTAATTGGGCATCTCGAGGTATCTCTCATGGTTTAGGGCAAGACGTTCGAATTTCGGACGATGCGACCCAGCTCATTTGGGCCCCTTTGGACGGAATGATTCCGGGTGCCGCATCTCGCCTTGAAGGCTGTGACCAGGATCCCCAGCTGCTCATTCCGCAAACCAGCTCGACACCAAGGTCTTCGGGGCATGGAGGGGTTGAGGGGGTGACTGCGACTATCGAAGGCACTGGGGATGGAGTTGACATGGGTGCAACTGGGAGCCTTTACACTTTCAACACTTCTCTACTATTTGACGCGTCTACTGCGATGGCGGATATGTCTGCGTGGACGTCGGAAGGAGATGGAGCTCGAGGTTTTTCTGCGTAGGTTTTCATCGACAATGGTCTCGAACGAAGCAACCTAAACACTATTTGCGTATCTGTGTAATGTACGGTGAGAATGAAAAGTGCAAAGATTGAAGAGAATGCAAAATGGCTATCGTCGAGTCTCGTTGATGTCCATGCATATGGCAGGAGGATGCAAAGTGTGCAAACGGAGTCGTGGGGATGTCGATTATTGGTTCCGCCAACGCGATCGTCTCTCCCGACTTTTGACGTTTGAGTTGTACCGATGGGCTAATGACGTATCCAGTCGATGGGATGACCGCCATCTCTTCTCTTATGCCATCTCGATCTCGACCAGACCATTTCGTTGCAAGCCATATAACGACTCCCTTCGCTCTGAAGAATGTATTTCCCCTCCGAACCTTTTGACTTCACAAGCAATGAGCACAGCTAACGGGAATGGGTCCACATCCAACTCTCAGCACGATGGCAGGAAACGCGTTGCAATCATAGGTGCAGGAGCTTCCGGTACGTAATTTGCTGCACTCTGGTAGACCACCCTTGACAGAGCGTTTTCCTTGTAGGCATGTCCGCCGCCTACGCACTCTCGCTGCACCCCGACAAGTTTGCCGTGACGATCTTCGAGCAGTCCGCCGACACAGGTGGGATGGCGACCTCCATCCCCATCGACGGCGCTGCATACGGCGCCGAGTACATCAATGACGGAGTACAGGGCGCGAGTCCCGTGTTCTACAACACGTACGCTATGTTCGACAAGCTTGGGTTCAGCGCGAGCCCCGTCGGGATGCAGGTCAGCTTTGGGAGGGACAAGGACACGGAGTTTTGGAGTAACGTGTTTCCGAGTCGGGTTATCGACAAGTGAGTTCATGCCCTGGTTTGATTCGAAGGAAGAGCTGATGTGGTGTGTAGGTTTGGGCCGGACATTAAGAAGTTTGGCCGGGTGTTGAAGTTCATCAAGACCTTTGAGCCGCTCTTCGCTGTTATATCTGTGCAAGCGATGCTCAAGATGTTCCGCTTCTCCAAGGCAAGCCCCATCGCGTTAATACGGCAACTGGAAGTCTGATGGTTAACAGGACTTCGGTGAGACGATTGTCTACCCGCTGGTTGCGCTCTTCTTCGGTACGGGCAACCAAACACCGTTCATCTCCAGCGCTATCCTCGAGCGTGTGTTTATGGATCCAAATATGAGACTGGTAAGCTGACCTTCATGGTAAGCCCCTCGTACGATAACAATCTACATTCCAGTTTGAGTACTCCCCCGATTCCTTCCTTGCCTCTATCCCCGATATGCGGGCCTTCCCGCGTCTCTCAGAGCTCTACGGATCGTGGTCCAAGGAAGTTACGTCTAGAGGTAATGTTGACATTCGCACGTCGCGCCAGGTCACGCGTATTCTCCGCGGCCGACCTGTTGAGGGCTCTTCAAGCAAGGCTACCGTCAGCGTACAGGTGTTCAGCCAGTCGACGGCAGGGCTTGGCACCGACCAGAAGCCGAAGGAGCCTTTCGGGCCGGAGGAGCGCGACGAATTTGACGAGTTGATCATGGCGTGTGACGCAGATTCAGCGTTGAAGATTTTGGGCAAGCAGGCGAGCTGGATGGAGAGGAAGGTTCTTGGAAATGTGAAGGTGTGTTGTATCCGTATTGTGGGCTAGATTGTCAAAAGGTGTGACTAACGTTGTGTTTTCAGTATCTTTGGGATATCAGTGTGACGCACAACGACGTTGAGTACATGGAGAAGGTCGGTATACACACTTCTTCTCCTTGCATACCTAGCTTATGCGACTGCTCAGTACTACCGACTACGCTACTCGCCCGATTTGAAGTCTTCCCGCACGGATGATGACGCAAAGAAGGGATACGAGCTCGCGGAGAAGGAGTTCTCGCCTTTGTACTTCATTCGGAGCTACCCAAGCGACAAGAAGAAGATCGAGATGAGCTTCGACTTGACGAATTATCAGGCTCAGGTACACTCATCCCCGTCCTCTATCTCATCTTTTCGTGTCCACATGCTTATAGGATCTCTTTTCAATCAGTTCAAAGGCGAGCACCCACGCGGCCCACTCGCACGTACCTCCCCCGCAGAAACCGGTGAAGACGGCTCGCCGCCCCAGCCACCTAGCTCGTCCCCGCCGCTTGAGAAACATGTTTTCCAGACGATTTTCTTGGACCGAGACGGGAGCGAAGAGTTGTGGAGCCGGGATGACGTCGATACGGACAAGGTCATATATGAGAAGTGGTGGAAGCAGCAGAGTCACCGCTGGCAGCACTACGCTGGAACGGTTCCATGGATGATGATGATCAATGGCAAGGTGGGTGTCTTGCGGTGATTCTGATTAGCCGGATCATCATTGACGGCTTGAGCAGCATCACACGCGGTATGCGGGCGCGTGGTCTGTTTTGAGTGAGTCATTTTTTGCTTCTAGAGGGAAACGTCGAGTGTTGACTGTGATCACAGATATGCACGAGATTGCAGTGGTGTCCGGGTTCGCTGCTGCCTATCAGCTAGGTGCTGAGTAAGTAGTTGTTTCTAAAGTGTCACTTTTGATGGTACGAACGTGCTCAACGTTTTGATCTTTGTGTTTCCAGCTATCCATTCAGCGAAGACGAGAACTGCAAGCGCCTTTTCAGGCTGTATCTGGGACTTAGTCACGGTTCGAGGATGGTGAGACTCCATGTTTACTTTGCTTGGACCACGATTTCAGATAGCTGATGCGTCGTTTTCGTTGTGGATCGTTAGAGGGCGGAGGACAGGAAGGGATTCTTCGCATAAGGGCTCGGAGATAATCGAAGATTTATTGGCGCATCATTATTCTCATAGTAATGTTGTCATAGTATGTCGGAACTTGCCTTAGGGGCATTCTAATGGATCCGCTTTACCATCACCGCAGTTAATTTTATAATGTGATTAAAATATATATTGTCATGACGTCCGCGGTGATTAGAATAGATTGGAATGGGGCCTTTGGAATGACTAATCCGAAGCTTGCACCCCAATCGATCATAATGAAGCCGAGGCCATGGCCACGACGCCAAGCTCGTGGAAATCAGATCGAGGGCCATCCGAATGAGACCGCCGGTCCATCGGAATGGCATCCCTAAGGCACCTTCCCCCTTTAGGAAGGTGGTGATGCGGCCTGCAACCCTGAAGCTTGAAGGCTGAACGTTTGAACGCTGTGGCAGAAGTGCGTTGGGCGTGCTGGATGTCAGATTTACGTCTAGTATTCGACCCTTTACGGCTTTATTGGTTCATCCAGAAGCCTCCTGTACGGCGATGTTCCTCCTAGAGGTCTACAAGTAAACATCGCCTTCATACGTCTATTCAGGCGCTTAGTATCCTACTGGTAACTTAAGCGCTTACGCACTCGTGTGGCTCCGCGTTCATCGCATAGGGCCACGTTCTGCTTACGTAGCCGTCCTGCATTACCGTGGGACTTGGACTGCATAGTAGTTACGAATACGGTAGTGACTTCACACGCTCCTGTCATATATATACAGTCGCTACCATGAATATCATCTAAGTCTTCTCTCTACACCGAATGACTACTATCGTCAGCTATAAGCCTAACCGCTATCACTCAACCTTCAACAACTAACTGCCCGGTGAGTTCGCGCTTTCATAGACTCCATCAGCTATACTCGCGTCGATACTTTGTCAGGTTATGAGCCCCGCGGGGCGCGGCGGAGCCTAGTACCTCAAGGCGGCTTAGTATGCCATGGGGGGGAGTCATTCGCAACGGTTCATCCGAAGCGTTTCCCCCTTCGCCCACTGGTAAACACCAGGGCGGCAGGAATCAAGGGGACACCCTCCTGTCATGTGTGAAGGGCCTTTCCCACATCCGTGAGAACCCATGCACCTTAACCGGTTCGGGTCTCGAGCGGCTCTGGAGGTCTAGACCGCTAGTCTACCGCGGACTCGCCTGGGCATGATGTAATTCGTCAAGTGTACCCACGCTGACGTTATCTTTACCCCAGATTCATCAACATGTCTACTTCTCATCAAACCCCAGCCCAGATCGCTGTCGGCATCTTTGCCGGCACCGACTTCGTGCGTTTGGAAACCCCGCA